GAGAGGGAGGGTCGGAGAGGGTGAGCGACGAGGTGGTGGTAAGAGTGCGGATGTGAGAGATCGTTGTTATTCTCGCTCACTGGCACCTGCCTGGCTGATATCGTCAGCGAGAAGACGATGCCGATGCTACCTCCTACCTTAAGTAGGTACCTAGTACCTTAGGCACCTAAGGTACTTAGGAGATACCTAGGTTTTTACTTAGGTGGGTAGCCTGCTCAGGTATTTTATACCTTGAGATGATATTGCCTGTGGGCGCGGCCGAGCCATCAGGGGCACGTCTCGGTGGTACACGTAGCCTACGGTAAGCGGTCGTTGTATCTATCGACCTTAGAAGTTCTGCTCTCTCAGAGTTTAACTGGTCCCCCAGAGGTACCTTCGGTACTTATATCCTAGCAGATACCCCATTGGGCTTTTTTGTATTGCACGCGGGAGAGATAGAGGTGGGTACCTAAGGCACCTAAAATATGATCGTTCCGTCAGCCCAAGTCCGGGGCAGGTTCGTGGGGGAAGATAAAACCCCCCCAGTCTCCTTTTCAGACGTTCTTTTCTTGTGTCACGGCCGCTGCGTATTAGATGCCGATTAGCTTGCTCGACCGACCGAGCAATCATAACTGAATAAGATGTCACCTTGGCATGTGTTAACGACAATATATGCCATGTCTTCCGTATCGAGAGACCGATCTCTGAATAAACGAGCCGTATTTTCCCATTTGTCTTATCGTTATTCCGCTAGGGTTAGCGCCGTCGTCCTATTTGTACTGGCATCCTAGCCGAGCAACAACTCGATTCCGCCGTATTTCTAGAACGAAACAACATTCGCGGATCGATCCGTCGGACGAACCACGCACTATCCGGGGAACTGGGGCTCTACCCTGAACCAACTTCGATATGTTTCTGGTCGGTAGCGACACTTTGTTGGATATTCTCGGCTTGCTCGGCTCGAGCGCGCACTGTCGACCTCGGAGTCCGTTCCGGCAACCACTGCCAGCGGTGAGAGAGGAGAAGAGGAGGGCGAGACCCGGGTAGAACCCTTGCGACGCATAAAATATGCGCCTGGCTGGAGAGCCATCTACGTGATAGACCTTCTCACACCTGCACGATCAAGATCTACTACAGCGAGGTTTGGTTTTGATATTCGGTCCTGGCGATCGGTCGCTGGTAACACAAAGATGGCGCTCAGGATAGAGTATCTAGATGTAACCCCCCTAGATGCCGAGAAACCTTAGAGATGCCTGCCCATGTAGACCGCGCTGCTTGGGATCGGGCGGTGTTTCTGATATTCTGGCTTTTCGTTTCGGACTCCTAGGTACCCGGCATCTACGGTTGGAGGAAGAGGGAGAATACGGAGGCATGCCCTCCGCTTGTACACCTAAAAGCGACGCGGCTTACTTAGACGAACTTCGTTCTTAACATGAGCACGGTCTAGCAGGCGCGTGATCTGGGCCTTACGCACCTACCTAGGTTGGGTGATGCTGTGTGTGCACGATACGCATCCGTACACCCCGGCCTAGCTGATAGGTCAGCGGGTTGGCAGGTTGGCAGATATGTGTAGTCATAATCATCATCACTGTCAGCCTCCCCATCATAATATATGCATGCGGTAGGTGGTGTGTAGGTATACACATGAAGGTGTCCCTATCGAGTTGGTAAGGGGGGCACGGTGGTAGCTTGGCACGGTATTGTTTTACAACCTGGGTTCCCGTGCCCTAGCATTGGGACGGGCCCAGACTATGTATACGGGACGCGTGGAATATGCACCACCTCTGTCTTCAGAGACAGGGGTCGGCCCTGCATCTCTGCATAATCTAGTACTACAGAGGTCAGTACTGCCTATGTAGATATAGTAACAAGTTGACTACGTGTATGTCTCTGAGCTCGTGCCAAGTCGCTGGAAATAGATCGCGAGGGCGTGGGGGATGGTTGGCCCACGGTGGCTACGCTGGAAGGGAGCTGTTTCGTCCAAGGTAACGCGGTCTATCGGGCTTTGAAGAGCATCAGCCTATCGAGTCGAGGTCGAGTGTGAAGCGAGAAAGTACTGCCGTCAGGTCGAGAGAAGGTATGGGAGGGGGTAGAGGCGATGACACAATAGCGAGATCACCCCAGCGCAAGCCACAGTCGGCACGTTCAGGTGAATATCGGGATCTGATACCCTTGCGCTACCGTGCCGATGAGATGGGCGTCAGCGCCGACAAACCCCCGATGGCCGCCACGGTTCGCGGGGAGGCGAAAGGCAGCGGGTGATGCTAATATAGACTTCCCCAGCTCATATAGGCATGCAATATAGATATGAAACGATATGCAGAAGGAGGGTTGTAACAGTGGCCTAGAAGCCGAGAATAACAGACGGCCCGAAGAAGTGCCATATGTACACTGTATGTACGTTGTATGTACGGGCCCACGAGGTTGTTGTTATGCGTGTGCTTTCATTCCCTTTTCTGGCGGTAGACGTTAGGTGGTGGGAGGTAGATATGGACGTTGGCATGCCTCGAGAGATGGCATTGGCGTGGCAAGTTTCTTCGTCGGTAGACAAAATGAGTAAAATTACATACCGACTTAACTAATGAAGGGTAATTAAGATATATATGGATCTACCTTTGTTTTCTTGCTAAGAAGGGTTGTGAGTTAGGTAGGCTTAGTCTATATATTAGCGCGGGGTGTACGTTTGATAGAAGAAGAAGTCTAATACCACCTGCCTTCTAATATGCCTAACAATGTATAGGCCGGCGGGTACTAGGTCTGTACTTAAAGGTAGTTTCGTATTCTACGACCGTAGATTGGGGCTACAAAATATCAATGCAGGTAGATATAGATAAGATGTTAACCTACCTAAGGGAGTTAACTGTCTTATAAGTACATAGTATATGCTGTAGGTGCATAGAGGGAGCTATTATCGCAGGTGTCTATCAAATAAACGTGGATTAAGATGGGTATTAGGGATGCTCATGCTATCTTATCACATAGGTATGTAGGTTTAGTGCCATTAGTTGAAGTAGTGAAGTGACCGAGAAACGTGAGAGTTCAAGCTTGCTGGCCCTGGGAGGCGGGATATTCAATAGTATACTTGTTTGTCTTAACGATCTCCTACACTATCTGTATATACCTCTCTGCCTGGGCGCACGCCTCAAGACCGTGAAGGTCATGCTGTCTTATATTATATAGGCATGGCGGTATCTGGGGTACGGCTTCACATATGTCATACAGGTAGCGTATTTGCGGGTATAGGCGTTTGCCCTTTGCTCGGTGCTATACTATCGGGCCACTTACTACGTAGCAACTGTGGGACCAGTGTGTGAGGCAAGATTACTAGGTAGGTATACGCTTTCTGGTAAGCTACTAACAATTTCCGGATCCTGGCCAAAGTGGGGTGGACACGAGGGTGACATACGCGGTAGCTACAAAACTAGCATTTCTCTCCCTTTTGAAAGAGGAATAGATAACCTATGCCACTAACATTACCTCCCCAGTACCTAAGCCTTTCCCAACAATAACTTCTAAGGTTGGAAAGCCGGACTTACGAATGGGCGGAGGCACTATTCTCAATGCTGTTCCAACGTTTATACCTATACGTGGGTTTGGAGGTGGTGAGGGGACAATCTTGCGAGTAGAACGTGGCTTAAACGTGCACCCTCCTTCGGTGGAAAGAAAGAGAAGGAAGGATAGTGAGCCAAATGCAGAGTGGTATTCTGATAAGGGGCTGTTGCCATGATGGGATTAGGTACCTAAGGTACCTTTTAGGATATCTACAGGAAGTACCTAGGTACGCAGATGGGAAGTACCTCTCCACCTGCAACCTGCCAGTTTCCTCGATAAAAGTACTTGGCAACGTGTAATGATGTACCTGATATGAGGCAGGCAAGAGGTACCTGTATATACAGGTAATATACAGAAGCGTGTTGTGTGTATTCGGTGGAAGTGGATTGCCTCCTGTGGACATTGTCTGGGAAAAAGCTGAGGCAGTTTTTGCTATGTACCGAGCAGGTACCTAGGCGGAAGGGCATACCTTAGGTGTATGTACCTACCTACGCCCGGAGGGATGTTGGCGGCCTTACATATACGCGCTCACGCTATTACCTGCCAAGGTACTCAAGGTAAGAGGTACCTAAATTACCTATCTGACCTCACGTACCTCTCAAAAGGTTAGGTATCTCCTACCTACCTACGTGATGTGCTATGTGAGGTAGCAAAGTACCTTTAACGTTACCCCCGGCCGTTTCGCGATACGGAAATTCGAGAACGTTACAGGCTGGTGCAGCATATGCGCTGTGCAGCAGTGACCCTTTCGAGCTCGACGATGACTCTGCCGCTAAACCAAGACTGGTCTCCGCTTTCAAATTGGTAGCAACGGGTTAGTGCTCAGGGCTTCTGTTCTCGTTTTTTTCTTGCGACGAATTGATCCGATGGATTTCGACTTGTCCGGCCTTCTGCCACTGGGTTTGTCCCGTCCAGCCCCGTTCGACCCATATCTCCTCTTCCCACCTAATCAATCCATCCACGTCCCATCACCCAAACTCCACACCACACACACGACCAGGTCTCCCGCTAGCAACGCCCTCCGTCGGCACACGACAGACGCAGCCAGGCCATCACCCTTGATCTGTACAACGGCAGCACCAGCAGAGCAGTAGCGTCGATAGCATTGCTTTTCCGAAATTCCCTCCCCTTCCGCCTTCTCTTCCGCCTCCTCCCGCTGCCACCTCGCAGAGCTTCTTCCGATCGGGCCCTCGTCGAGTTCACACGCAAGTGACGAGTGACAAGCAATCTGACTCGTCTACCTGCCAGCTACTTAAGGTCGGCTCAGCCATTGAGCAGACGTACGCTCTCTCCGCTTACCGCAACTCTTCACCGATCCCGCGCACCAAAAAAAAATAATACCACAGACAGGTCCTCCACCTACGCTTGCCACACAACCTCGAAGTACGGCTAATATATACATATCAAGACGATAGTAAAATATCACCCACTCACCTGCGGTAACCTGGAGGAGCCCCCCTCACTCCCTCTTCGCCGAGCTGAGCTTCGTATGCTGTAGACCCGCTCACGAGCTCGACCTCGCTACGGACCTCGGACCGATTGTCTGCTACTGGTGCTTGCCATCAATTGAGAAGAGAGATTGGAGGCGTCATTATGGTGCTGTAAAGTCCCGGAGTACTGTTGCATCACGCTGGGCTTGCTGGACAGCGCCTCCTTAGGTCCTAGCCTACAGAGTATCTCGGCAGTTTAGGTCTGTCTGGAACGGCGACGCTTCCGACCGGAGTCCAACCCAACACACGTCCAATCTATCAGCATCGTATTCGATAACGACTTCTAGCACGGACAAAAAAGGGACTATAAGCGACGCTGTACCCCCAACATCGCCGACGGACCTCTGCCAGGCCATGTCGTCCTCCGAAGTTCCCCCCTTCACCGGGAGGAACCCGCTCGCCGCCGACCTACACATGCCCCCTTTTCAGTATGGCGAATACGATTTGTTCGATGCAGATGATAACTACGATCTCTCGAGCAAACCTATCTACGACTTGCCCGATGGCAATAACTATATTGAGGGCCCTGTGTTCTTATCCTCACGAACTAACGGGGAAGAGACGGCACCGGATCACCCACCGCGTCTCTCCCACCATGGCTCCTCTTCTTCTTCGTCACAGGGAACCGTGGATTCCAACTCGCCGAAGATGAGCCAGTCTTCGGCCGACGCAATGATGACCGACGACCATTTCCCCGCTTGGAATCATGACGGTGATGTTGGGCACGTCGACTCTAAATACCTCTTCGACACGGACCCCGCCATCGGAGAGATGTCCGAGATGTTCAATTTTGACAGTGCGTCGAGTAGTCCCGGCCCTTCGACAAGTACCACCATACCGCAACCGCTTCTCACGACGAACTTCAACACATTCAAAGCCCCTGCTGCGAAGAGACTCAAGGGTCATCACAAGACGCAATCAGTCCGTGTTACTACACCCAAGCCTATCCTACGTTTAAACTAACCTGCGTGCAGCGTCATTCTCATACGTCGTCTGTGAATGGGGTAAAGACAAGCGGTTCCAGAGAGGCCTCGCCCGCATCGGCTATGGCCATCAGCCAGGAAAACTCCCCGGTAGCGATGATGAACAACCCACCTACCCCGGAGAATTCTGCTGGCTCTTTCAACGGTAGCCTGGCAAACTTGAACATGACACCCGTCTGGCCAGCGGCATTAGGGTTGCAAGCCAACGGTTCGACCTCTCAGGTTAGAGCAGACGCGATGGCCGTGTCAGCTATGCCACATGTACCTCCAATCTATTCTCCCCACGCTACTTTGGCTCACAATTCTCGGCCGAGGCTCGTGGTTCATCCAACGCCTCTGAAGTCGCGAGTTGAAACTCAGATCCCTATCAAGCTGACCCTTCACAATCTACCCCCGGGCATCAAGAGAATCCACCTCCCCACCCATACCATATCTAAGCCCAAGTTGTTGGCAAAGCCCGCAGTCGGACGGTCCCCTGATATGCTCGAGTTATATACCATGCTAGTTTGTACAAGTGCCATGCACGATCCGGAAAAGCGTCGGCGCGCGTTCGAGCGAGCGGCAGCGGCCCGGCATGACGTTCTGAACTCGGCTCAACCGGATGAGGGCCTTGACGACAAGGACCACAAGCCCCAGAACGGCGGTGAGGTGCGAATATGTGGTGGTTGCATAACTCGGGAGCGTAAGCGTGCTGGACGTAAGAAACACAAGAAGCCAGAAGAGGAGGAGTTGTGGAACCGATACGAACACCGGCGAGTTATTGTTTTTAATACTCAGGAGGTCAAGGAATGGCAGGCCGTCACCCCCCTCATGGCCGACCCCACGGGAGCCGGGCTGCGTGATCTATCCGTCCCCGACGGCACGGTGCAAGTGGACGCGCCGATGCGTATTGCATGTTACTGCCGCCACCACGGCGAGAAGATGGGGTTTCAAGTCATCTTCACCATGAAGGATTACAGGAACAACGTCGTCGCCCAGCAGATTTCGTCCTCGATCATGATCACCGATGACCACAAGACACACCTTCCTACGTCTACTATGTCGTGTTCGAATACCCCCATCCCACCGATAGGGCCGCTACCGGCAAATATTTCCAACGACATGAAGCCGGTCGAGGCTCCGATGGCATTCCAACTATCGCAAACAGCACAGCCCGACCTCCAGGGCTTAATGCAGAACGGTACCTTCACATTTATTTCTGGATCCGTCAACAGCAGCCATCATCAAGCCGTGTCAGTCACTGCCACATCTCCCAGCTTATCTAGGCAAGGATCACCAACGAGCCCGATTGGCCCTTTATCCAGGAAGAGGAAGGCAAGCGGATCTTCAAAGGTGCCCAGCGGTCTGACGATGACAAAGCTAGAGACGAGTCAATCACCGTCGTCGTTTTCATCAGGGGCCCCGAACGACTCAACCATTGTGTCCGGGGCCACGTCGCCGTTCTCGCCGAGCATGACGACATTCCCGGCGGGTGCGGACACCTTGTTCTCTATCGGACAGCAGCCAACCATGAACAACATAGGCCAGCATTTTTCGACGAGACCGCCTACACCCAGTAGCAACCCTCCCGAGCAGCTCATCTTCCCGCCCGGGACTCGAAATGTAAATGTTGACAGTATACCGGTGCCTCGGTTGTTTTCCGCTCCAGCATCAGCTCATCCAAGCCGCGCTCCTAGCCCGAACCGACTGCGGCACTCGCTTCAGAACGCGACGCATACCACGCTCAGCCAGACCCTGTACAACGCGCCTACCGAGACGAGTTCGAGTAGAGCCCCCCAGCCGATGATATATAAAATCATTCCAGGGGAGGGGCCGAAATCGGGAGGCGTCGAGGTGACAATTCTCGGAAGTGGCTTCACCAACGGTGGACTCGAGGTAATGTTTGGAGAGCAAAGGGCAGCTACAACAACCTTTTGGGGCGAGACGTCTCTAGTCTGCCTCCTTCCGCCGTCCCCTAACGCAGGCGTGGTTCCGGTGTCGATCAGGCAGCCGGGTGTTGCTTCTCAGCACCCGTTCAGCAGCAATCAGCAGCCCCTATTTAGATATGTTGACGACGACGAGCATCGCCTGATACGCACCGCGCTCACAGTTCTAGGTCATAAACTCGGCGGTAAGATAACAGATGTCGCGGATATCGCGAGAAATATCATCTATGGGTCTGGAAATAGCGGCTCTTGGGGTCCTTCTGCGGCCGTGAACCAAGCGCCCAACTCAAGTTTCAACAACCTCGCACAAGACCTCTCGGATTCCGCCGAAAAGGGGCTGCTCCGAATCCTGGAGCTCATCGACCTCGACGACAGTGCTAACAAGGCCCGCATCAATCTCAGGAGATCGAGTGGGCATACCATGTTGCATCTCGCCTGCTCCCTCGGGCTTGTCCGGTTCGTTGCCGGTCTCTTGTCGCGCGGTGCCAACGTGGGCGTCCGAGACAAGGGAGGTTTCACGCCGCTGCACTTCGCTGCGATGAACGACCACCCCGAGATCGTCCGCCGTCTCATTATGAACGGAGCCGATCCAAGCATGCGAAGTCTATCGGGGCTCACTCCAGCCGATGTTTCCCGTTCTCGAGACGTGCTCCGAGTTCTCCGACGTATCGAGAATCATTCGAGGTCTCGAAGTGGCGGCTCTGTTCGAGACGGATTCGGTAGTGCCAGTTCTCTCCGATCTTTGTGGGACCCACCGTCAATGACTGCAGCGCGCCGCGAGCGCTTTGGGCGGGATGGATCGACCCCGAATGAAGATAATCGAGGCAACGATGACAGCTCGTCAGAGGAAACCGATAGCGACGAAAGCAACGGTGACTGGTCAGCTATGAGGCGGCCAAGTTATCCACCGACTCAACATCATGCAGAAGCACCTCCACATCAAGCTGCCGATGTTGACGCCCCTCCGGCGACGCCGAGTGCCGCAATGACAGCTATCCGAGACCAATTTGCAACCCAGCTCCATCAATGGCAGCAAAGTATGGCGATACACTTTCAAAATCTGCCGCAGCTCCAGATGCCACAGATGCAGATGCCACAGATGCCGGCCCTGCCACCGATATCCATGCTCCCGGATTACCAGGCATACCTTCACACAGCTCCTGTCATGCAGCGTATCAGCTCCCTCGTCCCAAATATCCGTGGCCCACGTCCTGGGTCGGCCGGCGAACAACCTCCGCGGGAAACTGATAGCAAGTGGTGGGATCTCGCCTTCTTCGGCACTAGAGAATCTCCGCCGCCAGCTTACGAGGACATATATCCTCAAAAGGCCTTCGATACGAAGCAGGCTTCGGCTGCCGCGGCCGCAGCCGAGTTCGAGGCGGACAGCAAATGCGAGGCCCTCTTCGACAGACAGAGAACGACGTCGGAAGCGTCACAATCACATGAAGTGCCAGCGCTTCTCGAAATCGGGCGAAAGCGGAACATAACCAAGGAACAACAGGAGCAACTACAGCGAGCCCACGCTCAGAGGCTTAAGACCGGTAGCAGCGATAAGATGCTGTGGTTTGTTTGGGTAAGTAGTACGAGCCGTTTCCGCTCGATGCTTCCACTAACATACTTGCTCTCAGATTCCCGTCCTGGTCTTCATCATATGTGCAATGTTGGCCAGCGGCGCGCCTTCGCTTGTATCTAGCACCGCCGAGTTTGTCAGGTCTGCCTCTGCCTTTGTCACGGATCCGCGAGAATTGGTGCAGTGGCTTGTCCCTAACGCCGCGGGGGTTTAACATTTAGCGTCTTGGGAGCTTCTATCCTGCCTCCCTTCGCCATTAGGAGGCATGAGACTTGAAAGATTCTGTTTTTCGGATGTGTATTTATCTATTTTGTGCAGTTGCGTGAAGTTGGTTGCTCTATATTATGAATGTGGGCGGAATATGAGAGAGAGAGAGCGATGAGCGGATTCTCTATGGGAGGGCCTCGCCCAGTTGGTCAAGGCGTTCAAATCGTATCTTGTTAATAGTCTTCACACCTAGCAACCTTCGTATCGAATCTAGATAGCCTAAAGCGTTTGGTTTCGGTTAGGGGAGCGTTCAACAGTTCGAGAAGAGTAGTTGGCTAGCAGTCTGCCCGAGCAAGCGAAGGAAAATCATGGGTAAATAGGTATGATGACATTAGGTATACGTGCAGGCATAAATACATAACTAATTATCACATTGATTATTTCTCTCTCTCTCTCTCTCTCTCTCTCTCTCTCTTCCTTAAATACCTCTTAGACTGGTAGCTGTAGTAGACAGTTGTTTGGTCGTCTATGGCGGTGGCCGTTGCTCCGTTGGGCATTCTCCTCCTTCTCATTGCATGCATGCATCAATGATATTCATTTATCTAACGAATTAACAGTAACGCCCGTCTCCTACGTAACCAAGTGTCCAAAGTAAATAAGGACAGACAGGTGAGTGGATTAGCACGTGTCGTTGCAAGAACGATACGCAGGTCCCCAGATTATGCATGGTTTGCGTTGCGTAGAGAGAAGGGTAGAATAGGTACCTACGCATCTATCTATCCTACGCTTACCGGCTCGCCCGCCAGTTGCCTAACTATTGCTGAATATATATTAACTGTAGATCTTGGACATAGATAGATGAGTAAACCTGAATCTGTTAGGACTAAGTTAGTTATACTAATCATGCATGCTTCGTAGCGAGGCACAAGACACAATTTCTGTCCTTGTCGGAATAGTCGGATATACGGGGTAATAATGCCTCGCCCAAAAGCCGTACCTGGCCACTTTCGTCGCTGTCTGATCATTTCGTGATGACAGGAGTGAGATATGGAGGATACTATTATCGCTGTGCTCAGCGTGTGAATACATGTAACCGGAGGTCTCCGGGCCTCTTGCTTATGGTGCGATTAACTACAGACTTTCGCTAGAAGAGAATTATATATATAGCTTCGTGAGTGGTATGGTATTCAACCACCAGGGGCTTTGTTTCTTCAAACAGTTCAACCGGCCGCACGCTATCCCTCTTCAAAGCTACCGTACGAAAAACAAGCCTTTCTTAACCACTACCCGCGCGACGCGGCAAAATACCCTCGCTGAGGTCCTGCTCAACTACCCCGACCTCCCAAAGAACCCGTAGTCCCTCTCGAGCTGCGCCTCAACCCACCGTGGCCACGCGTTGTAGTGACTATGCTCTGCGTCAACCTGGCGGTTAAGGTACCTAAGCCAGCGGCCCATGCCGAGATCTGCTCCCGCACCAGTACCGTAACCGGCACTCTCCACGCCACTTCCCTCACCCTCGCCCTCACCACCACCGCCGCCGCCGCCGTCGCCTCCCACGCCTTTATCGCTGTCGGGTGCAAGGCGCAGCGGCTCCTGCGAGCGCACACGGTACTCCATAGTGGTGACGGGGGCCATCACCTGCTTGACGGCGATCCAGTGCGTCGCAAGCAGCGTAAATACCTGCGAATCTGGGTCGATGAGCCGCTGGAACTGCTCGTGGGGCAGTTGCATCCACCACCCGTAGTGGCGGCACAGGCTCTCATACGCTGCGGTTTCGGTGGGGGGGTGGGTGAGCAGGTTAGTCTAGAGAGCGGCACGGGGCGGGTAAGGGGGGCGAGGAGAAGGAGAGGAGGGATCCACCTAAGAAGGAGGAGGCATACATGGCCTCAGTGATGGCAAGGGTGAGGCGGTGGTACTCGGCCTCGACGGGGCCAGCGTAGCAGAGAGGAGCGAGAGCGCGAACGGAGGCGGCGGCGGCGTCGACCCAGTCGCGGCGGATAAGCGGGACGGCCTCCATGTGAGGGCGCAGCATGTCGAGGCGGTCCTGGTCGCCAAAGTTGCGGAAGAGCAGCCGCGTGCCCTTGTACCCCATCTGCAGCGCCACCAGGGCGATGCCCCGGCAAAACGTCATGAACTCGGGCATCCCGTCCTCGAGAATCACAGACTGGAACATGAGTGCAAAGCACGTCGCCACTGTTCGGCCGGCGCGGGGGAAGTTGCGCGGAAGCGTTAGTTAGGTGGCGAGGTTTAGTCCGTGATGAACGGGATGGGGGGTTGAGTTGATAAAAGTACAGAGAGAGAGACAGAGAGAGAGGAGGGGGGAGGCTGTGACGGTATTTGATTCATAAGGCTAGATACGAGATAGATAGAGTAGACAGTTCGGTAGCCAAGTAAACGGGCAGCTATCCCGAATTAGGATGGCCGGCCCGGGAGCTAACGGCTCGGAACAGGATTCCCAACGTAACGCGGATGCCGTGTAACGGCGCAACGGGATCGGGATCGGGTTGGGATGAGCGGGAAAGCCAAGGGGAGGGGGGAGCTTCGGATCCGAAGACAGGTCCAGCTAATTAAGGAGGAGGGGGACATGATCACCTACATAGGGCGTTCCCTTCTTCGAAGGTGTTAGTCTTGGGCACCTCGTTCAGTGTCTTCTTGATCGCTTTGATCGCCTTGAGCCGGTGCATCATCGCGAAGGTGAGCAGGTTGGGGTCCTGCTTGATCAAGTCGGACGCGGCGAGGCCGAGGATTGCGTGCATGAGGAATTCGTACTATAACATCGAGAACCATTAGTTTCGTAACCATGCCCGACCAGAGGTTCTCCCCCCCCCCCCGTCTCTCCCTCTTTCTCTGGCGAGCTCTTCTTGTTACCACCGCGCCGCATCCACGTACGTCTTGCGAGAGACACGGAATCTCGTGGGTCCAGATGGAGTCGTTGCCCAGCGGGTGGTGCGGGAAGCAGGTCAGCAGGAAGTGCTGAAAGAAGCGCATGTCCTGCAGGCTGAAGAGGGGCACTTGGTGTTGCGGCTGTCGCGTGTCAGTCAGTAACAAGGCCTATGAGCGACACCGTGCGGCGTTTTCTTTTACTTGATGTACGACTTGGGGGACTGCTGGGTATTCACAATTCAGTCCCGTCTTCACGCAGTGGCCGCAAGCAGGCCGGGTCTCTTGACACTATTCCGCCAGGTCAGCAACCGAGGCGAAGCCTTCTTCCTCTTCTTCTAGACGAAGTAGATCCTAGGTACCTTGATGCGTCGTCTCTTGCAGTTGTAGCACCCGCGGCGGCTCTTGGTGTGGCCCCGTCGCTCGGACCTCTGCCTCTGACCGCTGTTGCTGCTGCCCTTGGCCGTCCTACCGGCCGGGGACGCGATGCTGAGTATGCCGGCATCATCGTTCAAGCCTGCGGTAGAACCCGGGGCCCCGTCGTCGGCCAGATAGCCGAATTCGTCGTCCGCGGGAAAGGGAACGTGGTTCAGATAGACCCCGTGGTCCAGGTCCGCGAGCGAGAGGGGGATAGGCTGGGTGAAGTCGAGCGGGTCCATCGCGCACAGTTCACGCTCTGCTGTTGAGGGATATATTCTGTCCGCCGAGGCTCGGGGGGGGGGGAGGAGGGGGTTTGGGGTGGTCCGGAAGATAGACGAGAAATGTTCCTCTCTGGAGAAGGAAAGAATGGGGAAAGAGTAGATAGCCGATTTATTGGAAGAAACCTTGGGATAACTACGGGATTAGAATGCTGATCTGCCTATCGCCAAGCCGTACCCAGGGCCTCAGCTGCACTCAGCCAGTAAATCACGTGCCGCGAAATCGTGGCGATGCCTATCACGGACTCGATTCAGGAGGGCCGGGAGAACGACGTGTGGTTGGTCCAAAGTCGTCATGGCCGTAAGCTGGGCTGGCGTTCAGCCACTCCCTGGGTTATAGTAGTCTACTGTTGGTATATGTGGATGTTCATTCTCAGCATCGGCTGGCGTCGTCGTTACAGCGGCATGCTGAGAGAGACAGAGTCTCTAGGAATACCTGGGGCTGTCATTGCGGGTACTCCCGCGGCGAAGACAAGGCCACGGAGCCATGTCGACAAGGCCTTCTTGCCCGGTTATAATAAGGCGCACGTGTCTCTCCGCGTTTCGCAACCGTCTAATGACAGGGAGGCCGCATTTCCTGGGAGTCTGCTTAGTTATTTTACGGCGACGGCGGGTAATCAATAGACCGTCTCGCTGGCATTCCCTATATAGCAAAGTTAGTCGATGAGTTCTCACGACAGCCTCGAAGACGCGTGGCACAGGGCAGGCAGCCATGTGCTTCAAGATGGCGGCGTGGAGGTGGCTGTGGAGTCGTCTTAGTGGGTAATATCAGCTCTACGCATTTTCCTGTCATATAGACAAACCTGGAAAATGACGAGTCGATTACTGACTAACCTGACTAACGCAAGGGGTGGGATGCCATCAAATCAATTGTTGAGCACTCATCAACTATTATGGGTGTATTACCTGTTGTCTGAACCGTCATCTCTGTTGGGCTGAATGAACGCAGGACAATCAAGTCTCATCCTCTAGCATCCCCTATAGACGAGTGGTAGACGAAGAAGTTTTGCGTACTAATATCACCTCATTACACTCTCCAATATGCCCGCCATGCTCTTAGGACCGGTCATTAGCTGTATTATCTACAACTCGCCTCTGCACATCTGACCTGCAAAAGAGGCAAGTACATCAGGCCGCCGGGCCTGGACTTGCTGGTTTCATACTAGACCCACGCGTGAAGCATTGCAATTCTTAACACTGGAGCGTCGGTATCAATTCCGGGGCCAGCTTAAACCCTTACCAACACATGTACCCATCGTGACAGCTTATTAAATGGCCGCATCAAGATGAGATTCGTACCGGGAAACTGTAGGGATACGGTTACGAAAGGTGCTAGGCGGAATGGTCCCCGAGTCATGGTTTGCCCAAGTGCTGGTGATGCCGACTCGGTGTCGGAGTCTGCAGGAGAGCTACCGGGCCCGCTACGGCTTTCCGCTCGTTGTTGTCTCTCCGCCGCTCCTACCGGCAGCACTTACCGAATTAGTGGTTTCGGAAGCTTATATTGGGTAAAGGCGTCCGGCGTTAGAGCTTGTTGCGAAGAGAACAGAAACTATGCCACAACGGGCTAACGCTACGGAAATGAAGTTGAGAAGGGGACACGACTGGTACTAAAATACCAAAGTATCGGGGCTTAGTCAGAGAGAGAGAGAGAGAGAGAGAGAGAGAGAGAGAGAGAGAGTGAGTGAGTGAGTGAGAGTGAGGGAGTGAGTGTGTGTGTGTCAGCAGTGAACCTAGGTTCAATTTCGATCGAGATAACGTTGCGGGTTCTCCTTTTGGCATTATTTTGTGCTGGCGAGTGGTGGGAGTGATGTTGATAGGGTCTTATTGCATGTTTCTATCGCGGATCAGAAGCCATACCTGCGAGAGCTGCCACGGACACTAAGACAAATAGTACGCCTGGTCTGGTCTTCCCCTTCTGCTACCTCTAGGTAACCCCGCGATCTTAGCCATCTACCCGCGAATCGATCCACGTATATCCATCGACCAATCTATATGTTGCAAACTCTGAGGAAACATTGGAAGTGAATCTGTTAATAAATGGGACCAGGGTTGAAACCGCGGGCACAACCGGCTCGCCATCGCAACAACGGACGTAGGTGCGCTGAGGGATTGTGGACTGCGCTCCCGTTTAGAAAATGGTCGAGGAGAAACCATCGTGAGAATTATAGAAAATCAGTCTCGCGATGCATCGTCCGTTTCTTACCCGAGCAGCACAAAGGAAGCCGACATCATCAGATTGGGCCATTCGACCCAGACTCCTTTCACTTATTATACCTCTTTCCGGGGGTGTGTGAGGGCCAAAAATAGAATCCATGTGATCTAGCTTGAACGCTTGTCCGAATCCGTCAGTGAAGTAGAGCACCTTGAAATAACCCCGGCCTCGCTCTCTTCTTCTGGGGACTTGATTTCCCAGGTGCTTTTGGAGAGTGGTGTTCTCGCGATCCTCCTGGCAGCTGTCGACTACTCGGGTTGATGAGCTTGATTAGAACTAGTTAGGCAGGTAGTTGACCCGAATTCGTCTCCATTGCAATTTTGACACAGCAGATTGCACGCGTTTTTATTAGAAAGAGGAAGGATTGTCACGAACGGAGACCCCGCACTCTTACGACGGGTTATAGCGAGAGAAATATCCTCATGATATCGTCTCACTCGAAGTTTTATGTGGTTTGAGTAGACTAGAAGATAAGCTAGTTTGCCACACGGCAACCGCTCTCCCTAGTGCAATAGGGGCGTTTTCCGTTCCCCTTGTGCCGCCCTCCAAGACTGTGGCCTGTCTGGTACTGATCGACCGTGCACATAACGAGAATAATCAGACGATCGAAAATGGTCTCCGAGAGCCTCCTTTCTCTGGCTCCGCGACACACACACACACACACACACACACATATATATATATTATGTAGGCAGTAGTGCGGTCAGGAGATTGGTATCAATCTGGCGCATGTGATAGGTATCTAGTTGTGTCAAGCCCCATGTCTTGCTCTGAGAAAGAAGGGGGAGAAGAAGACACCATTAGTTCGTCAAACGACGACGTTGTTCGTTTATCCGTAGACTAGCCTAGCTACTCGTCCTAGCTTCCCACCATTGGCTTGGGGGAGGGAGGGGATGGCGCAGATTTTCCGCAAGCCAGATTCCCGAGTCGCGAATCATTGCCATGAGGGGAGGTTGACATGGATGGCTAACTTGATTCGCCGGCGTGGTCAATTAAAAAGATCGGCGTGTTGACATCCAAAAGAGAGCAGGGCGACATATACAAGCTTTACTGCGGTATCGCGCGGGACAGGGGTGTTGAGATCTTGGGGAGCAATTGGGCGCGCACCAGCTGTGAACTGTGATAGGTAGAAAATCCATCATCCCGCCTGCCTCTTGACGACGGGAGCCTGTTAGCAAGCAACAGTATTGCCTGGATTACGACCTCAAGAGCCGCGGGCCCACACCGGAAGCGGCCAGAGGCAGGTTAGATAGGTAGGCAAGTTTGGAAGAGCTGGTTTTTGGATATGTACGTTTCTTGCTTCTTCGCTTTTGACTTGGGTTATCTGACAGGGGGGGGATATATGTATGCACGTACTTACGTGTATGTCGACCACCCGGTCGCTGCTAGACTATGAATAACCGTGTCCACGTATGCACACGAGACCGCCTGGCAGGCCGAGGAGGAGGAGAAAGAGAGAAACACAAAGACAGGAGGCGGAATGGTCCGGTAAGCACAGCATCTGCTGGCCTAATTGGTCTAGACTTCGATAATTGCTGACTACCAACCACCGTCGTCTACACGTGGACCAAACGGAATCCAAGCCAAGGGCTTCCTACCGGTAGGTGCCACCATAGGCACTTTAGCTATGTAGGCGGTGACTATGGCGATATGGCAAATTCGTCGGTCAGGGCCCTCAGGTGTGTAGTTGAGACGGCCGGTGTCTCGCCGGCGACGAAAGGGAGGGCCGAAGAAGAGGAAGAGGGAGGGGAAGAGAAATAGCGCGCGCTATTACCCGCTATCCGCTCAGCTCTCAGCCGACGACCGCTTTCTTTTTCAGCCTCCCCCTTTCTCCTCCCCCTGTTCTTCTCCTTCTTGTTCGCATCTTGAGGACCGATCGAGGCATTTTAGTGCCTGAGCGTAGGATAGAGTGCCCACGGGACCGAATGCCCTTTGTTTTCGAGTGAAGCAGATGAACCGAACCACGTGTTGTAACTTGTGATGCGGTATTATGAAGGCGAATGTGCCCCTAGAGCAAATGGGGAAGTTCTGGAGAACAGAAGAGGGGGGGGAACGGATGTTTGGTGATGCGTACATGCCTACGTACTGCACTGAGAGGGATATCTCTTGTCTTAGGTAGGTACCTGGGTTAAGTACTTGACCCAGGCCAAAATAACCTGCTCAGCTTCCTTGCCGCGCAGAAAGGTGCGAAGAGGCGCGCGATCGACTAGGTAGGTACCTGGGCAGGTACCTCGGAGAGGGCACACCGATCTGTAACAATCAGGGGTCGTTCAGGGAATCCTCGCGTCGCCGGCTCACGGATCCTCGTGTTTAGTGGGCTGTCTCCGCCGCGTTCCTGCAGGTCTAGCGGCTGTACCTGCATAGGCTACGTAAGCTCTTCCGGTACGAAGCACCAGCACTACGCATGCAGGCGTGCAGTAGCGCTGAGCGATGAGGTCGGATTAGGGTGGCACGGCGCGGCGATTGGCCAGCTGACAGGGTTCGCTGTTGCCAAGTCGGTTGGCACCCTGAGAAGCAGGTGGAAGCAGGTATATACGTACCGCCGATCAGGTAAGTAAGCCCGCCTTGGGTGTTATGTAGAGATAGAGGTAGGTAGGTACCTAGGTAGGTAGGCAAGTACATACGTGTACCTAATGCTGTTAGGTGGCTGGGCCAACAGCAATCCATCCGCATCCGCCGTGTACGCCATCGTGAATATGTGAACACAGCGCCGCCTTGGTAGGAATACCAGGCTCCGCGACCAATCGTTGTATAATCGAAGCGGCCATGATACAACGCAAGGCAAGGAGACCGCGAAAGGTTCGACGAGTCCTGCCGAAACGGGCTAGTGGGCTGGTATTTTAGGGTCACCATCCGAGAAAGCCATGCAGATGGCCTCTTGTCAATCGGAAACCTCGACGTAGCCACGTCAAGAAAAGCCTATTGTGCTAGAGCAGATAAAGGCGTTCGTTGTCCCAGACCTATAATTGTGCCCGTAGTCCCACTCCGGGGCGAGGGTACTTGCCATCATCCTAACTTTGGCAGGGGACCGCGGCCAGTGGGAACTAACGAGGCCTGGCTTAGTTCCTGTTCCTCCTTTCATCCATCCAGACTATTAGACTACTACCTCCTGCTGCTAGCCTCAGTACAATGGATGTACGGTTCCCACATGGCGGCTTCCGTCTTCCATGGCATCTTGGCGCCGGCGCCGTCCATAAATAGCCTATCAGACGGCCGAAGTGGCTCGACGGGCTTAGGTACCAGGTACGGACCATACCTACCTAGGTAGGCAGGGAGACAGCGTTAACACCCTCCTTTCAGGCACCGAATGTACATTAGGTGCCCGCATACCGACAAAATGCCAGACCAAGTGCAGCAAGCCGCAGGCATTGATATCGATGTATGTATGCTGCCTTGCCTGAGCACTTGTTTGCCAGGCCGGGTCTGATGCGAAATACCATGGCTGTAGATTGTCGAGTCAGACAGCATGCGTGATATTGATGAAGGGCAGGTCAGTAGGTGCGTAAGATGCGTAGGCAGGCAAGCCAGTAAGAGCGAACGTATGTAGTAGGTAGGTACCTCTCTTGGTCTGTACGTGTACGTCGCGATGTACCCACCCGGGTCCAGGTCTAGAGCAGGAGGGGGCCACTGACAGGGCGGGCAGGGGAAAGGGAAGGCACCATCTTTCTTGTGCCACCCCACCAGACGCACGCGCCCCGCCCGCGTCCCGATTGCTGGACCGCACCTGCATTGTCTTCAACTCAACTTGACTATCCAGGACGCAGTTGGCGGCGCCTACACCCAACAAGTACGTACCTCCTACACAATGCCACATTTGCATACGCTTCCGTAGGGGGGGGGGGGGAGACCGCCCTTCATAAACTCCCCTTTCCCACCCAGAGAATCACCGCTCTCCTTTCCCTCCTTCTCCCCACCCTCACCCTCACATTCATTTCCTCTTTCGTCTTGTCGTTTTTCCCTCTGGTCGCCAGCTTCGACCCATTGCCCTTCACTGGCCATTCCTGCGAGTGGGCTCAACCCGTGATTCATCCCGTGAGGTTGCCGGTTGTGTCGAGTGTTTTGTCCCTTCGAACCCCCGTCGAACGTCATACACGCCTACACGACCCCGTCCAGAACCAGCGCGCATTGTCCCAGGGTACAGGCTGATATCCTCATCAAACTCGCATCATTCCTTCTGCGTCTTTGATAGACTGCGCGACCCGCTTGCCGTCTTGTTACCGGTAGCACGTCACGTCTACGCCGAGCGTACAGCAACCCGAGCACGCTTACCTTCATTTTACTCTGGCAGTATCTCACGGTACATCCGACTCTCCTTTGAGTGGACCGCTGGCACCTTGTCATTCCTTGGACAGAAGATCGCCATATATTGGCTCTAGGAACCATACGAGACAAACAGAAGAAAAAAAAACTATATAAAGCCCACATCTCACTCCCATCCGAGTACCGCCGTCGTCGACACAACTCGAGCAGCACAGGTCCCAAGATGTATGCCAAGCTCTCGATTCTAGCGCTCTGCGCTGCCGCGTCGGTGAAAGAGGTGGTCGCTGGCCCTCTCCATCGCCACCCGCACCCCAAGAGGGAGATTGTCTATACCGACGTCGTTGTCGTGACCGAGTGGGTGACCACGACCGTCACGGGAGGGGAGGCGCCTGCTACCCAGGAGCCTGTGCCGACAACCACCCCGGTTACGATTCCCTCCCCTGTTGTCAAGAGTCCACTCCCCGAGCAGACCCCTGCTCCCGAGAACCCGCCGGTCGCGGAAGCCCCTGTCGTCGAGAGTCCCGCACCCGAACCTCCCGTCAAGCAGGCCCCGGTCGAACAGAATCCCGCTCCCGAGACCTCCTCAGTTGTAGAGGCCTCTGTCGAAAGCCCTCAGCCGGAAACCTATACTCCGGAACCTTCCCCTGAGCCTACCCCCAGCCCTACCCCTAGCTCTACCCCTAGCTCTACCCCCAGCCTTGCCTCTCGGACTAGCAAGCGGGGAGCTGCGTACAACGACCCCAACCTCGTTAGCGCCCTCGTCGGCTCCTCTAACCAGATCTCGTGGGCGTACAACTGGGGATCCGACAGCGGCGGCTTGACTGCTCCGATTGCCTACTACCCCATGCTCTGGTCGCCTATCCCCCTCCACTCCGACAATTGGGACTCGAAGGCGGAGGCCGCTCTCGCCAGCGGATCTGACTCCCTGCTCAGCTTCAACGAGCCTGATATCGTCAGCCAGGCCAACATGTCGCCCGCCGATGCTGCTGCTGGCCACATCCAGTTCATGAACAAGTACGCCGGCAGGGCCAGGATCAGCGCGCCGGCTGTTTCCAGCAGCCAAAACCAAGGGCAGGGTCTCGACTGGCTCAGCCAGTTCTTCACGGCCTGCAACGGCCAATGCCAGGTAGACTTCTGCGCTGCTCACTGGTACGGCCCCGGCGGCGAGGACGGAGCGAGCTTGTTCCTCGATCACATCAAGGACGCCTACGCTCTCTGCCAGAAGCCCATCTGGATCACCGAGTTCGCGGCGGAGAGTGGTGACGTCGACACTTTCATGAGGGTTGTCACTGAGAAGCTCGACAGCGAAGAGTTCAACTTCGTCGAGAAGTACTCGTACTTCATGGTGAGCCAGGGTAGCATCATGGCCGACGCATCGTCCCTTTCTTCTTTCGGAAAGATCTTCGCCGGCATCGCGTAAAGATAGTCGCCTACTGGGGGCGGCATTCTCCACCTTTCGATTCTGCACAGAAAGTTTTTTGTTTTCACGATCTCAAGGCTATCAGGAGTCATGTTTTTTTAAGGGGCAAAACGAACTGGGGCATGCGTCAGGAGGGTTACACAAAAAATTCGGTTTAGGGACTTCCCATTTCTCTGTACATAGTTTACGCGTTCAGCTGCTGCTAGGATTTTCCCGGTCGTCTTGAGGGCATCACCAAGACGTCTAGACTGAAATCTATCCAGCATTGGTCATTGTTTCTTTTTTGTTCGTATATGAGTTATGGAATTGAGGGCACGCACATCTCGGGATCACGACAGATTCATGAAGACACGATCCGCAAATGAGAGATTCTCCCTTTTCGAAATAAAAAAACGAGGCTAGACAAAGCCGAGACCGTTTTCAAGCGCTCGTTTGTGCCGTCTGAATAAAAAAAAACATTCATTGTCCTAGTTGTAAATTTCCCAATCCCGTGCCCCTTGTGACATGTCTTGTCCTGCCCTGCCCTGCCCTACCTCTACCCCTCCCCCTCTATCATGTACCCAGACGTGTATATGTGGCGAGACGGGTATGCCGTCGCCTCCTCGCCATTATGAATTACTTTGCAACAATACATTCGCACACATACGCAGATGACAAAGGGAACCTCAACAGACTGCTTTGCCTCCAAGGCAACTCCTCCCGGCCCCCACGCCCCACCCCTGCTCGCTCGATCATCCCCCCTCTCGTATGCGCGCATAGGGACCCGCATCAGATCCAACCGCCCGTGTCGGCACCCTCGCCGGCCGAGCCCCCGCCCAGCTGCAGCGGGTCGCGCCAGCGCGCGTCCAACACGTCCTCGATCTCCCTCGCGCCGGCGCCGTCGCCCGGCTTCGCCGGCCCCCGCGCCCCGTCGAACGCCAGGTCGCCGATGCGGTACGCGCACGCCTGCGGCTGCCGCCGGAGGTCCTCCGTGTTGCCGCAGACGGGCCGCGGCGGGGAGCGGGCCGAGGCAGCGCAGACGTAGGGCGGCGGCGGCGAGGTCGCGGGGTAGCAGGACGACGCGTAGAGGGACGGGTACGCGGGGGAGGCCGTCAGCGAGGATAGCAGTCGGAAGGCGTTGCCGTTGCCGTTGTCGCCGCCACGTAGCTCCGTCGCGCCGGCGCCGGAGCCCCCGCCCTGCGTCGCCTGTCCGGCCGCCGCGCCGCCGAGGGGTCCGTGGCTGAGTCCGCGCGAGCTAGCGCCGCGGCGCCGCGCTCGGCGCCGTCCAAGTAATAGGGCTCACGACCTCGTCCGCGTCTGCATCCGCCGCTGTCCCCGCTGCGAAGCCCACGTCGCCCCCCCCGTCTCGCGCCGTCCGTCACTCCCTGCGTCTGGCGCCGGCGCGGCGGGTTCGGTGCTGACGGTGGCTGGAACACTTCGGCCTGCCGGATCCAGCCGGAGACGATCCATCCCGCTAGCGACGGCCTCGGCTGCGCTGTCCGCCGCGGCGCCTCGGGTCTCCCGGTCGTCGCGGAATACGCGCTCGTACTGAAAGGTGCTCGTCGCCGCGAGGGGCCGCGAGATAGCCAGCCTCTTCTCGCTGACGCCGCTGCTCCCGGCGCTGTTTCTGCGGCTCTGGCTGCTCCTGCCCGGGCTCGGGCTCCTGTTGCTGCTGGTTCCGCCGTCACTCCGATTGTCGCACGGCGGCGTCGCCGTGTTCGTATGAGGGTGAGGCGGCGACGACAGCGACGGGTGCCGCAGTAGCCGGGCGTCGGGGCACAAGAAGGCGGGCGTCGGCGCTGAGGGGACGGGGCACTCGCCCGGTAGAGTGGTCCGGATCGCGGCGCCGACATTGTCGCGCGACGTGATCCATTGAACCACCACGGCGGAGAAGAGGACTGACCTCAGTTTAGCCTGCGCAAGGCAAGAGACTGGGGTGGGCAATTCAGGGGAGCAAGGTGGAAAGAGAAGAGGATAGGACGCATGGCGCTAAGACGATACCATAAACCACCTCGCGAGGTACCTGCTGAGAGGGAGAGAGAGGGGAGCGGGAGAAAGAAAATAGGGTCGGTAGCCACAACTCACCGTCCGCATTGTAGCACATCAGGCACACCCATCCTGGCTCGCCGCCAAGCGCAGCGAGAACCCCGAGGTTTCTTAAGGGGACCCTCGCGTTAGCATGCCGCTTACAACCCGCTGCCGTCTCCCTTGCTCGCTTACCACATCGCGCAAGCATAGAGAGCGAGTCGGGGAAGAAAAGGGGGAGGGGGTGAAAGGAGGGGCTGTACTTACATTGCGCTGACTATCGTCGCGCTTAGGGCGCCGACGAGGTTCCGCACAGCTACGGCGCGCAGCCGAGACAGGTTGGCTGGAGTGCGGGCTAGCTGCAGGTTCTTCGAGGAGTATATATCTATAGCATAGGCAGGTAGGTTAGGCGGACGGCTATCAGCGCCGGAGTAGCAGAATCTGGGTCGCGTTACGCCACACGGGAGAGCAACAGGAATGAGGGCGGAGGCGGCGGGAGAAGAGAGAAGGGCGGCGGTGGTGGGGCGAGTGCTCACTCACTTCGCAGCGGGGCCAGGAATAGGATCGTGAGGTAGGTCTATTTTACCCGTTTCTCGTCAGTTAGTGCCTCAAGTGAAGAGAGGAGGGGAGGGGGACAAGGTAAGTTGATCGCGCTTTTCCTTACGTGGACGGTGAAGTCAAACATGATGAGTGGCAGCAACGCCTGCTTCTGCACGCCGATGATACATCTGCCATCGTCGTCTACGTGGGCGATGCGACTAGAACAGAAAAGTGACGCTCGTTAACAGAGCCCAAGTACAAATCGTCACGCCCTTTTTCACGGGATTTGCATAGAGAACGGTGTTTCGTTCTCGCCCCTGTGAGCGCACTTACAAGACGAAGTTCAAGACACACACGGCTAAGAATGTCGCTAGAGGCTAGTTAGCGCAGCGCAGTCGCGCTTCGGGAGTACGCGGCAAGGGATGTATAGGGGACGGATAGAAAGAAAGAGAGACGCTACCAAGGATTCCGAACGAGTTGAAAATGTATAGTTTGGATTTAATTCGTGTTCTACTCCCTCGGATGATGGACTGGCTCGGTTACAATAGTCGGATCGTCAAGTGTAGCGGCTAGGAAGATGAATGGTAGAACGGATGAGGACGCTCACTGCCTTTTCGGCAAGAAATTGGTAGACCAACTGTTCCATCACGTCAGCGATTAGGGGTCCGAGCCGGTCCGCGGAATGGGCTCAGCACCCACGGCCTAGAATTCGCGTCGGTACAGTGCCACGGCCCTAGAAAGGAGCGGATCGGAACAAACGGTTGCGCTCGTGGGTTGCCAGGAGGTAGACGGGAGAGCAGGCCAGCCGCACTTTAGTAATAAGGTAGGATGATAAACACTGGATAATGGAGCCCGAGCAGATGCTCGGGCTCGAGTTGATTCCTACGCCGTAACGGACGACGGTTACCACGAATGTGAAGATCCACGAGTTGGCGTGTATCGCAAGGACAACTATTACGTATCGCAGTATGTTGTGCTAGCGCCTATGCTACCCCATCCCGGAATTCTCGGCTACCCAGACTCCGCAATCTAGGTACTACGTACGCCAGACGATAAGTGGCAAACGCCAGCAGGTCTTCATAGCCGGCGACCTCTGAGCTGCCCCGTCCGTTAGCACTCCTATCTCTCCTCGCCTATGTGTGGGGAAATGGCACAAACTGAGGAAGCAGGATACGACGGAGATGGCGCCGAAGGACAGTACCAAGCCGCCGGCGAGGGCCCCTAGAGGCTCCCCGAGATAAGCCGAGGCTGGGATGCCATGGTTGTCGTCGAGTTCGTCTCGTCGATACCGTAGAGATGGCGCCATTCGGGTATGTTGCCGCTTGTTCTCGCCGGGAAGGTCGGTGAGGTTAGAAGGCGAGGCAAATAAGGGGGGGCAGAGGAGCAGGACGAGACAGGAAGGGAAGGGGAAGATATTGTGAGTGCTAAGGCGTAGATTCGATTCGATCGCCAGAATAGGCCGCAGGCAGTTTCCGAGGAGTTCACGCAAGGTTTTGTTTCCCCCATTATAAGAAATCCGTAACCCTAATATGAGAGGGTCGGCGGGAAGATCTTGGAGTTTCGCATTATAAAACATAAAGCGGCGTATTAGACAGACAACTCTGAGTTCTGTCGGTTGAGCTTGAGAGAGTACTCGCCTTAACCCCCCTCAGTTGAGCTGAACTTGGGAGTAACAGCCTAACCTCCGCGGCGCTGCCGTGGGAAGATGCGGTAATGGAATTGGCCAACATATACTTCCATCACCTAGCCGCGAACTTTATCCGCAGGCGAAGACGGATATTTGCCCCCATGACAAAGATCGTGTTAGGTTGTGAAACATCATCGAGAATATATTTGCCTACGTTATATTCGTAAGGGCACGTATATCCTAGGCGGTGACTATACTGTGAGCACGGTGTGGAATTTTCGATTCTGCCGCTCAACGCCAGGACGATTCCAGCCCGGTATTCCTTGGACTCCGAAACCAAAGCCATACGCCTCCCAACGCCAACCAATGCCGCTCCCTCCCTCAGCACTCTTCATCCCTGGCAAGATTCGAGTCCGCTTCTATATATGGTTCCTTTCCCACCTGCCCAAATGTCGTTTTTGCTTCATTGTCGTACCAGGAGCCTCCCATCGCATTAAATCACCACCAATTACAACCAATCCCGTTCAGAACATCGTACTGTGGATTCATAGGACACGAAAGCTAGCGGCCTGTAGACGGCGAGTCCGCCGGCGGGTGAACCCGTGTCCGAATGTGGAATTTCTCTCGCAACCTGTCCGAAAGCTTAGCATGACGGCTTTGGTCTTCGGCCGAGCCGCTCCCTGCTCCTGCCCCTGCCCCTTGCTGGGATTGCCGGTATTGTCTAAGAGCCTGAATACGCTCGTCGACGGTGGCGTGTCGCAGCCTATTCCAGTCCAAAAGTCGAGATATTCGCCTTCTTTGTACCCCATCTGCGTCGTCCTCGGACGGGGGAATTGGTAAACTGTCGACGTGGTCGTTGTGTATATCGAGATGACCAGCTGTGTGGTCATCCTCGCTATCTTCTTGAGGGCGGAGATCAAGCCGACTAAGCAAATGTTAGTTAGCACTGCAAACCTAAAGCAAAAAGATATAAAAACAAGGATGGCTCACCACAAAGGACATGTGCCGGACACGTTGACCAACCATGGATCAATACACTGCGGGTGGAATTTATGGCCGCAAGGTAGCACCCTGACATCTTCCCCAACCGTAAAGTCCTCTGTACAGATCGAACAGCCAAGGTGATCGTCTTCCGCTCGCGCGCTGTCGGTCTTGTTTTTGTCCGATACGACGGAGGTTTCAGATGCGGCACCCGAGCCGATCTTCGACGTTGCCGCTGCCGCTGCCGCCTCTGGAGAGGCCCCGGCCTCCGTGGCACCGTTGGGCTCGCCGCTACGTGTAGTGGCTGTAGGCTGTTGCTGTGGTCGGTCTCCCGAGATACTGTCCAGCTCGTTTTCGAGATCTGGCTTCGCCGGATGGGGGTCGCCAAATTTGACGATGGGGAGAGTTTCGAGGACGGCTCTCGCGAGACCCTTCGCCCTGCTCTGCCTCGGTCTCCCACCGTAACTAGCTCTCGGGCCGTATCTCTCGGGATGCCGGTGCGCGCGAATTGCCCCGGTAGCAATGATTATGAGGAATAGTAGGGTGATTAGGCCAGTGATACTGTATAAAATGCTCATTGCTACAGCAGAGTTATTGCCTTGCGGCTGGTCGTTGCCGCGATCTGCCGCGCTGTAATTCCCTGATATCGTCGCGATCGTAATTTCCGTAGGATCCGAAATCAAGTTGTTGGTCATCCAAGCTTCTTGCGGATCGGTCATGGTCCAGACGGACGTGAATGGCAGGTTGGGGCCCTCCAGCGAACAGCAAGTTCCGGCAGTGCTGAATAATAAAATAGCCTTTGGTCCTTTGGCCATGATCGCATTTAGCACGTCATCCGGGGTGATGTAGGAGCTATTGGTCGCGGAGTCGCAAGTCATGTAGACAATGTTGTTTCTGACATCGAGTTCGCTGTAGTTTTGCTGATCCGCGATAACCATACTGGCTCGCACGTTAAATACCTGCCATTCAGTTTAGCACACCTCGCAACAACGCGACAGGCACGAGTTAACTGCGTATGTACCCTTAACGAATTTTCATTGGTCTGATTCAATCCGGCATCCCGAGTCAATGGCGCGACCTTGTACTCGAGGACGACGGTGCCGGGAATGGACGGGGATATCGAAAGAGCCATGGCGGAATTGTCGAGGTAGTCGGGCAGGTCGTGCATCGTGCTCGTATGGGCCACCTGGGCGGATGCGACGGATGCGAGACCCAGGAGCAAGGAAGCCATGATGGCGACTCTGGCGACGGTCGACGTCGCCATGCCGGGCAGGTATCTTCTTTCTTCTTCTTCGCCTTCACACAATCCGCCAGCGGTAGTGGAATAACTGAGGTAAGGGGCGGGAGGAGAGGAGAGGAGAGGAGAGGAAAGGAAAGAGACAGATGGAGGGAAGACCCGGGATGGCGGGGAAAAAGCAGGATGGGAGCAGTCAGACCAAGCGGATCGAATCTCGAACGAGAGCAGCCCTACCTAGCCACACACCCGGAGAGGGCTGGTGTCGCATCCCACTATCGCTATGTTCGAGAACTAGGTGGGCATGAGGGCCGGGGATTGCTCTTGCAGCTTGGCGGCGTTTCTTTCCCTCCCTGATCGACGGCAAGCGATTGGCACGATGGGGAGCGTAGATCCGGAGGGGAAAAGAGGGGAGTAGACTGAGGCTTTGCGCGGTTTTGTTGGGTGGCGCCGAGAGCGGTAACGGTAGGCACGGAACATCAAGTCGGGGCGCATGCGAGACTATGCGTGATGAGAACAGGAGGGAGCCAGCATGGCAGGCGTGTGCGCGAATGTAGGTGCGTTTATGTGTTGCGTTTATGTGTTGCGTTTTGCGTGTGCGTGGGCGTGTGCGTGTGCGTGTGCGTGCGATTCGGGACGATGGTGTGAGGTGGTGGGATTGATGGTGGGATCGGATTCTTGGGATGTAAGTTGGTGGTGGTGCTGGTGGTGCTGGTGGTGCTGGTGGTGAAGCGGTGGTGGACTCGACTGGAACTCGACTGGCATGGACGACGGGAATGGGATGTGGAGAAGGCGGGTTCCGGATGCGACGGGAACTTTTTCCTTCTTTTTCTTTTCTTCTTTTTTTTTTTCTCTCGCTTTATACAACAGCAGGGCCCTTCCTACCTGCCTAGGTATGTACCTGCCCACCCAGATGTGGGTACCTTAGGTACGGCAACCCAAGATATAATTATCCTACATTATGTGCGTATAGGTTAGGTAATTCTTATCTACCTTAGGTACCTGGAGTACGTCGTCCCTACACGGGCACCTAGGTAGGTACCCAGGTAGGTACCTCTTCCTCGAGGAGGATAGGGCACGCGTACCGTAATCTATATCACATCAATCCATCCCATTGCCCATTCCGCGCGTCCCGCACACGTTCAGAGGCCATTAGGATAGATGAGGTTAGGTACCTAACCTACCTCCTATCTGAACGCGACGTGTGGGTACCTAAGTCTCTCGGTAGGTAAGTGTACCTCCACCTACCTACCTAGCTAATGCATGCGTGCGGCATGTGCCTGGTACATCCTATAAAAAGTACCTATAGGTTACCTAGGTGGTGTATTCCCGCAAGAAAGACACAGAGTGCGAGAAGGAGAAGAGGGGGGAAGTCGAGAAGGCAGCCGCTGGAATGTCAAGATCAATCCGGAATATCTTCATCTAAACCTTGGGGTAAATACTCGGGACTTGGCCATGTACTTAGCCCATGTGTATGGTAGTAGTCTGCTTGGATGCGTAGGCAGGGGCACCCCTTATAGAATAGCATCTATAACGCTGGGCGTTGTTAGATACCTATGACGTGCAAGAGTCTCCCGGTCTGCTACCTAGGTACCTGCGTAGTAAGTTTCGTCTTCCTATACCTATCCATAGGTGGCACCTATACGCCGCTGCCACTCATTTATTGTTCCTTTTCTCTCTCTCTCTCTCGTACCCAGCTAGTAAGAGGGGTATACGGGCAGGGGCTCATTTCACTCGTGTGCTCTCGCTTAGTACCTAAACACCGAACAAATCCGTCCCGCTGCATATGTAAGCCGGGTCGTTGCTTTTTCGGTACCGGCCGCTGCGTCATGCTATCATGCTGCTTGATACCAGCTAACATTCCGAAACGGACATCGTTTTAGCGGAATCTTCTCTGTGAAGCACCAGAGGCTTGGCGTACCCAGCCAAGGTTGACTGCTCACTCCCCCGTCCATACCCAGCAATGGCAAAGACCCGGACCTGAACCATGGATAGGTCCGCAGGCGCGAGATACGCGATGTCGTAGGTATATAATTCCCGCCCATTTGCTGACTACGCACGTACCTACCGCGAACACGTCAATATACTAGACTCTCTACTCGATAGGTGGTAAAAGAGCGTTTAACGCGCTGCTGTCTCGCTGCTTCACGCTTATCATGACCATGAACAAATACAAATCTAAATATAAATACAACATGCGTATAGGCTACCTAGAGGTAGGTACCTAGGCGGTGCCTGATTTGAAGGGGAATCGCAATGCCAAGGGAAGCGCGCTGTGATTGCTGCTTATACCGACCTAGATACCTTCGATTTTGTGTAATTGGATAGGGACCAAGACGGACCTGGTGTGAGAGGCACATACGTATAGACGTTCGCAGATCGACTTGGGATTAGTCGAGCCTCAATTAGGTATCGAAATACACCTATGCATGAGAGATATGGGGTGCACCGGATGTCTAGAGTAAATGCGGCAGCTCAATCGACGACTCGCCGCATGAACTCCCCACCAAAGCCAGTCAGTCTATAAGGTTGTCCCCGCCAGCTTTTAGCTTTTCTGTTGTCTCCCCACGCGTCGAGCTGGCCTGCTTTCCCCGTCTTGTCCAATCCTAGAGGTGCGTGGCTCATTTGTCAGTGCCGCGAGAGTTCGCGGGGAGAATGAGATGGCGAGAGTAGGCAGCGGACGGGGCAACCCAATAGGACTATCACCTACCTACTATAGGTAGTCCACACTCCCATTCCATATTAAAGGGCACTTAGTGAGGTGTCCCCATGCCCGTGCTAGGCATGATCTGGGTAATCAGGTTAATTACTGGAATTTCTGCCTCACATCCGAGGTTACTCTCTTTTGCCCCTCCTCTCCCTCCTTCTCGCTCTTCCATGTGATCTAGATCGGGGGCGAGAAAACGTCACGACGGTGCTGTATGTCATTCTAACGCAGCTATTGGGTATTCTCCGAAAAGGTAGAGAAGGCTCTTACGTCCAGACAGAGCTCTCGGGATACGCAGACGGCCACACCGAGCCCACGGCGAGATGGCGTTGAAGGATGGTGAATGGGCTTACGGTGCGCTTTACGTAGCAAGTGCTATATTACACATGGACCGAACGGTATTTACCGGAGACCCCCCCTGGCGAGAATTGCCCGTCGAGACCGACACGTATCTAAGTGCTTGGCACTGCTTTGCACTAATATAGGTAGTATGTGGATGGAGCATCAAGGTTTGAGCCTGGGGAACCGTGCGCGAGCTCGTAACGGTCGACGTGAATCAAACCCGATCTCACGAAGTTCCAAAAAAAAATTTTTTTACCTAGGTAGCTTCTTATGAGTTAGGCATGCAACTGAGATCACCTGGGTACGACGCACCTCACCTGTATCACGATGTACGAACTACCCCCCCGTAGATCTGCCACAGGGCCTCGCCGGCCTTCCGCCAACGTTGTCTTGGTAGTGATTTCTGCTATTATTAGACAGAGCACAGCTGCAGGAGTATAACTCCTCGGGTCTCTCGGAGCCGCAGTGCTATTAGATGAGCGTAGGTGAGAGCTCGTTCGTGGCCCCGTTTCCGCCGAAAGATCCGCTACGTATCAGATGCCAAACTCACTCCCAAACTGAGGCCCCCTCACCCTCATCGCACCTGAGACTCCCGAAGGGAGAGACGCCACGTTCGAGTCTTAGGGCCTGCGTATCACTTCGCCCTACCATACATCTTCCTTACGTGACGGAGACGAGCGAGGTCCGAGGACGGGTTGCATACCTGGGACGGACGATTGAATATCCATAGACAATCGAGATAAGCGAGACGTCTCTTCCGTGATGACGTTGAGATCGTGGATACCAACCCAAACAGATCAACACCCCTAGCACGGAGGGGGGCCAAGTACTAGAGCCTCCAGATGTAAAGCACCAGTCGTTTACACGAAGTCAGTCCTCAAGACCTTGTCGTTGTTGTTAGTGGTCCGCGACTGTTGCATCTTTCAACAAGGTAATGCGGTCTGGTCCACTTGTATATATATGCGCGTACGATGGTACATGTGTATGGTAAGGACGCAGAATTACGCAGAGACGCCCAATTATTGAAGGGGGTTTCATGGTGTCAGTATCCAATATCGAAGACCGAACCGCTTGTGCTCTTGTCCGTAAAGCTGGTACTACAAGGGTGGTTATGAACTCGATTCGGAGGCTAGGCTAAAGACCCCGCGCGCCGTCCCGAGATGATCTGAGCTAGGTTGTTTCTGCGAAGTCGAAGTTACGCACTATTCGGTAGCGATGCGCGTCGGTGGCCTGAGGAATCGTAACTGAAGGAAGGGCGAGGTTCCCCACTATATCTCCTCCATGTCCTCCAAATCATCAAGTGCTGGCCACTCGCCCACTTCGATCCGCTCCGGCCTGACAAAGACGCCGTGCTTGAGGGTTGATTCGGAGCCCCAATATCTAGTGGACCCAATGCTGCCGTCGTTCTTTCCAACCGGTTCGTCGAGATGGACTCCCACCCAAGCCCCAATGGAGCCGGGAATCTCTTTGACTTCACCGACGTACTTGATCTCACCCCTGCGAGAGTCGTCGCCGCCGACCCTACACCGTTTGCCTACCTCTATTCCCCTAGCCTTGACTTCGGAATTAAAGCCATCGATCTTGGCTTTCTCCAGGCTGGGAGCGTTCGGATTGAATCGACCGAGCTTTTCGGCCTTCTTCCAGGCCAAGACCGAGTCGGATTTCTGCTCATACTCCTCCGCAGACATGACATACTTCTCGACGCCAGAGGTGTCATTCAAATTCAGCCTAGCGCTAACTGGCCGGAGATCAATGATCTTCAAGATGCGGTCAGCGATCCATAAATACACGCCCTTCACTAGAGAGAGCATATACGCCCAAAGTAAGAAGATGAGTAAAGCGCGAAAACAATCTCCCCCATTCAACAGGACTGTTCATATTCACAATACAGATTCTACTCCCTATCCCGCGGCGATATCTCGCTTAGTAAGGAGCGTCCGTGACGCATCCACGTGAAGCGACTGCGAGAACCGGCACACTCACATGCAGCTCTGCATACGCGGACAGAGGGAAGTCTGACAGGGGCGCGGCGTCTTCGTCTGCTGCCTCGACAGCGACGGTCCCGTTGGAGGGAGTCTTCAAGCTGATACGCTGTGACGAAGGCGGAATTCCTGTGACCGGCTCGAGTTTTCTTTTCAGCTGGCTGATCGACCACGACGGTGTGACTCGCCTCTCGGACGAGGAATTCTCGGAGATGACTCGCAACGGGATATCGGCCATTGCTCGCCTGCGGTAGGAGGTGGCGTGCTGCAGAAGTGTGAGGCTCTCGACCTAGTCAGGGACGTGGCTTACGACCCTGGCTGATTAATAGAACAAGGGAGGCGGTACTTGGAGCCGCAAAAGACGCGATTGCCGCCAACGTCGAGGATCAGCGAGGGAGAGGGGTAGGAAGGGATTGGACGACAGCTGCAGATGAGATGGCGAATTCTGGCTGTGGCCAGCAACATGGAAGAGGTTGTTTGCGAGAATATTGTGGTAGATGTTGCGCGTGAGAGGTCGCTGCGACGAGGAGACGACACGGGGGGGGTATTCCTTGCTTGGGATAGGCTGATAGGTTGCACTGGGAAGGCTGCTGGGTAGTATGGACAATCCGAAGCAAGGGGGGGCGGCGGCAACTAAAAAACCGCCACACTTTTTGCGCCTGCAAGCCACATGTGGGACCTTGCTTTCTACGACCGAAACGGCACGGGGAAGTTGTTCCCTGCATTACCTAGATTAGGTTGCCTGCCTACACACCTACTCACATGTACCTACGTATCCAGCGGAACCTGCGTGCCTGTAGGCAAGGTACATTTACTTCGGTACATGCGTAACGTGGAACGCCAGCCGACCCCACCTGCACCCTTATATTCCTACCGATCTGCGTGCCCTGTGTGCGAACCCCTAGTACACTCGGTACGCTACCCCCCTTAGGTACCTAGAGGTACTGCGCAGTACGTAGGTACCTACCTGCATCATTCCTGTAGGGTATCCCGCACTTCCGCTCTAGGGTTCGATTCCTAACTCTAAACCAAACTTCTTTCTCTCTCTCCCCATGTGCGATCCGGAGATGGCGTCGACGCGCACGCCTGCCCCCATCATAGCTGTGGAGGAGCCAACAATCTCCGCCTAATGCAGGCGGAACGTTGTTCACATGTGGCCAGATGAGAAGAACATCGTGGAAACGTCGACCGATTCCACACTGTCACTGACGGCTGCGCCTAGTCGGCCAGTACCCGAGATCCCCCAGTATTGTCACGTAGGACAAGCAAGGGGACAGCGAATCTCAGATGAAATAAGGGACGCCAGCCATTTGGTACGGTGCCGTTTGCAATAATGGCCCTTGGGTCCCTGAAGATCCAGCTCATCGGTACTACAACGGACCCTTCAAGCGGCATCGAGGCTTCAACCCTCCTCTCTGCTGTCAGCGCTAAATTTCACGTCTAGGGAGATGCGGACATGGGCGTGCCGTTCCGGGCATCATTGTCACCGCTCCATTCCCCCACGTATGGCCCGGCCGCTTACCACGCTTGATGGTTTTGGCAGTCGACCCGACGATCCCCGAAAACAGATCTACCAGACTCTCTTGGGGGGCGAGGCGCCCACGTTCAGCCGCTCTACAGGCCACGGCCTTCGCGGGGAGGGCGGGAGCCAGGATCCAATAGCTCCAGAGCCGAGCAAACAGACATTTTCTGTACTCGAAATCTTGGAAACCGTAGAACCGGAGCGACCTGTCACATCGAACTGCGTCACCTGAGCTCGGGTTGATTGCCCAACCTACATATGTACGTACAATCCCCCATACTTTCCTTTTCGGCACCAACTATCACAGCCCTACATGGGAACCAATGCTCGCCTTATAGACGTGTCTGGGGAGGGGGGCGGGTTATCTTGGGCTTACCGCCGTTGGACAAACACACCAAGGGACGGGCAGCGTTGCCCGACTTCCGTTTACCTCCCATACCAGGGAGGCGAATATGCGCTGTCCGTACCGGCAGCATCCGGCGTCTATAAGCATTGTTCACCGCTTCCCCCTGGGCGGTCAGCCCACCAGCTGCCGTCCAACCCCGATCCAACGCACAGAGGGAGGGGGGAGAGAAAGAGAGGGGAGATGTACACACACCACACGCACACGGGCATACTCGGAAAGAGAGAGAAGCAGAGAATCTTTTTGTCGCTTCCCTTGAATCGCGAAAAAAAAATTAAAGCTGGCGTTTGCTGCCGAGATTCCGGTTGATTGTCGGGCAGCATCGAGGCTTTTATCACGTTCCGCCACAAGGAGGTTGTATTCTTGCTAACACCTCGTTGGGCCTGATCCGTTGCTTGACATCCATCCATCCGTCCATCCATCTATCTGTGAGCCCCCTCAACCACGGCATTTCAATAGCCGAGCATATAGAATGAAGCCACGGTGCTACGGGTATCAGCCAGCGGCTTCGCCGTGGTAATACGCAAGAATTCGGGGAAACATCAAATCAAGCGCTCGATGCAGGGCCAACACAACGCCGCTTGCCCAGAAAGATAGGCGGGAAGGGGTTGGTCGTACCAAAACCCAGCAGAGCCGGCTTCAGAACAGCCTCCCGGCGAGCGTTCGGATTTCGAATGGAACACCGGCCCATTGCCAGGCGAAATCGGTGGCCGAGCGTTGGGGGTCGATGAGCCCAACTAGATGGTCCTAGAATAGACTGGCCCGTCGGATTTCTGTCAATCTGGTTCGGCCCAAGCATAAGCATTACATACGTGCCTACATATGCTTCGCCTCACTTGACTTCGACTGTGGCATGCTGGCCGGATACTTCATCGGACCCTAGCACGGCCACTTACACGTCCCGCTCTCGCCTCGCGCCTTGTGAGTGGTTTGTGAGATGGCAGGACAATAGCAATATCTCGTGAAGTGTTCGGCCCTATGATATCGATGATACGCGTGTGCCACACGATACGTACGTAGTCGTTTTAATTTATTTCCGTTTCATCTTTCTTCTAACACCGCTGCGGATCATGTGCCAACAATCACGCCAAACTCCGTGACGCCCTTGGCCCGAATTCTGCTGAGGCTATAGCGGGCTTCTCGTGAATTAATCGACAAACGGAGATAATCAGAGAACAAATTGCACTTCGGGCAGCAACAGTCAAACGGCAAGTCGGTAAACGATCGACCTCACCTCCACTCCTATCCAAGCCCCCACGTTTTCGCCGTCCCACTAGTTGGTATGTATGTACAATGCATGTCGTGTAAGTCCAGGATTGCGACTGTAGCGGTGGGGGAAGATAAAGAGGGGGATCGCGGAGCGACAGAGAGAGAGAGAGAGAGAGAGAGAGAGAGAGAGAGAGAGAGAGAGAGAGAGGGTAGGGAGGGGATAGGAGAGGGGTGGGAGAGAGGAAAGAAAAGGCGCAAAGACTCTGGAAGCTGATGTCTCTATTTGCGATAGGGAACAAGCACGACCTACTTACCTACCTACCTCCTCGTACCAGCGCAAAGAGGTTAGGTATGGGGTAGTACAGCTATATTGATTCCCGTCCTCGCTTAGGTCACCAGCACCTAAGCTACCTAGGTATAGGTAGAGGGGAGGTAGACCTGGCACCCACTGATGACTGATGGACCTCGCGTAGGAGAAGGGAGAAGAGGAGGCGGAGGAGGCGGAGGGAGAGGTTAGGTAACGAAGTAGATAGACTGCGCCAGAGGAGGTAACCTGCATACTCGCATACATATGCGCGCTTCCATGAGAAAAGAAAGGCTGCCCTACAATGCGATTGTATCGTGCATGTGTTCCCATCTTGCCCCGGCCAGGGCTGACCCTGGGGCTACTTCGTCGCGACCCCTGTCTGAGTGCCCGACTCACCACCTGGACCCTGAATGAATGAGCGTCACGCACGCGATCCTCATATCGGCCTGGGAGTAGCCTACCTGCCTAGGTACCTACATGCTGGCCACCTTAGGTACCTACCTCCTAGGTACCGACATACACGAGGCAACCCGCCTCAGGTATAATAAATGTAGGTAATACATAAGGTACATACAACATCATAAACTGCGGGACGCGAGCGGCGCGCCGCAAAATGCAAGTTCGTTCGTTCCCATGTTGCTCGGTCTCATTTTTATTCTAGTTGTATGTATTTTGATTTTATCTCTCCCCCGTTGCCCGTCCCCTCCCACCCCTGGCTGGCCGCCTCCTTGAGCAAGGGTTCTTGGCATCCTATCGTATGCGCACAGGGCTGGCAGCAAACAGCGCAGGGCGCTGAGCGTGGCTTGGAGCCTACCTACCTACCATGGAGCCTAAGGTAGAGCTATCTAGGTACCTATCTACTTCACGGTTCCTGGGCAGCCGGCCCCAACCCAATTTCGCCTCGTCGTTGTGCGGTGTAAGTCAAGGAAGTAGATCATGGTTCATGGCACTCGTTGCCATGCACGCCATTAAAACAGACATTGCGGGCTGGTGTTCGGTACCGCCCTACGTTCTTCCGTGGCCTCCAGCGCTTAGCACTACCAATGTACATGCTCTACGTATAAGTATACCGGTACTCGTTGTTCCTTTGCCAATGGAATCGTGCCCGCGTTCTGATCATAACATGTCATGTCGTCGATGACGTGGGTGCGTGTGTCTCAGTCTATATGGGTGGTGTGCGGGAGAGCGAATCAGCCGGCATCCAGACCTCACGGTCTACCCTTCACTACTCTCCTCCTTCTGCTTCGAGGCAAGATGTCCTAGGTATCCGTTAGGTATACCAAAAAAAAAACGTGTGCACGTGTAACTGCTGACCGCCAGTTCGTCAAGTTAGCCTAAGATCGTTATTCCCGGCTTGTGTTGGTTTAGGTAGATATTGATTGATTATCAGGTTGCCGATGATTGTTACAGGTATTATACCTAATAGTACCAGGTAGTCACTAGTTTCTTGTTACTACTATTATTATTATATTATTCCCTTTTCTTTTCCTTTTGTTTCTATCCTTCTTCTCCTGTTCCTTTATCTATAGCACATTCTGTTACTCGACTACGCTTACCCCCCCACACCCCGGTTCACTTATACGTCTCTCTCCCCCCCCCCCCCTCTCTCTCTCTCTATCTCCAAAGGCCGCGTTGTCCCTAGATGACGATCTCGAGTTGGGCGTATACATGTCAGTTCCGATGTAGTGTCTCTACTGTACAATACCTGCCCACCTAAGAGTACCCAGGTATGTAGGTATGTAGGGATATTCGATGTATCCATTCTACAAAGGTGACCTCCCGTATGGCACCCGAGTGGCGGGCGGGAAGGGTTGACTTATAGACGAGGACCGTACCTTACTACGGTGTAATGTTACATCACGCAAGTGAGCACTGTTGAATAGACTACAGAACCTAGCGAGTTGGAAACAGCAAGCCCCGTATCTTATTACAAGTGATGTGTGATGTACCTCGATAATATAGGTATGATGAGTTCATCAAAGCGTGAAGCTAGACCGCACAGACGTTGCAGCATGCGTCGAGGAGGAGCCCCATATCCCGTGTCCGAGGAACAGGGGGGGGGGAGGGGAGAGATTCTTCCCCGTTGCCTCCATGCTCGCCTTTCTGTCTCTCTCACTTTTCTCTTCTTTTCTTCTTCTTAGGACCCAGTTAACCCACGTATACGTCCGTACGTAGGGAAACCAACGCATTGTAGATATGCCATAGGCCGGATGTACACCTAGTACAGGAATAGGAGGCACGTACGTGCTTGATGTAGGGTTGAAGCACTCTCCCGTGGGTGGCTACCTGAGGTCTGCCTGGCGATGCAGGATGTAGGTAGGTTCCATGACGCATTCCGTCGACAACGAGCAGCAGGTACATTGTAGAAGCGCACCTATGGAGGGTCCAGCATCAGTACATGGTACATAGCGAGGCAGGTGGGCGAGGTGTATATGTACATGCACCCTCATACCCCCCTCCCTACTGTATGGTAAGGCACGGCACATACGGGCTGCATGCCTCCCATCTGAGGTACCTCAGGTACATCGGGCTTTAATAGGAGCAGGCGCGTACATGAGGTACATTCCTCATGTGAGGCCCAGGTAGGAGGGATTAGCGGGTTAGTTGGGGGTGGAGGTGGACAATACCTTGGGTGGAGCCCGGACCGATGTACAATGACCTTGTATGCTAGGGCGATGATGTACCTACCTAGCCTACCTGGTCGAATTCTGTACTATCACTCCGACCACACACGCCCACACACGCCCACGCACGCACGGAATGCCACCTTTCCCTCTCTTCATCGTCGAAGTCCTGACCGCATGCCAGCCCTGTTCGCTTCGCTTCTGCGGCTAACACGCTCCAGTCTGACCAGAACAGCACGACGCTGGATCCCCGGACATGCCAAATTTCACGACTGTCCATGTTCGTGAGACCGCAGCGAACTACACATATCCATACATCCACGTACTACTGCTGCATATCCACTCCGTGTTAAGGGCCTCCTAGCATACCATACCCTGCTCTCTTGGACGAATACCGACCCCTTGTCTCTTAGTTTTTGGGGGGGTTTTTTTCCCTCCTTCTCTTCCGTCCTTCCTCCCGCCTAGCTGGTGTGAGAGTAACCAGGAAGGGCATCATCTTCGCCAGCCATCCTGGGATATCCCTCTCCTCTCCTCTCCCAGCAACCTCCCAGGCTCTCCCATCCATACCCCCTCCAGGTAGGTCAAGGGTGTATCCGCACATGCACATCAACAAGCGTCTATGTACGTAGGTATGTACGTACATACGTACATACAGACGTACAGCTACACGCCTACCTGACTCTGCTTGCCCTTAGGCGGTAATGACAAGGCCGGCTGCTATAACCCGCATGTATGGCAGTCGGTTCATGATCTCCACTTTGCTGTGCGTTTCATGGCTGCCACCGCCACCCGTCATGTTCATTGTGGCTTCTGGAATTCGGAGTCCGTGGTACTATCCCTCGCTAGGAGCAACCGCGGATACTTTCTCCGAAATCGATCTCACTCGGGGCCTGTGTGCTGCTCTGAAATGGGTCGTCAAGGGGCCCCTTCGGGCCCTCAGGCCTTCAAAGCCTCGGGACAGGCTTGGGACCACGGCAACTGAGCGGTCCTCCTGGGATGGGTTGCCCTGTCGCGCCTGGACGTGCTCTGGCGCTGCGCAAAGACCCAAAGCGCATGTTGCAATCGGTCCTAGCCAGACTACTCTGGTGTTCGAGCTGCCTAGGGTGCCCAGCTCCTCGAGGTTCTTGCCGGCAACTCTTGGTGGGGAGGGGAGAGGGGGGGAAGGCGGGCCAATCCTTTACGCCCTCATCATCTCTCCCTCCCTCTCGCCCTCTCTTGTCTTTGGGTAACTGGAAGACCATGTTCGTTTGGCTACTTCTTCAGTTCGCTCCCGTTGCGTCATTAATGTGCCGGCTCAGCAACTAGGTACCCCCAGCGTGCTAGCCCGAAATACACGGAGTGGTGAATTGTTCTTCGCGTGCTCATGCACGAATTCGTGGCCATGCCGTCAGCCCCGGTCAATAGCTCGCATGGCCAACAAGTCGTTTGTTCGACTTGGGATCCCAAGGTTCCTTGGGAACAGGCAGATCCCCTATCCACAGCACCTGCGTCCCCAGGAGTCTTCTCGTTTTTAAGGGCGTACCACCTGAAAAACCTGTCACCTGCCTTCTAGTTAGACTCCTCCTCCCCCTCACTCTGCTCTTATTGGGATCTCTGAGGGAGGCGAAGGGAAGTATTTTTTTTTTTCTGTTCTGTGTTGGCATAGTCGGTGAAAGAGTGTTACCCAACCCTCTTCCCACGAACTACTCGGCTCTATTATAACCTGACACGACTTATTACCTATAACTCTGTATGTAGGAAACCTGCTGTCTATCGACTCCACACCTTTCTCTCTTTTCTTTCGACACACCACCATTCTCTCACACCCCACACCCCTGGTTATCCATTTGAGCTTGGGCTACTTGCCTGACGAGCTTTTGTTACCTAGACCCCTGGCTACCGTCGTTCCCACTGACCACCGCGCGCTTGGTTCACTAGAAGCCTCTAGCCCACAAGCTCCCGTAGAGACGTCTTGTTTTCCTGGTATTTCTTTTTCTTATTTTATTTATTTATTTATTTCTCCGATAGCAATTCGCACTGCGCCTTCCCGACGTGGACCATATGGCGCCCCCCTCGCCACAATAACGACACTCCGTAGTCGAGCGAAGAAGAGGGAGAGATATATCATGACTGTCACGATAAAGTACCTTAGGCTGGCCAAACCCTTGACATCCACTTCATCTGGCTGACGTACTGTACTTACCCGCCTGGCGCCTCGTTGTTCGAAGCTCTTCAGGTCGTCACGCCTCCCGTTAATTGGTTAGCAAAATGCCCAATCATGTGTGACAACTCAACAAAACGACATCACACTTCACTGATTTAGAGCTCTGCCTCCTTGGACGTTCTCCTCCCTCTGCTTCTAAGGCGTACCTAGAGACCCCCTTTAACCTCAAACCCCCATATAGGTTTCCCTACCTTACGCCCAGAGGCCCCCCCCCTCCAACCCCATCCGTTCCTCCCCAGGCAGTTGACGTCAAATTGCTACAATTTCCTTTTTGGCAACTCTAGCACATACGTCCGAAGTGGCTAGAAACCATCTTTACCCTCCCTCAGAACAGATAAGACGAAACGTCTCGAGGTGGTCTCGGTCGTCGAGCAGCGAGAGCGGCACAAGGACAAGGGACCGTTCTCTCTTACTTAGCGACGACGACGGCCACTCAGTACCAGCTAATACCTCCATGAAAATAAGCCTATCCAAGGCTACTTAGGCCACCTACCGCCACCGTGGATATCGCCTCCCTTCTTAAGGCTCCCGACTCAAATGAGTCCTCCGTATCTCCTCCACTGTATACTCGATCGGCATCAGTACCAGCTTCCACGGCCGCCGCGGCCGTGACGACGGTACCTGTTGGGGGCCCATCATACGTCGCTCCACGCCTAGGACCAGGACCGAATCTAGCAGGAGGAGCCCCCGGAAAGCGCAGCATGCCACCACACGCGTCGGACCCCCCGGCTAAAAAGCAGAGCAAGTGGTCTCAGGAGGAAGATGCATTGATCATTGACCTCCGGGGGCGCGGTATGAAGTGGGAAGATATCTCTAAGAGGTTACCAGGAAGGAGTGCTATCAGTTGTCGGTTGCATTACCAGAACTACCTGGAGAGGCGGAGCGAGTGGGACGAGGAGAAGAAGAATAAACTCGCGAGGCTCTACGAGAGGTAAGTGGAAGGCCTTGGATGAGTCCCGAAGCTGCAGGAGAGGGAGCAACTGTTCTCCCCCCCCCCCCCCCTTCTCCCGAAACCCAATAGAAGTCTCAACAACCACTTACTCACCACCTGGCTGAAGAGGTTGGCGCAACTGACAGGTGAAAAACAGATTTAAGCACGAAATGTGGGCTAAGGTGGCGGAGGAGATGGCGATGCCGTGGCGGGCGGCAGAGGCAATGCACTGGCATCTAGGAGAAGAGGATATGGCTCGCCGAGCAGGCGTAACGCCTTTCACCCTCTCAGTCGCGGCTTCGGAAGGGTCGCACGGAGGTTCTAGGGGTGCTCCACGACATGCTCACTCCCATTCCCAAGGAAGCCTTTCTCGTGATGTAGGGCACGGCAGAGGATACGGTCGTGGGGCCACGATGCAATCTAGTAGACCTCTGGCGTCGCGAAGAGACAGCATTCCGCCGCACCTGCCCGTCTACGCGGAACACCCCGCCGAGACTTACGCATACTCCCTTGCTCCCATCCAGACGTCAAACCCGACGCCTCGACAGGGAATGCTACCTGGAGTTGCGGAGCTCACGACCGGCGTTAGCGCCTACAGTACGCCGGCCTACTCCATCGCTATGCCTGGTGCTAGTCCCATGTCTAGCGTTACGGCGAGCCCTGGGTCATACATGACCCCGGTGGGATACCCTCCTCTCGAACCAGCGGGGTCGAAACGACGACGAAGCTTCGAGAACAACGTGTCTCCCGATTTGAGTAGACGAAGGCACATAGACTCACGACCCGAAACGTACGACAAAACGAGATCCTCGCGGCACATGCCATGACAGAATAACGTACTCCGAAGAGGCAAAGTCATGTGACGGACAAAAAAAAGGACGGGTTACGAACTTCAAACATCTAGATGTTGTCTGGCCTGGCCAGCCAGACTCTTGGGCTTTTAAATGGCGGCCTTCACGGATGATTTCCTTGGGATTTTTTTGCTTTCGATGACGGGGACGTGTCGGAAGACACAGGGGAGAACATCCAACAACCCGCCAAACATATGTCAAGAGCGTTGCATTGGAACTGGAGCGTGCTTTGCATTTCTTTCCCTTTTTTTTTTCCCCCTTTCATCACCAGAGAATCGGGCATTACCAACGGAGCCATACGAATATTTACGAAGAGCAGGCAGGAGAAGGGTAAGAGAAAAGACGATATCAAGACGGGCGAGCGAACAGTCTGTTTGAGAGGCTGGGATTTCGTTGTGCCCTGTGTCGGGAGACATGGAGGGAAAGGCGCTTTTCGAACTGGCTACGCCTCGGCGCGGTGTCGCCGCGGACGAGGTTCTTCCGTGTTGTGATTCTACTTGGGTTTTCCTTGTCTCCTCTGTTCTCGGCCGTGTCTTTCCTACATGGTGTTTTTTTTTTCTGGCTCCCGAAATCATTGGTTCGGCGCAAGGAAGAGCTCAAAAGTGATTTTACTGCCAGGAACCTCTCCCGTCGCTTTCATCTTTTTCATTTGTTTATGCTGCTGCTAGGACATTCTCCTGCCCACGCCCCTCCCCTCCTCCCCCTTCCTGTCCTCCTTCCTTTCCCGAAACCCACTTGTTTTATTCTCTCTCTCTTGACATCCCTCAGGGCATCCGGATAGGCACGCACTCGCTCGCCTCGAGGGTTCCTGGGATATTTTACGAACCAGGGGGGTGGAGATATCAGTGTCTTGGGCACTGAGGGCGGGCGTGCGCGCGCGAAGAAACCAAGACGTAACAGCAGCAGAATAGCGCCACGGTAGCAGCGGTGGGAGCAGGGGTTCCATGTGGTGCTAGCAAGATTTCGGCGGGCGGTCGTCATCGACCAATCTACGGAAGAGAGAAGGGAGCACACGCGCGCGCAAAACTTTTTTTTTTGTCCTTGTTTCTCTCGTTCTCCGTTCTTTTCTCCTTCCATTTCTTGTATTTGAACTTTCTGCATCCTAGTTTCTTTTTGTTTCGCGTTTTTTGTTCTTATTTCTTTTTCTCTCCCCTCCCTTCTCCTCTCCTCTTCTCCCCTCCTGTCTTCGTACTCTCACGACATCTACCCAACTTACCGGTTTAGAAGGTGAGAAAAGGAGGCAGAGGGAGAGGGAGAGGGAGAGGGAAGGAGGGACGAGATAGTTACAGAAAAGGGCAATGGAACTACAGACAGCATGAGAGTCGAGACAGAGTAAGAGAGGCTAGCCCCGTCGTTCGGTGCATACACATCCCATCCCATACATTCATACATGTTCATAATAGACGGGTAGAAGCGAGAGGGAACTAGAAGGGGGGTTATCGCATTTTCTTCTTTTTTTTTTCTTTTGGTGCGCGTGCGCCCTGGAAAATTATTTCTTTTATTCATCTTCCTTGAAATCCCTACTTTTGGCCGAGAGGGGGGGAAGGGGGTGTCGAGAGGGCGGGGTGTAGGGCGTGGGGATGGGGGCAGGCAAGGAGAGAGAGGGAGGAGGACCCAGTACTCATGTGTTAACGTATGTGGTCATATGTGTGGAGGGTGAGTGTGTGGGTATCTGGGAGGTAATTGTGAAATTTTTTTTTTGGCCCGCGGATGGAGAAAAAAAAATACCTACATTACCCTGGACGCAAGTCCTCCTCCTTCTCCTCCTGCGGTCTGGGTTCTCTCCTTCGTCTCGTCCTTGCGCGAGCGAGCGTATATCGTTGTCGCGACCATGCAGTCCGTTTGCAAGGGTCAAGGTGGTAATACAGCGGGTTACATATGTGCGAGCCGTGTATGTGTAACTATACTCCAGACCATACACGCATGCGTGCCAATATGGGGGAGGTAAAAGGTAGGGGTATAGGTGTGTGAGCCCGTGTATGTGTGTGTGTGTGGGTTGGGACCTGTGTATGTTCGATGAGATGGGGTGTAAGAAGACTAACTCGATCTGAGGACAATAACAATGATAATAATAAAAAATAATGAAAATAATAAGATTGTTCCATTCTTTCTATCTTCATCTACCTATGCAGATCCTACCGCCGCCGAGGCGGCAGCCCCCGGTCTCGCTGCTACCGCCCACCAGTTGTCCTTCTCGTAGCCGCTGGCCAGCACCTCGCCGCCTGCCGCCGCGACATCCTCCTCGAGCTCTCCTCGCCGGTAGAGGTGGTAGTATCGCTGATACGTCTTGTCTGCGACAGCGGCGGCTGCGGCGCCCCCGGGTTGCTGTCTCGCGTTCCGGTCCTCGGGGCTACGATTGCTACGATTGTCGTCACGAGTATTGTCGTCACGAGTATCGTCTACTTTGCCACCGCCACCGTCTCCGTGTATCTCCGCCCCCCCTCCGCCTCCCTCGGCGCTCGCCACCGCTCCTGTTTTCTCCTCCATCCCCTTCCTGCTCTTCTTGCCCTTCGACTTGTTGCCGCCGCCGGGTTGCCCCGACTTGAGGACCCACGGTACTAGCTGGTCCTGGTCCGCGGTGCTCTCGTCCCATCCACGCCGGCTGCCGCCCTGCTCGAGCGCCCAGACGTATACCAGCACGCGCCCGGCGCCCGGCGCGACGCCGTCGAGAAGCGCGCGCACGGCCGCGACGCGCCGCTCCCGCGTCGACAGGTGGTGCACGACGGCGATGCAGATCGCGAAGTCGACGACGCGCCTCCGCCCCCCGCCGAACGGCAGGGCCAGGCCGTCGGCGATGCCTACCACATCGGCGCAGCTGCTGCCTTTACTGCTACTGCTACTGCTACCGCGATCGCCGCCGCCGTCTGCCGTCACGGCCGCGCGCGTCCGGTCGCACGCGAGGCGCGCGAGGCTAGCGCTACGGTCGGAGCCGATGATGAAGAGGTCGGGGTTGACGCCGAGGTACTTGCCGTTACCGCAGCCGACGTCGAGCCCGACAGATCCGGGAGGGAGGGAGGCGAGGAACGAGGCGACGAGAGGCCAGGGCTTGTAGCGTGTTGAGGAGAAGTGCGTGGCGATGGACTCGTACACGCTATGCACGTGGTGCTGTTCGTACGTCTCGGCGGCGTCGTAAGCGCTACTGCTACTGGCAGTATTGTCGCTGGTCGCAACAGCAGCAGCGACGTCGGCAGCGCCGAGGTCAGTGCTCGCAGGGAGGCAGCCATTGGCCTGGGCGCTGGAAACGTGGTCATCGTGGTCGCGTTCCCGTGCTCGTCCTACGCCCTTAGCCGCGCCATGCGAACTGGTGGAGATGGCTGGTTCAGCAGCTAGTTGGTCGTCGTCGTGGTGGACCTGTCCTGCCGTCAGCATCACCGCCACCTCCTCCTCCTCCTGGTGACGATGGTGGTGCGTGCGGTCCTGCTGGAGTCGTATAGGCGACGCGTAGTTGGCGATGGCGGTGGGAGCCGTAGCAGTAGCGGTAGTATCGGCCGCGCTAGCTGCAGGGCTGTCACCGACGTGGTGGTGGTCTGGCGGTCGTTCCATCGCGCCCAAGCCCGCACTGCCCGCCGCTAGGTCGTGGTGCCGCTGCTGCTCCTGAGCCTGCATCTCCTGTCGCATGGACAGGGTGAAGGTAGGGCGGGCAGCGAGGGTTGGTTCACGCACGCTACCCAACCGGGTTCTTTTTTTTTTTTCGCACTCCCTCTTTTTATTTCTCTCTAGCTCGTCACCTGCCCAACCACGGCTTAGAGCTTGGCGGCGGGGGGTAAGGATGCGTGATGACTGCGAGCGCTGGGCTAAAGTGGGCACAGGTAGACATCTAGTTAGTACTTCCTCGCCTATGTTCCCTAACATTGGGAGTTAGGCAGCGTCTGCTGGTAGACAGGTAGGCCCCTGGGTATGCGATGTGTCTATAGGTACCTACGTGGGAACGAAAAAGGTATGTACCTTGGGTTGATGAAGGAAGCTGGACCGGTAACGCGACCCGTCAAGCGTCGTCGTACATGTGTAAGTCGTTGGGATAAGGATAAGGTGGATGTCATGTCGGTTCCAGTAACCGGGTAACAAGTCGCTCGCCCGCCTGGCCGGGAATGAGGAGTGGGGAGTTGGTTGCTTGTTACGCTACCAGCCCAGATCACCATGTCCTTGTCGCTTGTCCATATTCCATCTTATGCATGCGCGAAGGATGGGATTGATGTTCGTACGTACCATGACATAGGTAAGCAAGCCACCGGCGGTCTAGGCAGTTTAGTGAACAGCCCTAGCAGGGGAGAGAGAGGGGGAGGAGGGGAGCGGTGGCAGAGTTGGACGTGTAAGTATCTGGTGAAGGCGAAGGGGGGTGGGAGGAAGCAGGATTGACGAGACCTCGCGGAGGAGGCCAATCAATCCACGCGTTCTCACCAGCGGCTGGGATGTGAAAATGCGGCGCTAATGAGGTGAGCTGGAATGAAATAAAGGAAAGGAATAAAATACAATAACCGAATAGAGCTGAACAGAGTAGAATATAATATATGTCACGTGGCAGTTGAACCAGCCCTTATATGCCTACATACCGCAAAGCGTGAAAGTAGGCGTCTACGTTTTATGTGACAATATAATATAATATAATATAATAATGCAATGGAAATGGAATGGGGCACCTACGCCAAAGCCCCCCTCCCCCCACACGAGGACGAATCGGTACCAGTGCTCGCTTATAGGGAGTTACCTTAGGTACCTTAGGAGGTGCCTATTAGCATATCATGTGCAACCAACACGTGTAGAAGGAACGTCACTACGTACATTTGGTACCTAAACCCCGATACGCTGGATGTATTATGTACAGATCTGTGTGAGCCGGCGTCGTACCAGGTACAGGCTCCATCCTACTGCTATGTACATACCTGCCTGTAACCTCTCTCTTGTCTCTGCAAGGATCGTCATTGACCCTATATGCTGTATAGATGTTTATATTTTATAATAACATCGTTTTTTCTATTCTTTTTTTTCTATTTCTTTTATTACTATATAAAAATACTCTATCTTCTTTCCTCGTTAGAAATTGATAGTTCGTAGAAACCGTCTCTAGTTATACTTTTATTTGTTTTGGATTCGTTAGATGTCAAGTCAAGCTGCTCGAATTCGAAGCCAGCTTGCAGCTAGCCGACTATACTATAGTATAGCATTCGGTCGACTATTCCACGTCGACTTGTCGTAGAAAACGTAGACATGCAAATTATGAGTATACCTACGAAATGCACTACCAATGAGTAAGTTCCCTTGTTGTGTTCTTCGACTCATCCCATGTCTACATTATCCATGTCCATGCTTACCGAACATGTGTGTATGTACATAATCAATAGTACCACCCGACCCAAAGTCGAACCCTACCAGGGGGGGGGACCTCCCGAAGGCCCGGGGCGAACCGGTGTTACTCCCTCTAGCCTACAGTATGTATCTGCTTAGCTCTCCTCCTCCTCCCACACCCATCGGTGTGTCTTAGATCTTGCAGCTCAGCTTCTTCTGTCTTACCGTCCCCCCCCCCCTTCAAGACTATTTTTCAACGTACAATTTTCCCGGCTTTCTGGAAGCATAGCCGCTGTGCCGCGCAAAAATCTCCTCTTTTTTCTTTTTCCTTTCTTTGGCCTCCTCTCCCCTTTCCCCGAGCGGCACGATTAGAAAATGGGCTGACTTTCTCGTCGCACCGCTTCCCCCGAAATGCCGAACTCGAACGATCCCGAGACCTGCAGAGAGACGGGTGGATGTCTGCCTACGATAGGTATGGATGTACACACGTATTGGACTTTCCAGTACTGCATGGAGAGTAGCAGTGAATGCCCGATCTCCCATTCTATACGCCCGTTTTCTACCTAACCTCATTGCGGTGTCGTCATCACTAACCTCCATACGTGAGCTCGTGGGCATGGCCTCGGTCAGGGGTGAGGAGTTCATCCCAAGCTAAGCATACCGTACCGAGCGGGAATCCAGGTGTGCGTTCTATTGGGTTGCCGGTAGATCCTCCCAAGACATCAGCTGCTGATGCCATCAATGCTACGTGATCAGTTTCTGGAGCCCGCCCATCTAGAGCGGGCTGGGGATCCACTACTGCTTTTGCTCCCTGCTGCCAGATCGTCGGGTTCCAACTCGCCATCCACTCCTGAACCTCCCCCTCCTACGGTCCGTATGTACATAATATCGCACAACCACCACCACCAGCCTTACTACTACTCCTCTCCAATCAGCTGCCGGAACCCTCCCAGACACTCTGACCAGATCGGCCGGCCCTCTTCGCTCTCTGCGTGGTCCTTCACAATCTCAATACCCCGCAAGTCATCCCTCATGTGTGTCTCACTGGTGGTCCCGTCTAGAACCGCCGTGCCCCCCAGGCCCAGTACCAGCGCGTACAAGGCGACTGGGGGCTCGACGTTCGCGCTATTGGCCAGTTTCCGTACGGGCGCACTCCTTAGCAGCTGGGGGTTCCCCGACAACGTCCAGAACGTCTGGAATTTGATGTCCCTCTCTCGACAATACTTCCGCAGGCCAACCTCCCAGCGCGTCGCAGGGTAGAAACGATTCTGCACGCAGGCCGGTCGAACGGTGATGTCGGGACTGGTATACAGGTAGTCGACAACCTCGAGAGTCGTGTTGGATATCCCCAACTGCCTGATCCGGCGCGGTACGTATGTCTCAAGCGTCTTCCAGACCTTGACGGTGTCAGGTAGAGTGCGCAAGGGGGAGTGCAGGACCAGGCTATCGACGTAGGACCCGTCCGAGTCGGCACCGGCGAAATTCCGGAGTGACGAGGCCACGGAGGCGTGGACCTGCTCCTCCAGTGGTGCCTGGGGGTCATACGGTAGGTTATCGGGATCTTGGCCGCCGATCGACGTGAACTTGGTTTGGATCTGGCAGGTGTTAGTGGATCACTGTATGGCGCCGCTGTCTCACGCGCGAATGAGTCGTGGCACACAAATAAATCGGCCCGCGTCAGTATGCCCGAGAATATTGCCCGCTTGACACCTTCGGCCACCAGATGTTCTTGGTAGTGGCGAGGTTGAGCCGCGGTGTCGATACCCCGGAACCCGGTCTTCAGGGCCAAGAAGACCAAATCAGCGGTGGCATCCTTCTTCCAGGCCGTCCCGTACAGCAGCTTTGGCATCGGCGCCGGTTTCATATCTATGGCGAGGGACCGCGGTCCTGAACGAGCAGCCTTGAAACAGGAGGAGGATACGACCGACTGGCGATGCTGCGTATCGAGCAACAAGTTGCGGCACTTCACAACTAAGGCCCCGGCGAAGATGCCGGCCAGATGAATGATCAGCGACTGTAAGCGCTCATGCGCATGACAAACATGGAACAGTCTCTTCACCGATATATGCTGAGCTACCTTACCTGAGGCCTGGGTAGTCGGTAGATAGGCAACCTTGGGCCAGAACAAGAGGGAGTGAATGCGGAGATGCCGCGAGCGGCGGAGCGACAGTAGAATTGCATCACCGTTTTGCCGTAGGTACTTCGTACAACCTTGGAGATTTCTACAATGTCAGGTGACCGGCCAGCGACAGCAACGGCAAGCAATCCTGACTTCAGGAGGAAGGGAAATGCCCGGAACCCCTTCATAAAAATACCTAGGTATAGTTACGCGCAACTTGTCACGTCCCGGTCCTGTGCATACGAGTGGCAGTTCCTCACGTCTAGCATCGCCTATACCTACGCATGAGCATCTCTTTCAGACCATAGCTTACTACTATAAGCGATACGCACATCACCAGGGGCGAGGGGTGGTGCATGAGAACTACATCAGGTACCTACCTGACCGAAGCGGCGTCTCAAAGTAGGTAGATACCTACATAGATATCTAATGCACGCAGTGAACGCCACCGCTCATCACGTGGTCATCAAGGCAGTCTGCAGCATGGAAAGTGACGATGCCGGATCGCGGCTTTATAATCTGCCGAATGACCGGCAACACGCTTGTGCAGTCCCATCTATGCAGGTACCTACCTCCTATATAATACTAGAAACGTGGGGTACGAAATTTTGCGTTTCACTAACGGTTTGAATATTTGAGGTTCTGAACCCCCCCCCCCATCTTATCACCCGCCGGAAACTGTGCGCCGGTAGATTATAACACCACCTTAGGACCAACCGGAAAGTAGGTTATTCCTACAGGTACCTACCTGCTAAGAGATACATGGGTACGTAGGTAAAGTTAGTACCAGGCATCCATGGCAATGCGCACATAGGTACCTACCTTAGGTAAGGTGCCCACGCATACCAGAGGTAGGTACCTAAGGAGGTAGGCAGGTACCTAGCCCGCCTCTACATCGATCTCCCTACCTACCTAAGTACCCGATAGGGCACCTCTGAGCCAGCGCCTTTCTTAGGGTAGGTAGGTAATAGATCGTAAGGTAGGCAGGTAACCTACCTTGAGGACATACAACAGGTGGAGGTATATAGGCATGCACTGATTTGTTCCACTTATGACGGAGAATATCCGGCCATTAGCTACCTGCCTATGTGACGTAGTGAATAACCCTAAGTCGCCGGCGCCAATCTCCATGCAACAACCTCCCCTCCCCTCCCCTCCCCTTTTATCTGTCTTGGGAGCAACTTTTCCCTTCCCCACCTTTCATTAACGCGAACAAGGGACTCGCGAGGGTTATCGACTACACTACATATCCGAGTCCGCTGTCTAATCGGCAATCTAAACAGTTCAAATCGGACCGCCCAGACTCGGAGCCTCTCTTCTTCTTCTCGTTCTTCTCCTTCCAGTAGGCTTTCTGGTTGTCGTATCCCGTATCAACCGCTGCCTGAATCTCAATCCCATCATAGTCCGGTTCGAAGCGGTAACAACATACATCTCTGTTCGACATGACCCCTCAACCCTTCACCGTCAGATGGGGCATCATGGCCACCGGTGGCATTGCTCAGAGTTAGTCCCGCAAGTGTATTTAAGGGCGCTCGACTTAGAGTCAACCTCACTGACTTGTTCCCCTGGCAGCCTTCACTAAGGACCTGCTCACCAACCCCGCGGTCCGAGATGCGCACGACGTTGCGCACGAACTGGTGGCCGTCGCGTCCTCCACCTCCAAGGACAGCGCTCTCTCCTTCTTGGAGAAGGTCAAGGCGCCAGCTGGAGTGAAGGCATATGGCTCCTACGCCGAGCTGGTAAACGATCCGGACGTTGACATCGTCTACGTCGCAACCCCGCACAGCCACCATTTCCAAAACACGATGCTGGCTTTGGAGGCCGGCAAGAACGTGCTATGCGAGAAGGCCTTCACAGTCAATGCAGCTCAAGCCCGCAAGCTCGTCGAGACTGCCAGGGCCAAGAACCTCTTCTTGATGGAAGCTGTCTGGACGAGATACTTCCCTCTCAGCATCAAGATTCGAGAGCTGGTCAAATCCGGTATCATCGGTCCGGTCTACCGGGTCATTGGTAAGCTCCCAGAACCCGCCAATCTTGGGACTCGCAAGGGATCGCCAAGCCTTTTAGATTACCAACTAACGTGCTTGGCCACAGCCGATAATTCGTTTGGCAATGACGGGCCGAACGGCACTTTGACCTTCCCCGATGACAACCGGATGGTCAACTTGGATCTAGCAGGCGGCTCGTTGTTAGACCTAGGTATCTACTCTCTGACTTGGCTGTTCCAGATATTGTACCACCTTCAACCCGAGGCCGAAAAGGAGGCCCCGCACACCGTAGCTGCCATAAACAAGTACTCAACGGGAGCAGACGAGACGACCAACATAATCCTCCAGTTCCCAAAGCATAAGAGTATGGGCATTGCCATGACAACCCTGAGACTCGCTACCGATATCGATGGCCATAATAGCGGCGGGCCTGCGATAAAGATCCAGGGCCCTCTAGGCGAGATCCAGGTCATGGGTCCGGCTTTCAAGCCCTTGCAATATAGGATTGTCAGGAAGGATGGAGGAGGCAAGATTGAGGTCGTAGACTACCCCATCCCCCACGACCCCGAGCGGGACTGGGGCCACGGCATGTTTTGGGAGGCGGACGAATGCGCCAGGTGCCTCCGCGACGGCAAGAAGGAGAGCGAGACGCTCCCCTTGTCCGAGAGTATCGTCATCATGGAGGTCATGGAGGAGGCTCTGAGGCAGGGAGACGTGCAATACCCCCCCCTCATCACTACCGATGTGTACGACCCGAAGAGCCCGCTAAACACTGGTGGCAAATGAGAACTATCTGCCGGTAGTCTCATTAGTCTATGAAAATGAACCTTTTGGAGATACGGCAATAATATTCTAGCGGCTCAAATATGATGTGACGCCTTGATGGCGTCTATAATAATTGTTGTAGCACCGCAGTTATGAAGACAAGGTTCCGAAGTGACAGTACCGCTTACGGTTCAGCGCGAAGGTAGTCTTATACAGCTAAGACAACCTTAACTATCTCTTACCAGCTATTTCTTAGATTACAATACCACTCTTGTGGCTTTCAAGACTATAATAGAGACCAGTGTCAATCTAATCACTGTCGATCCAAGCTTAAGACCGCCTCGGCTTTGTACCGGTAGGCCTCCTCCTATTTTCCAGTTGCTTAATTCCAGGTCCGAGCTCTCCTTTTCGGCCCCCCTTTTTCGTTCCACATTGTGATATGGACACACATTTCATATTGTGCCACATCTACTCTACAATATCACAACCACGAAGTCTGAAGCTTTGGAAATGCCCACCAATATCACAATACTAACGGTTATTCGTTAATCATCATGAAGTACTAGCTATTAGCTGCAGTTTATTTCTCTTCTTTCTTTTTTTAAAAAAGAAAAACCTACACTTAGAGAGAGTGAACAATAAATGGGCGTCCACTACCTAGTATCATTGTAGCGTATCCACTGCTTCGTGCAGTCATGAGTATGAAGCTACGAGAATACATCGTCCAGCCAAGGCAGCCTTCTTATTATTATGCCATCACTAAATCTATACTGTCTGTAGATCGAATAGTAGGGGCTAACTGGGACATCTGGCTCGGCTATACCCTAGCGCTAGGTTGACCGCAAGCCGTTAGGAACGCTAATTTAGCGAGGTGCCCTACAATAATAATACCTACATGGCTGAGCTCTAGTCGTCTCAAATGCTTAAAGAGGTAAGAGCCGGGATAGAGTGAGAATGGAGGTGGGACTAGAACGAGTATCGCGATATTATTATGACATACTCGTATTTCTAAGCAGATACGCAGCGCAAGCCACTGCTCGCGGCTGGCTGAAATACCTGATATTAGCTTCAGTAGCTCCAAACTGAGTCACACACACAGGTTCTCCATATCAATCCTCTACGTCTCTCCGCCTTAGGATATATGGGTTCTTTGGTCACCTGGCCGGCCACGTGGGTGAACATCCATCCCGCTAGAACTCTAGCTATATGCCCAACTTCCTACAGCAAACGCCGCTTGGGAAGGAAAAAGAAAAACGGTGGTCGTTCATGCCTAACGATGCTGCAGGATCCGTATGCTTGCTCTTAAAGAAGGGTCCCTCTGACCCTTGGCAGGCCACCGGATCTATTGACTGGGCTAAGTACTGTTCACTACCTACATGACAAGCAACCCCACAGCTATTATAGTGTTCTCTAGATGTTTGGGTACTAAGTGTAAGGCGTCATTCGCTATTAGAACCACGCCCCTATTATGCCGAGTCTGGTAGATTGAATACCAGGGCGCACATAGCACCTGAGGAATGGGGCGGGCTGTTACCAAGTAACATAGACATCGACGTAGGAAAAAAAACTTCCTACTTAGAAGCATCGCGAACCGGACAGATCATGCATTAGGGTGGATACTCTCGGCACGCACCCCACGTATATTCTTGTTGTCCTATAGCTAGCTTCCAATGAGAGCGCCACTGACGAAATTGGGGTCACGAGGAGCGGTTCTCTTACAGCTTGGTAGTGGGTTAGAACCAGCCGACTCAGGCATATCGGGACATCCTGGGCTCGAAATTAGAAATTAGTCGAAATCGTATCATAGTAAAGCAATATCATCACGGTATTATAGATAACAGTGAATTATTTAGTTCGACACCCGTAGAGAGCGTTGTCCAGAGATCGGCACCCGTCAGAAGTTGTTATGTAATGGATATACTGCTAGCAAGGCTAGGGCATCTGTCGAGGACAGGTGGGACAAGTTCATGGTGAAAAAAAAGGGGGGGGACGGGGAGAGTGGTGTGGTTTGGACAGTATACCTTAATAGAGTCATTTCGTCATAGCCCGTTGGAATCTAATGAATACGATGTAATATTATACATCGGCAATGTCGTTAGGTTCTGGTAAGCGGACGTAGCTTGACGGAACTGCTTTCTTGTCTCCCGTCTTTTCGCCTGTAGTCTCCTGCTCTTATCTCTTCTCTGCAATTGGGTTTGCATATATCCAGTTAAAAAACAAGATGATCGACAAGGGGAAACTACGTCCTCCGTCCCGGTGTAATAGGATTGTGTTTATTTCTCTCAGCAGGGAACTGAGTGAGCGATAATACCATAGACTAAGACCGCAGCTATTAATGAGACCACGGCCAACATCTCAATCAAACTTCATATGCCTGATTTAGGTCATTTGTAACCAATTTCGTCTCGTAGATAATACATGTTACTGTAGGGGACTTTGATACAAGAGAGCACGGGGTTACGAATAGAGAAACCTTAGTAGGAGGCTCTACGTACATGTCTAGGACGGCGGTGAGTCGACACCTGGTCTGCTCGCGTGTTACTAAGAAGGGAAATTCATTTATATGTTCTTGAGACTATTGCCACTCTCATCTATGTGGTCGGTTCCTCAGTTCCTAATAGGCTACGCGTCACTCTAACATTCGCCTACCAACTGCCCTGCCCTGGTTGGTCCAACATGCTGATAAGAAAATATATCCTTTATTCGGGAATTGGAACCACGTCGCTCCAAGCAACATCAATGACAAATACAAAATGGCGTCTCGCGCATACGTGTAATTACGTATCACCAATTACGGGTACGGGAAATTTGATGTATTAAGCGGGAACCCTACGAAAGACTCTTGGAAATTGAGCTCCTGCTTCTCAGGGACCGAAGAAAAGTGGTTACCAACAGGCAACCGGTGAACTCGCTAAGCGGTATTGAAATGTTTGATCAGCGGAAACCATCCGACGGCTACATGGAATGCGAAAAACTGTTAACCGTTTGGGAAAAAAAGGCAGACGTTTACGGTTTGATATCCCGCCCCTATTTTCGGAGTCTCGATGAAGTGTGTCCCTTCGCCTGCCGCCCCATGCCACCCTCTCTTGGGATAGCACTCACGAGGATAGGAGTCAGCTCTATTTATATTAATGAAACCTCAGGCCTGGTCTTAATAGTAGGATAAGGGCGAGAAAGAGAAATACGTTTCAACGTTAGGGGAATGTTGTGTTCTGACTGGCGATTAATAACGATACTTGCGTATCATATCCATGGCGAGGAAATAATAGTGAAGAAATCCGCGCTGTTATGGCAACTTCACACTTGCTAATTAAGAGCATTGCCTGAAGTTCTTTGAGAAAGTCTTCCGTGCCAATGGTGTATTGATTCCTTCAAATGTTTCGAAAAAGTTTATTTTTCCGTCTTCCACAATCCTCATTAGTGACGCCCACTCCTTAACACTCAGTCACTCCTACCTAGGGAGTAAGTGCCGTGCCGAGAGCTCCATCGCGGGATCTCTCCTCTTCCTAGTGACGGGAGCACGTAGCATCGCTCCCTGAAACACACCTACTCGTGGGGGTCTACGAACCCCCTCGGCATTCACCTTTCGGCTAGTCTCGTTTATTGAGGGAGGGGGGCCTTGGGGGCTCGCAATATTTCGATGCTGTACCTTAAACGCCGTTGCCGAGGTGCTGTGTTACGATCGTAGCTATAGTAAGAAGGTCGAAGCAGTCGAAGCCTGCGGGTATGCCTTAGCTAGACATATGAAAAAGACAACGTTGCCCACACCACCTTCCTTCGTCCCGTATAGCCACCTCCCTCATCGGGTGCAGATCTTCGCTAGGACCTTCGGGGTCTCTCACTCCCGCAAGCTCCTCACGATGTCAAATTGGAACGTATCCCTTCCCCACCTCGTACTCGTCCTCGGCATCTCTTGCCGCTTGATGGACATTGTTACTGACCTACTACACCAAACGATCGGGACCGCGGCATCGTGTCTACCTTCTTGGTATTCTGCGCCCTGCTAGTCACCGTGGAACGTTTGGGGGGCACAAGTAATAAGTATGTACATTATATTAAGAATTCCGAGGCCGAGAATAATACGCTATGCCTGAAGAGTGTAGAACAGAACCTGTGCTCTTGTAGCGAAAGGGTATACCAGGGTATATTTCATGCTCGTCATTTAATAAGGGGGGCGGCCCGTGTATTCTTCTAAAACAAATGCAGCCTCTGCGCTCGTGTATCTACACATTCTGTCGTTTACCGTCGTGGGTCGGTGGCGGAGGAATAAACTCTTCCCTAGCTGAGAACTCCCGAGTCCAGACGATTCCACCTTCGGGAATCGTGATCGCATGAGGTTCCTGGTCGCTGTGCACCTCGGATGACGAAGCCGTAGCGGCGACCTCGGGGGGCATACTGTTCCCGACGGGCACGAGGTTGTAGTCGCTGATCTTCTGATAGTCGCTCTGGGGACGGGCAGAGGCGTAGGTCCGAGTCCACATTTGCTTGCGGCTATCCAGCGACGAGCCCTTGTGGGATGATACGTTCGTCGTATCGTCTCGCATCAGTCCCAGGCCTTTGAACGCATTCGGAAACGCGGGCACGCAGAAGACGAGTAGTACGAGGAGCATCTCGGCGGAACCCCAGAACGCCAGCTTGGGCAGCACGAAGATAAAGTCCGCTATGGTGGGAAGCTCGACAGTCGAAGCGATTCGAAAGCATGCGACGATGCAGCATCTGTTCCAATGTTCTCGTTAGGAGCGCGAAGAGTAAACTAGCCGTCGCTATATCTGCACTTACAGGACTCCTATGGCAAATATGACAGAAATGCCTATTCTCCTCGGCGTCGTCATCTTTAACGACCATATCACTCCTTGCGGAAGGCCCAGGATAAGCACGTCTGAGATCAGATTCACGATCGTCCCCGAAAGATAGAGAATATTGGAATCGCCACAGTAGCCTTCGGTGATCGTCTTATCCCAGATCTTCCTGTGCGGTTGGCAGATGAGATTTATGGCGAAGGCAGAGCCAGCGTAGTAGAGGATGTTTATCCACAGGACAACTTGGCAGGTCCAGAAGAAGGCATTTCGCAGGGACAACGGGTTGAACACATGCAGCCACTCGAGCAGGATGGCGACTTTTAGGCACCCGATGGCGCCGTTGTAGAAATTAGAGCTGAGGTAGAAGATCTGCCCGTCGGTCAGTAAAATCTCATCCGTAGCAACTGCCCTTCAGAAGGCCGAATTCGAGACGGCGCTCACATATAGGATGCGGGACATGTCCCGGACGCGAATATCCCACTGATGGACGTAGAAACCCGGGCGCCCGACCACCAGAAGGACGGCAACGATATAAGCCGCGAAGAGGATCTAGACCGCAATCGTTTAGCGGCCAATGCGATACAGACACGGAGAGAAGCTTGTCGAGGATAGGCAAGCGGGAGGTAGAAACACATACAAACCCAGCAATGCCCAGGACTAAAAAGAATTAGCAACGCCGTTAACTAGCTACGGCGCACTGTCGAGGTACCTACAGTCTTCTAACCGGATCTTTCCTGTGCGGACAACCCGAGAGTAGACTCGCAAACCTATCGCAATGGTTCCCAATGCCAGAAATAACGAGCATAGAGCGTACCCCGATGTGTTGTACCTCTCCGGGTTATCGAAATTCGACGTGACGCCGGGGGGAGGCGGGAGGGCGGGCGCGTCGAGGATGGCATCCAGGTCAGCCATGATGAGGGGAGCGCGCTCGCTGGAAATCAGCGATATCCAATGCCAGAGAGCGATAAACCTCGGCGGCTCTACGAGTAAGCAGAGGCTCTCGAGGCGGCCGCGTCGATCGGAGTTGTAGGTAGGTAGGGGGACAGCCTCTGGGCGGCTATGGCGATTCTCCCGGCGTCGACATGCATCGCAACACACGCGACCAAAGACCGAAACCAGATCTCAAAGTCGGATTGCAGGTGTGCGCGCGAGCAGGAGTGCCCCCCCATTGCGCTATATAGGTAACGTACACATGTTCGTGCGTGCATACATAAGCGAAAAGATACAGCCCGCGCACGGCGATAGGCGGCTGGTTTCGTCTATCTTTAGTTGGTGCAGGACGCCGATATACTACGGTCACATCGAACTGGCCACAGGAAAATCCTACCCGACTTCTCACCCAGTTGCGCGAGAAGGATGGCTGTATTCGATGGCCTTGGCGAGCCATCAATTTCCCATCTCAGCCAACCCGGGCTAGGGGAGGAGGGGAGGAGGCAAGGGGGTTGGGTGGCAGGCTGGGAGGCAAAGAAGCGTGAGAGAAGGGAGGGAAGTGAGGAGAGAGGGCAGAACAATGTGCCGAAGAGGATGGGAACACAATAGTGCTATCGCCATGGCTGACGATAGGATTTTCGCTAGGGTTGTGGCGGATGCGGGCCGTAGTATCATCTCCCGATGCGGCAAGTCGTGATGAGCAAATCTGACCATCAGGCCAGGCAGATGGACGAACCGGCCTGTCGTACAAGGGTTTGCTGCTCAGCTCCGTATGCCGTCGAGGCCAACAGCATAAGCCGGAGGCGAGATGATTCGTCCGCGCGGATCGAATCGCTTCAACGGGGGCTAGGGATACGCAGCACGAGAGCATCCTCTTCCCTTCCCTCCCTCCCTCCAGTTCGCGGACTAGAGCAGTTTCACTTACATGGTCGACACGTGCTTAGCCGCGGCAATGACTCGCACGTGTGCACGGCGCGCGGATTGGTCTTCTCTCTTCTTCCCCGCTGGTGAGACGTTGTGGAGGGAGTGGCGCAGGTTCTCGATCTTGGCTCTGACGGACCAAGGGGGAAGAAGGATCTCAATTACCTACGAGAAATGTGCATTTCTACAGACGCAGCAGCCCAATATCGGGCACGTCAAATTGCCTATATAGAGAGACGTGTTGGGATTATTACTAGTCGGGGTCCTATAGGTATTACCTACCTACACGTTGAAGGCTTCTTCTATTCATCTCACCCTTATTCTTCAACCTCCCTCTCCCACCAAGATGACTAACTCATCTTCGCGCCTTACCGTATCTTAAATCCTCCTGGCACTAAGCGCTGGAAGACGAGCTTGGGATCGTACTTACGCTGTACCTGCCTGAGCTTGAGATTGTTCGCCTCGCCATAGCTAGCGATGACGTCCTGGTCCCAGCTCGCATCGTTCATGAAGAGGTAAGAGAGGTGGTCTCGCTTGGCCGCCGCCGCCTCGACGAGCTGCTCTATGACGGCTCCACCGGCGTCGTGCACGGTCTTGTCGTCGTCTGGGAACCACCACCCGGCGGCGACGGCAAGCCAAGTCTGGTTCACGGCCTCGAGACCTAGCGCGTTGCCGCCGTTGTTACTTCTCCCGATCTCGACCGCTCGAGACGAAACCGGTTGCAGAGTAACGGCCATGAACCCTGCGGTTATCTGCTTGACGACCTCCACCGACGAGGAGGACGTGACGATGCTCCCAATTTCGTCGTACAGCGACTTGTCTAGTCGGAAGCTCGCCGAATGCCAGTCGAACCTGTTGCCGCCGAATTAGCCACGTGGATGCTGGGAGAAAAGGCGCAAGGCCGGCGAAGGGGGGAATTGAAGCCCTTAGCCCCAAGCAAGGTGCAGCATCTTACCGTGGTACTACCGGAATACCGTACTCCGCAAGATATTGCGAGAACGATTTTATGCCGGTGCTATCTGAGGTGGTGTTGATAGGGTAGAACGATGCGAACGCGGCAGGCTTTTCCTCAGGCTTCAGATACACCATCGAGACCAGCGCTCCTATGCTGGCATTCGTGGGAGAAAATCCGACGATCAAGTTTGCGTACGGGTCTTTGTCGTTAGCGGACTGGTACTCGTAGTAGGCGTCCAGGACCTGAGGCAGCTGGTCAAGTGTGTAAGTCTTGACACCGCCCCAAACCTGGTTCAGGGGGTAGGCCGTGAGAGTAAACTCGGTAACGATACCTCACGAAGGACATGCTAGTCAGCGGGGTGTGCTATCGCACTAAGTGAGCCAAGGGATATATATACCTACCAAAATTGTTCGTCCCGCCCTTCAGCGCCCAGAACAAATCTGCGTTCTGCTTGGCGTTGGCGCTCACGAGCGAGCCATCGGCGGTGACAACCTAGCTATTGGTGAGCCGAGCTTGAAACGGAGAATTCGAGACGTCAAGCCTAAACTTACCTGCATGCTGACGACATTATCGCAGGCCAGGCCGTACAGTTCCGTAAACCAGGAAAGGCCACCTTGGAGGAGCGACGGCGTGTTAGCGACCATATCGTACCCCGGCGACGAGGAACTTACTCCCTAGGATCAGGCCGCCGACGCCGACGTCCGGCACCCTCCCTCCCACGACGACGACCCCGTGCGGCTCGAGCTGGCCGTACACTTCGCCCCAGGTCAGGCCCGTCCCCACGACGGCGACCCCGCGTCCGGCATCGTACTCCAGCCGGGTGAAGCCGGACATGTCGATCAAGACCCCATTGTCGATGTTGGCGAAGCCGCGGTGCGGCTCGTGTCCCCCGGACCGCACCGCGAAGCTCACGCTCGAATTGGCCAATAGGGAGACGGCCACCTGGAGCTGTTCTACGCGCGTCGGGTGGAGAATACAGACGGGATTCCCCCACGCAGTCTGGACCCTGCCCGGGAGGTGAGGTGAGAAGTTCGCGGAGAGAATGAGAGCTTCTTTGGGAGAGAGAGGAAAGAGAAAGAAAGAAAAAAAGAAAAAAGAGGGGGAGAAGAAAAGAACAGCTGTGTACATATGAATCGCTCTCGCCTTACCAGTTCTTGGTCCTGCGGGCTTCGTAATCGCCCTCATCGATAGTGGTCACGAAGTAATCGCCAAGAAGGGCCTCTAGCCGCTGACATGCCTTCTGAGTGGCACTCGGGGAGGCTGCGGTCACGACGCCCGCCAGGGCGTAGAAGCAGCCGAGCGATGTGAGGAGGGCGCGCGGGCTCGGACTGAACAACACCATGTTCGCGATGGCGCTGTACCGCTCGGGAATAAAGCCAATGAGAGAGCGTGTGCGAGTGATAGAGAGAGGATGCACGGTTTTAATTAAGAGCCGGGACGACTCGCGAACCGTCCAACTTCGCCGAGAAGCACGCTATAGCGAGGCCAAGCGGCAGGCCGCGGCGTTACAGGTCCCAGGTCGCCGTACTAATACAACTCACAGATGCGCCGGCACCGTCCGATAGGTGGCCTACTTGTGACATACCGGTTCGCTCTCCAGGGGAAGGATGCGTGTGGCCCGTTTCTGTTAGGTATTTTGCGTGCCGTCCCTACATCGGATGCCTCGTAGCACTATCGAATCCCAAGAGGCGGAGCGAGATACACGTGTATGTATGTATGTACGCGTACAAGGCAGCATAGCCATCGCGGGCTATTCAGAGTAAGCTGGCCACTTTTACCTACCGGTTTCCACTCCTCTGCCCGGGCTTGCTGCAGGGCCAGGCGCACGATCCTGCGGCACTCCTGGCGTAACATGGCGTTGCATATCACTACCTAACCTATACATATAGCTGCCTATGAGTATATACCTAGCTAGTCTAAGGAATATTACGACAAGGATCCGTCGGCCCCCAAAGCGCCCCTCGTAGTCTCAACTGGGACTGTGTAAGGTGAAAAAGACCCGGGATATGGGCTGCCGGCGTGCCAGGTCCCGTCCCGTACTGTGTTGGCTTACAGTCTTATAGGCCAGGCACCTTTCGGCCCTACAGAAAATATCTAGGCGCCTCAGCGCCTATGAACATTAATTATCACAAGGATTACGCAGGACGGCAAAAGCCCTCCTTGAGGAATATCTCCGCTTGTGCCGCGTTCTGGCCCGGCACCTCCCCCACACCCTCGTCCCTAGCTATGTCAGTCTTGGTAGGTAGGCAGGTAATTTTTTGCCCAAGCCAGGAGGGGTTTGATAGATAGGTACATGGAATGCCATGCTATCTCCTCGCCGATACGTCAGATCCAGATGACACGCGAGTTCCCACCGGGTCACCGTTATGCATCGCTCGTAAACACAGCCACTAGGCCTGGCCCGTCTTGGAAGGCTTTGCAAAGCGCCGTTGGAAGATGGTCGACCGCATCTTCTCGCAGGCCAATGGCCAGTCCGTCGAGTAAGCAGAGTAGAACGGCTGGTATCCAAGTAACCCGCCAATCCACCTGCCCACCACGATACCGATAGCCTGGGCTACGAACCGGCCAAAAGGCACCCAGCGCGGCACGGAAACGTATGTCCCACCCGCGTCAAATGTCTGATGGATAGATGAGCATCAAACCTCACCACCGTATGCGTGTAACCGTCCGGACCCCTCGGGGGAGGCGGAGGACGGGAAAGGCTGGGGGTTGGGAACAGCTTGCTTACACTCAATATTTGTATGAGACTAACTGGCTTGTTAGACTTTCGCATGTCCTCCTGGTACTTGTACCAGTTCTCAAAGAACAGCGTGTTGAGCTCGAAGACGCTCGGGGTGCGCTGGCCGGAGAGCAGGAACTCGACGGTGGTGACGCCCTCGTCCTGGCCGGCGCGCTCGATTGGGTACGAGCGGTGGTTCACTCCGCGGCCGATCGTGTACTCGGGGTCCGCGCTGGTCAGCACGAGCTCCTTGCCCTCGATCTCGAGCCCGAGCTTCCCCGCGACCGCTTGGATGTACTCGTCCTGGTTCGCGTGCAGGTGGATTGGCGGCTTGCGCCCGAAGAACTCGGCCCCCTTCTCGAGGTCGAGCGTGACGTGGAAGGCGAACGAGCGCTCCGGGTGTCGGATCACCCGCGTGCTGACCGCCCCGTCGAGCCTGTTACGTTTGGCTTACCGTAAGACATATGAGCAGGCAATGGATGCTATGCTTGGGTTCGTGGGAAGTGGGTTTTGGGGGGGAGAGCGGAGCGAGAGAGTGAGAGTTGAGGAGGGGGGGGGGGGTTGTTCACTTACACCGTGATGACCTGGTCTGAGTCTGTATACTCCATAGTGTGTATCTGTCGTCCTGGGCGCCGAGATCCTTTTGCTTTTCGGCGCGAGAATAACAACGCACCCGCAAACTGCCACCGAACCTATTCACGTTTCACTCTCGTTATATATATACAACACACTGCCGACCTCCCAAGGGCTACCACGTAGGTACTGCATCCCTAAGCTACCTAAGTTGCTACGGCAAAAGTGGAGGTAGCGTACGATGCCCAGGAATGGTGCGATGCGATGCGAGGGAAAGGATGGGTCAGAACGCGCTACCGAGAAGGGCAGAGGAAAGCAGATTCGCACACTTGACTAAGTAGGTTAGTAAGGACGATCCCCTGCTCGACGAAACTGTGGGGCAACAATATCTACCGTTAGCGACGGCAGCCTATACGGGAAGCCAGTTGGTGTGGGTGTGGGTGTAAATAGGGCTTACTCGGGGTGTGATTATATGCGATTGGTGTGTGTGTCGAATGCCCTACAAAGGAGGACGAGGCGGCCTTTCCAATGAGGATCCGGGATCTGGCAGAGTCTATGACTGTAAACGGGCGGAATCGTGCGGAAGATATTATACAGCAGCTGACCCAATAGAAGTATTCAGATTCAGGTTAATTCTTTCAAGATTACCTGTTTAGGGGGCTGGACTCGTCACCTGTCTGGCGTCTAGAATCTCGCGGCGTCCTTCTCATCACTGTGCAGGGGATCGCCGGAACCTACCACCTATAGTCTCTCTGTCCGCTTGCTTGCTTATGCGTATGTATTCGGTCCTGTAACCTCTTGAATGCCGCCCCGGGGAGCCCAGGCTTTGAATCACACCCACCTAGTCGTGTCGTATTACGGAAGACACCTCCAGACCGATGCAGCTCGGGAACCAAAACGGGCCCAGCCGAGGAATGGCGCCAAGAGAGTCGCCTCGATATTGGTGGCCTGCGGTAAGGCCTGGCGAGGTATTTCACCCTCTATAAGCTTGGGTAGGTAGGTATAAGCCAAGGCGATAGCCAGCCGCTGAGAGCTATGGAAGGCCATGCCCAGTCTACTCCGTAATCCCCTCCTACGAGACTCGATACACCCTTGGGCCCGTTTCTTCAGATATAATTACCCATCAAATTTGGACGAGGAGAAAGGAGAGCATTTGTCGATAGCTGGGTAACACAGTCCATCCGGTCGACAACATGAGTAGAGATCGGCAAGAAGAAAAGGGGCTTGTCAACGGCGATGCCACCGAGGGCGAGGTCCCGCGAGACACTCTCTCGCAGCAGTACGGCGGTGGCCACGCAGGGGGTTGGGTCAACCTGCTCCCGGCATCGTGGGTCCCGTACGTGCAGCTAGCGCGCCTGAGCCCGCCGGCAGCGCTCTTCTTGATCTACTTCCCGCACGCTTTTGGCGCGCTACACGCAGCGCGGGCGCACTCACTGCCGGCGGCCGCAACCGTGCGGGCCTGCGCCCAGCTGCTCGGCGGCAGCTTCTTCTTCTCGAACGCGGCGCACGCGTGGAACGATCTCATCGACGCCCCGATCGATCGCCAAGTAGCACGCACAAGGGGGCGGCCGATCGCGCGGGGCGATGTCTCGCCACGGGCAGCCTTCGCCTTTGCCGCCTCCCAGGCCGTCGGCGCCGCCGCCTTCCTACTCGTGCTACCACCGGCGGCAGCGGTCGCAGCGGTCCCTACGATCGTCGGCACCACGTACTACCCCTGGGCCAAGCGCCACATCCACTTCCCGCAGCTCGTGCTCGGCTTCTGCCTCGCGTGGGGCGTCGTCGTCGGCGCCGCGGCCGCGGCCGCGGAGCGCCCCTGGGCCGACGTCGCCGCGCTGTGCCTCGTCGCCGCGTGCATCCTCTGGACGACGATATACGACACCATCTACGCGTACCAGGACGTGGCGGACGACGTCAAGATCGGGGTTAAGAGCACGGCGGTGCTTTTCGGTGCCCACGTGAAATACTTCCTGTGGTTCCCGCTCCTCCTCCTCGGCATCTGCCTCGTGCTGTACGGGCAGCTGGTCCAGGCAGGGGCCTTGTACTACGTGGTCACCGTGGGCGGCAGCGTATCGTCGCTCGGGGCCATGATTGCCAACGTGAAGCTGAAAGACGACGCGAGTTGCTGGTGGTGGTTCTCATGCGGATTCTGGTTCACAGGGATCTCTATCACTGTCGGGTTGCTGGCCGGGTATCTCGGTTTGTAGGAGAGGATGATCGACATTTTCTCTGGTTCCGTTAGCTCCACTCTCAGTGCTACTCGAAGATAGGATCGATCTGCATACATGACACAGGTACATGCTATATAGTACGCATCGCATAGGAAAAGAAGGGGAAGAGAAGACACACTACCTGACGCAAGGAGGCGAGAGGTGTGATTCCATTTCGGCCAAGGTCGTTATGGTTACGGAGTATAAGACACCCAGTGACGCTCGCATATCACACCCCGAAGGTAGAAGAGGTACCGAGGTACCTGGTAGCATGGGGGCGTAAGTACCTCACGTACCTATATGTATGTTCAGCTTGATCTCGGCATCTCTTCTCGTTTCGAATCTGGCCCCACTCTAGAAATTGGGTCCGTTACATGCCCAGGTACGTAGTAGTACTAGGTACACATTGCGGGGCGAGGTAACCGAATCTGGGACTGTGAATCGGTTGGCCCGAAAAGAAGCGGCTAGTGTGTCCGTCCGTACTGGGCTCGTACCAGCCAGCTGCTCCCTTAATGTACGAAGTAATACATACGAAGGTACCTATATATAGGAGGTAGGTACCTGCTAGAAAGTATATACAGGCATCCATCTAACTCACCTATCTACCTGCTAACCCCCCACCCCAGGCACGCGGCAGGCATACGATTCCCTCGGTTCCTTTACGAGACTACCTAGGTGGATAACGGGTGGTCCAGCTCCGATCTGAGAAAAAACCGCATACTTTTCTGTGCTGAAGCTGTGCAGCCCGCAACATGGTGGCCGTGGCATGAACACTGCCTGACTAACCGCCTTAGAGTAGGTATCTAAGGAGGTAGCACCTTACCTAGGTAGGCCAGCGGACCTGCCAATTTTAAGCTTAATGTTGGTAGGAGCTCCACTGGAGAAACCGTAGGTAGCGATTGCCTGGGGTATTTTCACAATACGCCCCATTACAGGTAGGTACCTACTTTCTAGCTAGCTAGGTACATTCAACATCGTCGGAACAAGAGCGCTGCTATATAGGTACCTCCTACCTACCTAGGTACCTCCAGGAAAGATATGTCTAGAGAGGGAAACTCACTCAGAGTTCTCCCTCGTGTCAGGCCGGGGTATCCCCCTATCCTCGCTAAGGTTTCCACTTCGACATGTAGGTATGTACCTACGTGGCAGCATCTCTCGACTCGCCCTTTACTATGGTAGCATCACGTGGGAATGCGCTATGCCTGCTAAGGGCATATGATGGGAGCAGACGAAGGGTGATATTACCCGAGTTAAGAAAGTTCACCTTCTAGATAGGTAGGTGTAGACGATAGACGATCTTGACCTCTGACGATCTTGGCCTTTTCCAATATGGATGCAGTTCGCTAGGTACGTAGTCCAACCACCACTTTAGGTGCTAAGGAAGCGATCCACTTGTTGAGAGGAGGAGGGGCTGGAATAGGATCTGCGCCATACTACTCATATACATACTAGATACCTATGTGGTAGGTAGGCAGGTACATACATTTACAGGCATCCTAACCCTGTATGCGTGTCTGAACGTACCTACGTGTAGGTCCACATCCCCCATACATCTGCCCCATACGAGCACGTTTCCTACGCCACCAGGTACCCAGCAAAAGGCACAGAGCACAGTAATGACCTACCTTAGGAGGTACCTTAGGCAGACACTTACATAGGTACTTCCTACCTTCGGTACCCCATCTACTTACCTGTCTCCCGGTTACGGCTCGCCAGTGCGTGTCACCACAGTCTCTTCCACCGAATCTTCATTTCCCGATCTGGGGGCATGCCCGCCGCTCCGGCGTACTTCTTATCGTTCCGGGCAGGTCTGTCGGATGCCGAGCCGTCGTAGTGGAGCCATTGGACGAACTCGATGTCGAACTTGACCACGATGATGGCCACCGCCATGATGATCTCGCGCTTGGCGAAGTGGCGTCCCGGGCACATCGCATGATCGCCACCTGGGAGGTCGGCGACAAGCAAATGTAAGTCAGTCCATTGGCAAGTTCCCCGCTTAAATGGGTGGGTGGGTAGAGAAGGGATGTCTTACCGTAGGGGAAGTAAGACGTCGGTCGAGCGTTGATCGAGAACCGAGCCTCTCCGGGCTTGGTATCCTCTCCCGTCTTTGCAGTGTAATCTAGGTGTCGTTCCGCCCAGAACTCGGCGGCAGGGTGCCCGTCAGCGTTCCAGACCGCGTCCTCGTAGTGGGCAATCTGTGTTGGCGTCTGGATCAAGGACCCCTTGGCTATACGATACCCGCCTATCCAGATATCCTCCAGCGCCTCGCGCGTCGCGTTGAAGGAGATATGCATGCGCAGCGCTTCGCTGTACACGGATTGTATCAGGGGCATAGATAGGAGCTTCTCGACGTCGGCAAGCCGACGTTGCCCTGTAAGCTCGTCGACCGCGAAGGCCTGCTGTGCCTCCTGACGCACCCTCCGAAGCAGGGGCGGATCTTGGATTAGCTCCATCAGGATCCATGTCGCTATTGGCAGGGTATTGCCGTTAAGACTACCATTGGCGTCGGCACTTAGCGCACGATGGATGAGGCCGGGCTGGAACATACCTACCCAAATAAGGTCGCCATGGTGTGCCCGCTAGCGGTGCGCACAGAGAATCCCGACTCCTTCAACCAGAGCGCGATCTCGCGCGCGAATCGAGAGCCCCAGTACGGATCCCAGTCCGACTCGGCTTCCGGCCCGTCCCAGTCGAATTCTTCGTATGCGATTGCTGTCTGCTTCGTTGTCATACCGTGTAGCCGGTCACGAATCTCGTACGCCCGAGGTATGAGGAACCTCGGAAGACCCCAGACGAGGATCCCGGCCACCTCGTCAAACTCCCAGTAGCACTTGAGGAGATCGGGGTTGAGCTCGAGAATTTTCGTGCCGAACATGGATTTTACGGCGCTCTCAGCCATGGCCACCTTCATGAAATCGTAGAGATCCACTGTTGCGTATTGGTGCAGAGGTTGGCTCTCGTCGAGGCGCTCCGCAAGAAAGCGATAAAACGTGTTGGCTAGGACTTCGGTATATCGTGCGCTGCTCAGATATTTGGCGTATATCTGATGGTGATTGTACCAGTGGCGCTGGCTGGGGGGCGTGTCCTCCGTCCCAGGATTCGGAACTCTCTTCCTACCAGACTTGTCATCTTCGAACATCTTGATCTCGTCTTTGGACATGTCCCAGTGTTTGTCCATAAGAAGGGTATGGAACATGTTCGGATCCGTAATGTGCGGTGGTCGGAACAAACCCGCCACGTTCTTCGCGCCAGACACCATGTATACATCTCGTAGTCCCAACTTGAACCTGATGATACCATTCTGGCCGAGAGCTTCCCTACAACGGTAGCGTTAGTGTGAGAAGGATGAGTCGCCAGTAGGTAGGTAGCGGGTGACGACGTACGTCGCTCGGTCGAGGAAAGCCCCCATATCAGTCAAGTACTGATAGGTGTTGGAAACGAAGGGGATAGCTTCCCAAAGATATGGTGGTTGTGGTTCATTTTTGCCTAGCAGTCGGAAAACAAAAGTGATCAACAACACGCCGGATAGCAAAACGATGGTGAAAGGAATAGCTAGTGAGCGTTCTAGGTGCCTCGCCACTCCACCAACGAGATCCATAATGGCGCTACGTCGTAGAGTATTGGTTTTCAATTAAACAACAGGCTATGGTGACCAATGGACAGATGGCGATGGGGTGGTTCTGTAGTGAGGGGAGCTACAGGCATTGCTTGCGAGGCTCTTTAGACCCAGCTACTGTTCTCGCCTAATAGTATCGGAAGCTATCCCGGAAGGGCGGAAGTGAGGGTCACAGTATATCTAGCCTACCCACCGAACGAAAGTCGAGCCTGTTCATTCACGATCATAATCGGTTAGGTGCCTGCTGTATTTAGCAAGTCGAAAATGCTTCCCCACCCCTCGACCTCCCACGGTCGTTGAGCTAATAGGTCTTATCTACGACGGGATGTCACTGTTGCTATGTGACGGTGATGAGCCATAGAATGTCTATAGGTAGGCCCCCATCCTCGGATCTAGCACCAAATCATGGGTTAGACTAGTGCTTCTATAATTATTGGAGAACATCGGCGGCCCTGCCAAGGGGGAACCCACTCGAGAAGGATCTACTATATACCACGTAACCTGCCCAGTGATCGTAGAGACTCCGGTTGTGTGGATTGCATGTGAGATTCTTCTTGATCCCGGCAATAGTCAGCCCACAGACCGCCATGCCCACCTGCTGATTTGCCAAGAAATGCCTCGAAAAGGACAAGTCTGATAATATAGGTAGGTAAGCCGAATGCTTGAACCCAGCACACCTATTCCGGGAGACCTCGTTCTTCATTCGCGAAGTCGCGAAGTGCCTAGGAAAATCTACCTAGTAATATTAGAAGATGAGTACTAATGACAAAACAACTTGCGGCGGGTGAAACAGGGCCGACAATACAAGCAATACCTATACCTATTTTCCTCTTAGTGGGAAGTCCTTAGGAAAAAAAGGTTATATCATCTGTCGAGTACCTTCTGGCTTCCCGGGAACAACAAGGTGCTGATGAGACTTGGCGTTTTTGTCGTATCGTATTGATAGGCGTCACTTGGTATCTCTACTCCAATGGCGAACTACAAGTCGCTCGCCGAACTTGGTCACATAATCCAGTCCCTCGCCACCTCGTTAGACGAGTCGCTTAAGGATGCTCGATTGCCACAACCGCTCCTTTCTCCTCAGGGTGCCTCGTCCCAGATACTTGCATATCCCGATGCCGCACAGGCGCAACGCGCCGAGCTCCTCGACGCTCTAGACGAGCTACGGGCGTTGGTCCTGGGACCTACCTCGTATCTCTTTTATACCAGCATCCTCAGCGTATGTGTGTAACCAACCCCGATGGAGCCAGTTTCTAATCGTGTTTTCCCCCGTTCGATCTACAGCCTTCCTGGATTGGAGTGTTCGACGTACTTTACAGGTGTCGCATCGCATATCACGTTCCAGCCGAGGGCGCAATATCCTACGCTGACCTGTCAGCGCTCTGCGGTCTAGAGGAGTCCGATACGAGGCGCATTGTGCGGGCTGCTATATCGCTGCGTATCTTCGAAGAGGAGCCGGTCGAATTCGTAAGGCACAACGCAATTTCTGCGGTATTGAAAACACCCCTAGCTCATGACGCTGTCGGATTCTTCACCGAAGAGTTCACACCGGCAGCGCTGAAGCTGGCGGAGTCGTTGCAACGCTTCCCCGCCTCGGGTAAAGCAGGGGAATCCGCTATTGCGATTGCTAACGGCAGCGTTGGAGACAAGGACATCTTTTCGCTTATCTCGCATGATGCGGATCGGGTTAAGAGATTTGCTAATGCCCAGTCCTTTAATACCACTGTGCTTGAAACCTCCTCGAGCCACCTTGTGAACAACATGCCCTGGTCGCCGACGTGCCATCCGGGACACCGCGAGTGTGCCACTCTCGTCGTCGATGTGGGCGGCTCCCGCGGAGACGTCTGCGAGGCCTTGCTCAGCAAGTACCCTGGCATCAAGAAGGCAATAGTTCAGGACCTACCGGAAGTGACGGAGAAGAATCTCGAGCGTCAAGTATCCGGGCCACTCACGGGGCGCATCGAGTATCAGGCTTACGATTTCTTTACCGAGCAGCCAGTGAAAAATGCGGACGTGTACATCTTCAGGACGGTCCTTCACGATTGGCCAGACAGCTACGCCGTCCGGATCCTGCAGAACCAGATACCAGCCCTCAAACCGGGAGCTCGGATCCTTATTAACGATATATGCATCCACTACACCGAGGGAGAGACGAGTTCCATCATCAAGCAAGCACAATGGTAAGTAAACCATCTATACAAGTAAAGGAAGGAGAGGGGAAGAGGGGAAGAGGGGGGGAAAAAAACAGGATGTACTCGGGCATGGAATACTAATCATTATTGTTCAATACGCAGTTCACATGACATTTTCGTAAAGATGGGCCTGAACGCGAAGGAGAGGACGAGAGAGGATTGGACGGCACTCCTGTCAGCGGCAGACGAGCGCTTCGAGATCAAGTCCATCGTCACGCCTCCTCAGTCCGTTCATTCTATCCTCGAGGTCGTTTGGAGAGGTGATCTGGTCAAGGAAGGGCCAGGCCCCCTCCCTTAGTTTCAAGGCTATACAACACCAACTCCGTGACGTTCATCCCTACCCACATAGCATAGTGTTATCATGTGCAGCGATGCATATTAGTGCCGCGTTTAGACTAGACGGAATGGTTAGCATCGCAATTTACTAGTTGTCCCAGTTTTGAACAGTATAAGACGTAGACCAACTCGGGTTGTCTTGTTCCCACTGTGATCGTTGCTGTGCCCGCCCTGAATAGTCGTCCTCACCCTGCTCCAATGTGACTACGTAAGTAAGCGATACGTAATACAGGGGGCTTGGCTGCGATGCTCCCGGGTTCGTCCTATCATCATGGCTAGTTCCTGTTCAACATGTGATAACCGGTAGAAAATATTATTATCATGTCCACCCTAGCGAATCTGAAGAGTGTTGTCGCCCCAGCCCCGTCGTAACCATCCAACTCCCACCTATAGTGTTGCGACTATCAACCCTAACGTAAGAACTTAGGTCGTGCGGGTGAGCCTTACTTTACCACCTAGTATGTATGCAGTGCTCGGCGGTTCTAGACGTTCCAAGTTTAGCCAGGAGTAAGCGGCAAGTGTTCATTTACCCTATTGGAGCGAAGCTATACGTAGTATCTACTACCTACCTAGATGTAGTATAAAGGTGCCCACCTACATTAAATGCATATTATGCTTCGTGGTTAATGTCACAATGTCATCCAGATGTCCCCATGTACCTAGATACGTGTAGGTCGGCGCCTCCGCCACTCCTAGCTGGAACCCAGCTCTGTTCCAGCTTGAACTGTCGGGTTTCCTTGATCTGCTTGACGGCCAAATACGACCGAAGAATTGCGCTGCCAGTTAAACGCACATGCCAGCGTAGTATAGGTGTGTATTTGCACCAGTACACGAAATGCCGGTCCACCGAATGGGACCTTCTTACACGAATGCGGCATGCCTCGGCCACCCGCTTCGGTGTGGGTGGATAAGCCGCCCGGAGATCCCTCCCACATGTCGCGCTACACAGCATTATTCTAAGTCTGCGGAATCCAACGTGGAAATCCTACGAACGAGCCCTAACCGTCGAATCAGCGGTGCTTGGTCATCATACGACATTACTTAGCGGGCTTTACGTAGTCGGTGTCCGTCTCGCTAGGCTGCAAATAAGCACCAGTGGCAGTAGCAAATTATCGAGTACTACGTGGTAAGTCGTCGCAGGTAGGCTAAGCCTTACGACGCACCGCACAAGTTCCCGGATCAGTTTGCCGAAGGTGATGACGTAAGGAGGAGGGGGACGAGGGAAGACGGGATGCTCATATCCGCACGATGGCAGGGAACCTACACTACATAGCCCTCACACCGGCAGCGTAGATGAGACGGTGCTTTCTATAAGGTGTGTGTTCATGTCTAGATGCCTACACGGTACGTGCCTCCTAGGCGCATATATGCTTAAATTAGGTGCCTGAGGCAGCGAGCTCGCAATTTTAGCTCCCGTTACAGGGCTGCGGATCCTTACCCTGGAGAACAGCTGAAACTCCCCAGTAGCAGAGAGCCCTCAACCAGCCACCACCCTCGAGACTGTCTGAGCCTCAGGTACGGTCTGTAGGCACCCTCACGGTGTTTTTTACGCACTGTTGCCGCGTCCTTAGGTTAGGTACCTAAGAGGAGGCAGGTAGCACATGAGCATATCCTGTCGGAACGTCAGAGCCGACGCTTAGAGAAGAAAAAAAAAAGTATTTTGGAAAAAGGAAGAATTTTGTAGATACTGGAGGTTTCTTTTTTTCTGCTCTTTTTTCTCGCTTGGCCCTGTTCATCGTAGGTAGGCGGCATCTGTCCAGGAAAAAACACAAAGATGAGATCTTGGGTCGCATTCCAAAAAGGGCAAGCGTATACGGCATACATACGTATAGTTATATACCGTATACTGTAACTATATATACACCCCCCCCCCCCCGCGCCTACAGGGGGGTAGCCCTAGACGAAAATCAGGTAGGTACATAGGTACATACAAGGGCGCAATGCGAAACCGACAGACAACCACCCATGGATCCCATCCACCGTCCCGCCCCAACTTCACTCACACATACCTACCTACCTTTTCTCTCCACACAGCTTCCTTCCCCCCTCCCCCTCCCTTTCTGTAAGCGTTCTCTCGCTCTCGCTCCAACATAGATTCCCGCTCGCATAGTGTAGTCTTCCCTTGCCTTACCTCCCCGTACGTAGCATCTGTCCCTGGGTCTTAGCTAGTGAGCTCCCCATAGCTTCCTTGGCCTCCTAAGCTTCCTACCTAGAAGATCTAAGATCTCCTCTCTCCAAGCTATTCTATCCCTCTCTAGGCATTACTCCCTCGTTCTGGTCTGCGCAAACTATGGCTGGCACCGTAATTCTCACCGGGGCCAATAGCTCAGCTGGTCTCCACGCCTCCGAGCATATCTTGAAGAAATACCCTCAGCACACGGCCGTCTTCACCGTCCGGAGCGCCGCCGACACCGATGTCAATACCAATAGCTTGCGTGCCATCCTCGCCCGGTACCCCGAGACCAAGGCGTCGATCCACGAGCTGGACCTGGGCGACCTCACCGCCGTCCACAACTTCGCCACTACCATCTCGGACGGCGTCGCCGGCGGCCAGTATCCTCCCATCAAGTCCATCATATGCAACGCCTACTACTGGAATCTCGTGTCCGACCCGGAGCTCACCGTCGATGGCTTCGACAAGTCGATACAGATCGGACACCTCTCCCACGTGGCCCTAATCCTACGCCTTCTCGGCAGCTTCAGCCCCGATGGCGGCCGCATCGAGCTCCTCTCGAGCATCGCCCACTACCGCAAGAAGACCGGCATGTCACCATACCTCCCCGAGATACCCGACGACCTGGACCTCCTCATCCACCCGCGCGCCGACCCTGACAAGCAGGGCCGCGGCTTTCAGAGGTACGGTACCTTGAAGCTGGTCATCACGACCTGGATGTATCCCCTCAATGAGTATCTCCAAAAGGTAAGCTGGCCTGGCTCCATAAGAACTTCCTCGCTCTCTCCTAACTAACGTGTTCCCCTTTCAAACAGGACCCGAAGCTCTCCAAGATCACGGTGATAGCAGTGAACCCGGGCAACCTGGGGGACTCCCGGGCGTTCCGTACGAACACGCCGGCGTCGATCAGGTACGCGCAGAAGTTCGTGATGCGGCCGTTCATGTCGCTCGTGCGGCGGTTCGCGGACCCGACCTTCCGGCCGTCAGCCGAGGCGGGCGCTGACATCGCCGAGCTCGGCGTCGGCCGCGCCGACGACGGCCAGCGCGGCTATTACACACTCCTCGAGAAGGACGAACCTGACCCGGTCGTCCTCGACCCCGAGAACCAGCGGCGCATCTGGGCCAAGAGCGCTGAGTGGGCCGGCATCACTAAGGACAACACCGCGCTCAAGGTTGCCTTCGAATAGAGATCTGATCTCTCATACGCCCGATTTCGGAGACATGCTCGTTTTCCTCGTTGTCGTATTCATCAGCGACGTCCGTTTGACGCTTCACCGAAGGATGTTCGTGTGTGTGTGTGGTGAAGCTATGTGGCTGCTTACAGTTGAGTAGGCGATGGCCTCTACGGCGACGCGGCAAGCGTGTAGGATTATTACTTTTCTCACTCATTACCTGGGATATGTATGTGCGGAATAATAATAAGAGGGCGTTTGTGTTCCCATCCCTCTCTACCTCTCTCAATTTTCGCATAGGTACGGGCATATGTGCGTGGATGGAGAAGGAGTTTCGACTTGGTAGTTTGGCGACACCGAATTTCAGATATGCTGCATAGGGACATCTGTTGTTACAACTATACCTACCTATACTTGCCTGTAGGAAAGCGACATAGATTTAATCCGTGTTACGTTCACCGATCGCCACGTATCGTCGGCTTTCCTTCTACAATCTTACTGTTTACCTATTTCATCTCGCTCCTTTCCAGCGGGGGAAAGGGGAGAGAAGAAGGGAGACTATTACCTGGGCTCTTCTTGGTGGTAGAGAATTGCGCTCTGTTTTTCCCACTCATTTACGTCGCCCATCGACTACTATAAATTAGCAACTCACACACGGAAGCTGTGCTTCCGAACAGAGCTCCTCGCGTTCGTGTATCGAACGTAGTTCCATCACCTTCGTGATAACTCTACTCTACCCAACGAACCTATCGTTTGCATATCCTACTGCCTATAAGTATATGTGGTATAAGTTATGTCCAGTCCCAGTATTACCCTAAAATCCGACCAAGCAAGCCATACAAGACCCATGCCCCGCCCGCACGCCACCTTTTACCGATTCCCATCTCCCCGTTTTCCGTAAGTGAACCCCGCCCACTTACATCGCGACCCCCCTCTCGGGCGACGCGCGCGAAACATCGGCGCCAGCGGCCGAGGTCCTAGTGTCGGCGAACGAGGCGTCGAGGGGGATGGTGGTGGTGCGGAGCTCGATCTGGGAGTCAGAGAGCTTCTGGAACTTGCGGGGGGTGCCGAAGGTGATGAGGTCGTAGTTGCGCGGGGGGGGGCGGCCGCCGGAGCCGCCGGACGACGAGCCCGCGGGCTTGTTGCTGCTGCGGTGCTGCGCCGAGAGCCGCGTGGCGACGCGCCCCGACACCGACTTGAACAGCGGGTACACCGCCGGCAGCGACGCGCCCAGCAGCGCCAGCGTCGGCTCCAGTTGCCCCGGGATCCACACCGTCACCCCGTAGTTGTCGAACTGCACCGGGATGAAGCGCGACATCAGGTAGTCGAACCCTGAGCGCCAGCGCCAGGAGGGTCAGCTATGCGTTGTTGTTGTTCCGTGGCCATAAGAAAGAGTTGAGGGGGGGGGGTACGGAGAAAAGGGGGCTGAGAGGGGAGGGGACCAAGAATAAGGGGGTAATAGAGTCTATTATTGCGGCTACTCACAATGAGGGTCGCTTGTGTGCGTTCGAGGCAAATCCGCTACGTAGGCCGCGAGCTTATACGCTGACGCGACGCTCGCACTGATCGGCGAAAAAAAAGGCGAGAGGAGCCCCTCCTGTCAGCAGGATTCCCAAGATGACAAGAATACCTAAGCAGAGAAAAAAAGATAAGAAAAGGGGCGGAGGGATTCTCGACTCACGATGCTCCGAGCATGAACATGATGGCGACGCCGACGCGCTTCTTGAGGGGCATCTTGAGCTTCGAGACGGGGACGACGGGGAAGAAGACGAGGATGACGTCGAAGGCGAGGCTGACGCTGTAGAGAGTGACCTGGGCGGCGTTCCAGTAGTTGGTGCTGCAGAAGGGGGCGCGCTCGATGGGGAGCCAGGCGACGGAGAAGGGGCGGCAGATGAAGGCGGGCAGGATGGAGAAGACGACGACGTAGACGGCCTGGAGGGCGAGCAGGACCCAGATGGAGGCACGCAGGGCGCTGCCGTGGCCGTCGGCGAAGATGCGGTAGTAGAACAGGATGATGGAGGCGCGGATCGCGCCCGACGTCACCGGGTACAGCCACGTCACCGCGAGGATGCACTGGAACCAGATCGTGTACTCGGCCAGCGTGATCTCGTTGAGCGGCTTCCCGGCCCCGCTCGCGAGCACCGCGTACACGGTGAGGACGGTCCAGCCGAGATACAGTATCTACCCCGGTTGTGAGGATGTGCGTAGGTAGGTTGTAAAGGTAGGTGGGATGATAAGTAGGCAGGTAGGTAGGTAGGCAATGATAGATCTCGATGTCTCTACTTACGAACGACGGGATCATGGCATAGTCGTCCACGCCGATGGTCTTCGTACGCACTCGATACCATAGACGAGCGCTGACGAAGGCGCTGCCTAGGGCGCCAAGGATGATGCACGCGATGGCGATCCCGTACTCCTTGTGGGAGTCATTGCGCTCAGTTGGCGGCGGGATGAGCTGGTCTAGGGGAACTGACGGATCCATACGGGCCACTCGTAGTTTTCTTCTTCCTGTCCCAGCTCTCTGGGATGGAGAAGAAGCAGCTCGGACGGGGGGAGAGAATGACTAAGTAGAGTTATACAGGGCACAGGATAACGATAGATGGAAATAGAGGCAATGGCTAAATATTTCCTGCGCCAACATCGCCGAACGGGGTGGGGGCAATAGTTTAACACTCGGGAGCGCGAGAGCCCGGATCGAGGCGAGACTATGTAAGTCAGCTTACCTCCCATTCGACGACCTCGCTGGTGGCTGCCATCCACGCACATGGCATGAAGGAGGCTTGCTTCTGCTCCGCCTACGAGATGTGGGACTGCCGATCAACACTGATAGTCACCAAGATACTACCTACACGCACACACGAGATCGTGCAACCCCGGGAATCCTGACGACCCTAGTATCACGCATGACCCGGAGCTGAGCTGAGGCAGGATAGGAAGGTAAGGCTCCGGAGCCATCGCAGACCTCGACAATGCGCGACTTTGTTTAGATCCGGAGCGGTCGGATTGGAATATCCAACGTGAATCGCCTGTCCAGCCGTCAGCTGTTGGAAGGGGGGCGTCTACTTACATGCTTCCACGCCGACATGGGCAGCAGGGTGGTATAAGCGTGCAAGCATGGTGGCATTATCAGCAAGGTGATATACGCAGGGTGGTATAAGCAAGGGAGGTATAAGCAAGGGAGGCATGGGTCTCTCGTGGCAAGTAGGATGGAAGGATGAGTGACGACGAGAGAAGACCGTTTCGGCACGGCTCTAGAGCTCAACCCTTCTTCGATAAACCCGCGTGGGGACGACGCCATCGAATCCTTCGCTTGAGTCGCCCTGCTTTCTGTGGTCTCTTTGCTCCCTTCCGAGTTGATATCAATTGCTCCAGCTGAATAATTAACCAACTAGCGACCTTTGCTCCTTCGGCTCTAAAGGCAAGGCAACGCTTCACAGAACCATTATAAAATGTTGGACGGCATGGAGGGTGTGGTGCAACCGTCCTTTTTGCCCCAGCGTTCGCTGACATTCTTTTCCTCTTTCCATGCATAGACGAGTCCTACACGGCGGTTGCTGATCTGATTCATTTACACGACAGCAAATCAGAGGCTGCTCCAACTCTTGTGCCATTGTCAGTGTCTCATTCGCCCGGCCTGGTCTCGGTCTCTCTCTACCTATCTATCGGCCGATCTCTTTCGCCCTTTTCGACGTATAGTACTGTCTCCTAAGTCCGGCCGTCTTTCCCGTAATGATGGTTAAACCCCGTGGCCTGGTGATTCTAGGCCTCTCATTTATCCCGGGGCTCGTCCTGGGTAGCAGTAATACCGCTGCCCTCCCAGCAACCTCCGCTGCCTCTCAACTCGCCACTGCAACGCAGCCAATCAACATGGGGGAAGACTTTAACGCCTTTGCTAAAAGCATTGGCCTATCCAGTTCGCAGACCTGCAAGCTCAAGGCAAAGTATGATGCCATTGTCAATGGTGGAAACAGTCCCGAAGACAACTTGGACCTGGCTTGCCAAGTAGCCCAGGAGTCCCTGGGAGCCGACCAGGTCGACAGCGCACCCGTCGGTCAGGCCCTGATTAATGAGAATTGGTAGGTACTGTTTCGCCCATTTATATCCCTTCTCTTCTTTTTCCCCCTCCCCTCCTATTTAGGATTCGCATATATTCCCCTTGTGCTTGGCTCTTTTTTTTTCCCCACCCACTACTCTCCCTACTCTCCCTACCCTCCCTTCCTAATCCTGTGGCTCCAGGTCCTTAACCTGCGTTGCCGACGCCTATTGCGTCGTTCTGCCGCGAAACACGGACGAAACTGTCAAGGCCGTCAGGGTCATCAGCTATTTTAAAGTGAAGTTCGCGGTGCGCGCTGGTGGCCATTCGCCCAACCCCGGCTGGTCCAGCGTGGGACAGGAGGGAATCCTCCTCGATCTGCAGAGGTTGAATCAGATCAGCCTGTCGAGCGATAAGAAGCTCTGCAGCCTCGGCCCTGGAGCACGTTGGGGTAACGTGGTAGCAACTCTGGGCACGCAGAACGCGACCGTTCTCGCCGGCCGGAATCCCCTCGTCGGCGTGGGCGGTCTCATCTTGGGAGGTGCGAAATTTTTTTTTTATCTATGTCCGCAAACGCCTTCATCTTATTGCGATCGGCTGACGGATCCTAGGCGGATATCACCACACGTCCTCGGAATACGGGACCGTTGCAGACAATGTGAAAAACTTCGAGGTACCTTAACTAGGCCCGAATCCTTCGCTGCGACCTCCCGACACACGGAGGGGGGGCATTGCTGACTCCGGACGCAGGTTGTCTTGTCCAATGGGACCGTCGTAAACGCGAACATAGACGAAAACAATGACCTGTTCTGGGCCCTCAAAGGCGGCGGGCCAAACTTCGGTATCGTCACCCGCTTCGACGTTTACACCCTGCCCGGGACAGAGATATGGTATCAACTGGCCATCTACGGGCTGGATCAAGCATTCGACATTCTGGACACCTTCGCAAAATGGCAGCAGAACGAAGGCTCCTCCGACTTCAAGGCAAATCTGATCCTATCTCTCGGCATAGATAGCCATGTGATCGGACTCGTCTACTCGGCACCTGCGCCTGAGGTTCCCAGTGCCTTCGCCCCTTTTTTCGAGTTGACGCCGCTCCAGGTGGTGGTGCCAGCAACAAATGGCACTTTCGCATCGCTGAACGAGGCCATAGCCCCCTTTGTCCCTATGGAGCAGATGCGGTTGGTATCCTATGTCGGCGCCTGAGCGTCAGGGGAGTGCGATGGACCTCCGCTGACTCTGCTTGTCCCAGGCACGATTACGGAGGCGTTAGCTCGCGCGTCGACGCGCAGCTCTACAAAGATGTCTACACATTCTGGGCCGAGAGGGCCCTCGCCGCACGCGATGCTACCGGCGCAAACCAGACCTTCGTCCTGCAGCATGTCCCCAGCAACATGGTAGCCCAGGGGATCGCTAAGGGCGGAAACCCCCTAGGCCTTATACAAGAGACCCATCAGTGTAAGTCTTAACAGCCCAGACATGCCCGAGGCACAACTCTTAGCTGAAGGGCGAGACCGCTGACCTCGCATGAAAATGCGAAAAGGGTGGACGACACTCGTCGACTGGAGGGAGGCGAAAGATGACGACGCTGCGCGAGCCGTCACGATCGATACGGTCGCGCAGTGGAAGAAGCTCGGCCAGGAGCGCGGCCTCTACCTGCCCTTCTACTTCATGAACGACTCCGGACGGAACCAAAACCCGATCGCGGGGTACGGCCAGGCGAACGTCGACAAGCTCAACGAGGTCTCACGCAAGTACGATAGCAGCCAGTTCTTCCAGACCCAGCAGGTCGGCGGCTTCCTGCTCTCGCGCGCCTAGATTTAGCTAGCTGGGCGCACAGGGAGGCGCAGGAGAACCCATTCGGACCGGCTCGTCGGTACGGCCGGCCTCTTCTTCGCCGACTAAGGAGCGTGTAAGCTGATGGGATCGGGTGCACCTTTGTGCATGTATATATAGATTTCTTAAATGTGTTCTGTACGACTTAACGGAACTTATATAGCATCATTCCTTTAGTTGTGGCTTTGTAATAAGTCATGCGCCATGAGATAAGAGACGCTCGAAGGCGTATTCACTGCAGGATATACAGAACTGCTCCGCCTCGTGAAATCAAAAATCCAGCAGGAGCTCTACGGCGCACGAGACACAAAGCGCCGGCCCGAGCCGCCTTGGCCATATAAGCTAATCTCTTTGAATCACGGGGCCGAAGCATGTTCCTACTAACTATCATGAGCGTGGTCCCCCTGTCACTTCGCGGCTGGGCTCGTGGGCATCCTCTACGGACATATTCGCAATAGGGATGAGGGCATTCAGGGGCCACACACCAAGCCTAGCATAATTGTCATGCATAACCTGTTCAGGAGAGCAGACCCCGGTCAGCCATAGGTACGCTAGATGCTCATATCATGACGTCCTCACAGTCTAAAATTCTCATCACAACCCTCGCTTAGTTCTCACCCCAACACGTATCAGCTAGAGCCCTATACTTAGCTGCTGATAGTTAAATCATAATGTGCCATATACACAGCGCCCGAAGAGTTTTTTATTTTATTTTATTAGAGCAAAGCTGTACGGGGAGAGAAAAGCGGAACCTCCTTTCTCTCGACCCTCGTTTACTAGACGGGCTGAATATCACCCCAATGCCAAAAGGCACTGTGACTTGCATACCGCAACCTCTTCAAGTGCACCTATCGTTGTACGGCACCGTAGGTAGGCGCTAGCAACTACGGTGTTGGCGTCAAATACCAAAGCTCATGCTGACCTTCGTCGCTCTTCAAAGGCAGAAGTGAAGAGGGCGATTCGTGTCAAGGTATCGTCCGATAAGCTCTCTTCGAAGGTATTATATTCTCGCCTCGGTACTACATTCCAGCCTTTACGGCCTGTAAACTAGATGTCTCATGTCATCGAGCTTTCTGGCTTGCTTTTTGACCTGCTCTGCTTGGGTCTCGTAGGAGTTAAGAGTACCCCCTTCCCCCCTCCCCCCCCCTTGACTTTGGCAGGTAGGTAGGTATTAAACACGAGCTGGTAGATCGCTTCGATCCAGGCACGCAGAGCGGCCTTAGCGACTCGGACGTGATTCCAAATGGAGTCTTGAACTGGCGTGGCAGTTGAGAGGTGCGGAATGTTTCAAGACGCAATGATGTAGGTATGCGTAAGATGCTTGAAGCGCCACCCCTCCTCTACCCTCCGTTTTCAGCAGGTCAGCACAGCGTACTTTTTCAAGAGCTCTCTTCCCTACACTACCTACCTACTTAACCGGGGCCTTGCCTGCCGCCACGCGATATACATCCCGTTAACATTAAAACGTTCCGTCGAGGGGGGAGTGCAGATGCCGGGAAGGTCGTGGACTGGTATGGACAAAAGACCACAACTGATAATTCAATTGCCTTTCCTCGCGCCAAGCAGGGAAAGCACAGCGACAGCCAACCGAGTGAAACGTCGTATTCCGACCCCGTTCGAGGGTTGCCGGATGGGGAGCGAGGGCGCCATGTTGAAATACCCATAGCACACCTCCCGTTCCCTCTGCATTCCCCGGCCTGTGATATCCTGCGGATAGCTCGGGAGATCTGCTTCGTGAGGATACAAAATACTACTACGGCCACGCCTGCTGTCATGATTACTATCCCGCCAATACGTGCCACCCACCCACCCACCCACCTCGTCTGCACGCTGTGCTTGATCCCTCTATTCATGCTCTCCTACTTCGCCCGAGCTCAGCTGCAGGGATCAACAAGCAAGCTGCGAGCACACATCCCCAGCCCGACTCGTCCCCTCGGCCATCTCACATCCCGCACGCGCTTCCCTTCCTAAGACGACCCTGATTGATCTCCCCCTCTCTCGCAAGAGACGACGACGACGACGCGGGGCTAGACACGGCGGGAGCCTAGATATGCCTACTTCGACTTTCTCTCAACCACAAAGCAAGGACAGCAACTGGGTATATCCGCGCCGTCCCCTAGCCTTCCGCCAGATCGACACCGGGGCCCTCGTTATCAGCAGCGAGACTAGCAGGATACCGGTTTCTCTCAAGGTCCTCTCTAGCCCCTCGTGCAAGCACGCGATACGCAGCTACAGAGAGTGGCGGCAGCCGCCTGTGTGCGTGTATGCGCGCATGTGCAGCTGAAGCCTGTTCGTCCGCATACCCGTTCCGAGCTAACGGGGAGGGTGAGATTCGTCGACAACACCCCCCCTCCCTCCAAGAGTCTTCTGCTACCTTACCTACCTCTTTTTCAGCTGACAGCCTCTAGTCGGACCCATCACACATCTCTGGCGCAAAAGCAAGCATCGACAGCGCGTCCCCAAACCGTATCCCACGTGTGCACACACACACAAGCCCCCCTCCCGCTCTATTCCCGCCCGCCCGAGTCGCATCATCAAATCTTCTTGTCTCCATGAAGTGACATCTCTCCGTACGTTAACTTCCCGCTACGTACACCTCGGCAGCCGGTCCACCTCCCCCCATTTCTGGGGGGCGCTCCTGTACCTATAGGTAGGTGACTTATAGCTCTCACATACGCATGCGTGCCAGGAAAAAGAAAAAAAAAGGGGTCTCTGCTCATACACCACCTAACTACATCCTGAAAAGGGGCGGTGGGGCGTAGCCCAGATATATAGCTTTACGCGCACAGCTATATAGCTCCGAGGAGGGGCGCAGCTTAGTCGGAACGTCGCGTGGCTAATAGTCCCCGCCCTGGCGTATTATCCATCGCCGCGACCTCGTCGCTCGCCGACTGGATATTTTTCTTTATAGAGCTGAAGGCGTGGAGGTCTTATTCGTAGCCGAATGTTTACTTACTAGCTGCCTTCTCCCTCCCGCGCCCTCGTTTGTCGCCTTAGGCCGACCCAGCGCCATTATATTTATGTATCTCGGCCGACTGACGCCGTATTCGGGACTAGTTGTCTGCTTAGAGCTCCTCGTTCACTGGTCAGGGGCGTGGTCCACGGCTAGCATAGTACCGGGGCCTCGTTTATGATATATATCCGAGCTAGAGGTTGTTTCGCTCCTAAAATCCTACGGGCCAATTCAGCCAATTTCTATCAGTTTAACACACCACTCATCAGTACCCGTGATAAGAGATCTCGTCTCAATTGAGCTAGCAGTGCAGAATATATGTACATGTGTAGGTAGCTTCAGCCGCGCTCGCGGGTAGAAGCTACTCTCACTTGGTCTGCGATTATTACTAAACCTCTAGTCATCGCCACGGTCACCGCCATCTCTATCCCTGATAACGGCCCGTCCTAACGAGTGAAACTGTGGTGAGAAGGAGGGGACGGAGGAGAGAGGCAAGGACGGGTATAGGGTGTGAGACAACTACCCCCGTGATTATACCTGAAGAGTTCCCAAGTTGCCAACTTTCTCACTCTCGGTCTCCGTCCTCGTTTTCTCCTTGTGTCATTACCTCATTACACTGTCCTAAGACCACGTGGGCCGGCCCCCGTTCCTCAGCCCCCTAGTCACCTTGTTGCGACTATGCTAAGACGCTGTAGAAAAATATACACGGTAAGTAAATCGATGTGACCGGTCGACCATCCTTGTGTGGCGCTGGGACATGTAGTGTCCAGACAGACGACGACTGCAATGAAACAACCTCGTGGCGAAGGCGAGAGCTGTCCGGGTTGTGAGAAGCTTTCATGGGAACTCGATGTGCTTGGTTCCTTTCCCTTCTCTGTTCATCCAAACGCAGACAGGTTGTTATATGTCTACGACGGCGCGACGGAGGTGCCTTGCTTAGTCACCGTCTTCTCGCCGCCTCCTCCAGGGGAGAGAAAATCCCGCCCACACCACCCATCCGTTCGTGCGGACAACGCCTGCCCGATGATGAATCGAAGTTTCTCGATCGATACGGAAGCAGGGGTAAGCGTCCGACAGCAACACGGCTCAACACGGAAGAGCAGTCTGCTCAAATCCCTTATTGGGCGCGCACTGTCGAAGGGTGTTTCCCCTCCTCGCGGGCCTCCGCCTGGTCGAGCTGAAGCGGCTGGTTCGCGGGCGCCCGAAGCTGGAAGTCCCTGAGTTGGAGCACTGAGGTCTAGGACGCGCTTGGTCGGAACGTGCATTCTATGCACCCTCTGCCTTCGGCTTGCCTCGCGTTGAGGTCAATTCGTCCTGCTTGGATCGCGTTAGCTATGGGGTCAACGCCCGACGTCTCGCCAATGGCATGCGTAAATCAGCGCCTACCTCGGCTTTTCTCTTCCCTAATATCGGCTCGGGCGTGCTCCTAACATATACAGGAGTGTTTCCGCCGTCTTTGGTTGCCTCCTTATGGCAGCTAACGTGGTATACCCTTTCCCCGACTTTGAAGGCGTCTTGCCACACGAACTCCTGGGCCTCGTCGAGCCACATCGTCGAAAACTTCTCCTGACATATCGGGCAGACAGCACTAGTTGACCTAGGGTCGTCGGGAACTGGGATGTACTGGAGTTTAGGAGCTTTTGAAGAAGAACCGCCAGACACCGCATCGGGATCTCCAGACGAGGGCACATAGTCTTTATCTAGGACTTCTCGAGATTTGATCCAATCCTGCTCATGTCAGCCACAGTTACTTTACTATGTAATATGTAAATGTGGACTAGTCCGGGTATGCTCACCACTTCGTCTACTAGCCAGCTACGGTGATGCCCTCTCTTCTCGGCGTCGGCGATACGTTGGTTCACACGGAAATGCCAGTCCATATGGGCTGTCTTCTTTTTCTTCCCTTTCTCGTCGGTCTGAAACCGACGCCCGCACTGGGTGCACTGAGGCCCCAACGATCCGAAAAGCTGGGGAAGAAGATGAGGGCGGAACCTATACAAACCCGTTAGCCAGGACTGAGCCGCCACCAGCGCTGCCGATACCACGTACTGTTTAAGGGACGAAGACTTTAGGGTGATGTCGCTCGCTAGCGTCTCGAGAGTGGGCAGCCGGATGGACTGGTTGGTCGTAGTCGCTCCGGGCATGGGGATAGGAAATGGAAGCGGAAGGGGTTTAAGAGTCGCAGTCGAATTACCAGTCGGTGTTGCAGCCGGAAGTAGGCCAGCCTGCCTCAGCATGTTCATGAGCGCCATAGGATCAGAAGGGGGCGGTTGCGAAGGTTGCGTGTTGACCGGTTTCTGAGGCTGTGCCCGCTGAGGAGGCGGAGAACGTATAGCAACAGTCGCTGGCGAGGGTACTTGCGGAGGCGCAGAACCGCGTGCCATCAAAGCAGCGAGAGCACCCGTGCCAAACAAGGAGTCTATAGTGACCTTGGGAGTCGCAGCTGGCGGGGGAGCTACTACTACGGGTGCAGGGACAGGTGTATGTATGGTGGTGGTATGTGTTTGGGCTGGCGGTGCCCTTATAGTCACGGCAAGATCAGCTATTTGATTCTCAATGAGCACTAACTGATGCTGAGGCAGGTTCTGGGTTTGGAGTATTGTTTGCAAATCCATAAGCGCCCTCAACCTCGTCTGCACACTCGGATCATGCGGTGTTAGTGTATACTGAGCCTTCGAGGCCGTGATTAGTTTCTGGATATCACCATTCAACGCGTCTATGCTGATTCCAGTCTGCGGCGCGACATAGCCTCCTGATCGAGATAGTTGAGGTGTCTGTGATGGGAGCGACGGGGGTGGTTGAAATGCCATAGACGCCTGCGAAGGTTGTGGCGTGGATCGAGAAGGCGGTAGCGGTTGTTGATGCTAGAGAGCATGATTAGTAAACGTCGCGAAGGTACGCGTAGGAGCTTAACAAGTCACGTACTTGGGACAGGGGATAGCCGGCTGGCGTCGAGTGAGCCGCGTTTGCGTAAGGCGTTCCGTTAGTAGTAGCTGGCATAGAAGCCTGGTGATAGCCATTGAGTTGCGCGTGGGCGCTCGAATGGGCGCCCGGAGGCGTTGGAGTCTCGCGGTAAGGCATCCCCTGATTCAACGGTCTGTTGCGGCCGAGGAGCTGTTGCTGGCTTCGCATGTGCTCCTGCTGCGCTTGTAGCGCATTCGTTCTCGCCTTGATGAGGGCATTCTCGATCGGACGCACAACTTCCGGAGGGAACACTGGTCTCGTGTCGATGGATCCCGGGATAGATTCCTTCCAGGTCTTGAGCATCTCATCCATCTTACGCCGAGTGACGGGGTCGACCGAGGCGTAAGCGTCCATAAATGTCTGGTAGAGCTTCCTACCGAAGAACAGCGTATAGGGCGTGCCTACATTCTTGACGATGGAGTCAAGGAGGTACAGGGCGGGCAATTTCTTGTGAGGGGCGACCTGAGAGTAAGAAAAGCCATTAGCCGAGTGACCGCGAAGCAGGATATCAAACGATAGATATAGGTTGACAGAAACAACGGCATCGACGTGTAACGACAGCGCAATAGAGGGGATCGAGTGCTCAACCCATAGTCGGCGCCAGTGAGTATTCAACCTACCCGCTTGATATGGTCCTGGAGAGCACCGGAGATGGCCAGTGCGTGTTCGGTGTTTTCCCTTGCAATCACAGTCAAGTTGGAGATTTCATAGCGAGCATTGGATTGCAGATCCTCGAGTGCATCGCGGAAGTCCTTAGCTACCGCCTCGGACTCGGAGTACGCTGACATGGTTGTTCAAGAGGGATGGATGTGAGCACAAGGAGAGGAAGAGAAGATTAGCGAGGAGGACCTCGCGACGTGTGGAGATTGAAGTAGTATGTAGGGTGACGCCGCTTCTCTTCTGGGGACCGGCACTTGGGGAGGGCTGAGAACAACAATGGCCCAAACCCGAAGTAGAGAGGTCAAGATGTCAGTCACGAAGGCTAGAGATGGGTAGAGAGGCCCCTCATGCAAGATTCTCAGCAGGAAAGGCACGAGAATTGGAATTCTGGATGACTCTTGTGTGACTCCACCGCAGTCTGCCAGAAAATAGCCACAACACACTGCCTGGTGTTAAGTACTAGAGAACTCGCAGAACTCGAAGGACTAGGGCGTGCTCAACGCATTCTTCTTCGCCAGGACCCCGCTACGCTGACGGGTCCCCCGATCCCTGACCCGCGCGTTACCTATTCTTTTTTTTTTCTTTCTCCAAGCACTGATGAATACGGTGGATGGCTGAAGAGGAAACTTGGTTATAGAGTATGGAGGGGCAGGCGGTATTGCTGATGGTTGACGTCGTCTTTTCTTCCAACCTACGAGGAGGAAGAGGAGGATTCGATCGCGAACGCGAAGCTGATTGCTCACGTGGATTGGACGTGAACAAAGAAGAAGAAAAAAGAGCCGAAGGGTGGCGCAGAGGAGATGTCGGGGCCGTATATAGACACAGCCAGGACAAAAGAAGCGGACTATCGGAGAAGGATATTCATCGTGGTCGTGTAGTCGAAATGCCGAGAGGCCTGGTGGAAAACGCTAAAGGATGGATGGAGATCGCGGATGCTGAAGGTCGGGTAGCAGGTGGAAAAGGTGAAGGACGGAGAGTGTTATGTAAGGTAGGTAGGTAGGAAGGTGAGGTAAGGGTTCAATAAGTGCCCTTTCAATGGATCACAAGAATGGAATGCAAAGGGTACCCAAGGTACCTACTCGTAGAGCCCTAGATATGCTACATTCCAGTAGTACATCTACCTGGGTAGGTACCTATTCCCTAGCCCATGTAACCTTCCTCAGGTAGGTATTTTACAAGTACAATTGAAACCTAGCGAAGGTGCATAAACTTGGAAGGTTTGCAGGCAGTATATACCTACCTAGGTACTGCAGGTACCAGCAATGTATAAAGGTACCTAACTTCTACTTAAGGTTTTCGTGATCTAGGTACTTGAGGTACATACCGAGGTACATAGGTATATAGGCAGGTACGTATGGTACCTAGGGGGGAGGAAGTACCTCTTGCTTAAACATTTTCTGTAACTACGACCGAGGATATAGCGTCACGTGCATATGAGGACATCAAGCTAAGCTCTCGAGTTACCTGTATTTCTACTAGGAGTACCTGATGTGCATGTACGTACACCTGCTTCACTAGTACCAAGTGTGACCCGATGCAGCTGGGTATATCTAGGTACATTTCGCGGCCCTCCCTGTACTTAAATTTCTTATGTAATCTCATTTCAACACGCGGCCTTATGTAATCCTCCTTATCAAACCACAAGACGTCAAGGGACGAAATCCGATAGGTACCTACCTATCTGCCACCACTCCAAATCACGGGCCTGCTTTCTACTATTGGAAAGTGTAGATATGTAGACATTTCGGCTCGAGTCACAGCTTGAGCAAGACGCTCCTTTCCCCTTTCGGCATGACCCGCGTCCGAGACACAAAGACACGCTTGGGCAGAGGATATCTAGAGGCCGACAAAGGACACCGCGAATAGCCCGGTTCACTGGCCCGATAACACACGGAGCACTTCTTTCTCTTCTCCATACGCCCTCAGCCTTGGGGGGGAGAAGCATAGAATAGAAATCTGATACCTATCATTCATTAGAATACCTAACCCCTGATTATTTTCACCGACGTCAGTATAGGACATCTTCCCGTGAAATGAACGCTAGTAGTTTGCAATCCCAATAAAGCAAATAATCATCCGCTGACCAGAGGGTATATCCGAAACTCCGTCCTGAACGCCTCCTCTTACTGTACACTATCCCTCTTCATGAATATGATGCTGCGTCAGGGGCTACTGTACGTACGCACGGAAGCGTGTGTGTAATCAGTGAACCGCCACCTTATGCTAACGATGCTTTATATCATCTCCCCCCAGCGCTTCAAGTCTTAACATGCGCGCCAGTTAGCGGCTGCTACCTATGCCTGGACGCTCGGGGAGTGAAGGCTATACTCACGGCTTGCTTCGCTGTATCGGCTCGATCGCGACTCGCGGTTGTAGGCTGGGTGCATCGCAGTCGGAGGGCGCTGGATGCCGGGGACGATCGGGCTCCCCCGATCCTCGGCGGCCGTGTGCTCGTCGCCGACAGCACCAGACTCGACGTCTTGGGGGATCGGGTGGCTAATCTTAGGCTTGGAGCCCAGCCCCGCCATGGTTGATATTCGTTTGATCATAGACGGCTTCTCCTTGTGAATTGAGTTGCTGCGGTAGCTATCATACTCATTGGCGTAATAGGCGTTCTCGTTGGTTGCGCCGCGGTCGCGGACCTCGCGAGCGCTGTAGTTATTCTTTCTGTTCCTGAAGATGATGGAGGCGACGACGTTCGTAACGCCGAAGGCGATAGCGATGATGCCAGAGCCCATGATCACCTGCCAGATCTGGAATGGAACGTGTTCGTTGGTGTAAGTGTCGTCGCTGAGTGCTCCGAGAAGGTGGCTTCCCATGAGGATCATGGATACTCCGAGCCAGGTGAAGCCGTGATTTGGGCCGAGGACCGGCCAAAATCCTCTAATCAGTGCCTGGCCTTTCTCGATCGGAAGCTCCGACCAGATCAGGAGACCGGCGACGGCCACGACGAAGGCGTGGGAGACGTCATCGAAGAACTGGAAGCCGTTGGGCATCTTGGCAAATGCCATCATGAGCCCCGATGTGAATATGACGGCGAAGAGCACCGCAATGTTGCAGGCGCGGATGACCTGTAGGATGATATAAGCGTGCCCTTGGAAGCCGGGTCCAGATTTGAAAGCCATGTTGCCAGTCTTGCCGTGTGTTGATTTCTTGACGGCGGGGCTGGCGGCGTTAGTATCTGAGAGAGACGACATGGCAGGAGTTTTGGCGGGAAACAAACTGTCGAAACTGCCAGCAGTTGGGTTGCTAAGTATATGCTCTTTTTGTGCCCAGGGTTTTCCGTGGTATGTACGGGGGGACCTGGCTAGCAGATCTATAGAATTCAGGCGAACAATAGAAAGAAAGAGAAGTAGAAGGATATTTACGAGAAGGGAAGGAAAGGAGACGAGATGCCGACTGGCTGTGATGAGTCTTATACAGATGGTGTGACAATGAATTAGAACGGGAACGTTGTCATTGTATCCGTCCCTCAGGGACAATAAAATCCTGGTGCGAAAAGGCCGGTGAACAAGGAGGTGATTCACAAAACAGCAGCTTGGTGTCTTTTTAATAAGTGGTGAAAAAGAGGTATCTTTTCCTCACAAGGGGTTGTCCTGCTGCATACCATAACGGGACAATGGCTCTACGGACAATAGCAAACAAGGCCTGATCCAAGATGTTGGGGCGCTCCCGATGTTTCGCATCGAGTTGGCCCTTTCGACCAATAGATTTCGACGGTCACGGCCATTTCAACCTCACCTAACGCCTGACGGGTCCTGTCGAAGGAGCAAGACATCGTCAAGACCACAGGCCAGCGGGTGCGCGTCAGTCACGCATATGAGCCGGCTAAATTTCGATCCCCTCGCATCTCACCAGGGTTCACCAACATACACGCAGAGCACGACAAGGATCGATCTAGCACTGCGGCACCTACTGTGTGCGCTTCTGGCCACGGAGGCGTCGGGGGAGGGACGGGAAACCCCCTATGTCCCCTGCCTACTGCGGCTGCTAAAGCCTGCACGTCGTGGGTTGTAAGTCGACGCGAATGGCGGCTCTCCAAGATTCACGCACCCTGACGGCAAGAAACCGAGAGACTGTCCAGGCACCACGGCGGGACATCATCTCGTCCAATGGTTGCGGAGGGTAGCATCATGCTAGGTTAAGGTATCGCGAGAATTGGGCTTCGGCCGAGGTTCCATTGGCTAACAATCAACTGGCTGCGTTTCAAGTCGCCGTCAGGACTTTGGCCGCGGCCCTGCCCACCACCTTGTGGCTGTCGATTCCTATTAGTCGATGATCGTTTTCTATCAAGAAGAGGGAACAATAATACAATCCCAGGAAGAGAAGGCCCCAAAAAGCTCTTCTCGATAGGCTGCCCGTCATCAAACCCTTGAATAGCATTATTCGCTTATACTTCTTTGTACCTAGCTTTCGTGGTGGGGTTCCCCGCTGCCCTTTCTCCAGGACCAAGTGAGTGTTATCTAGGAACACCAGGGGCCTAAGATAGGTACCTATGTATTTATGAGTAGGCACCCGTATTGCTTCCCGTCGCTGGGCCAAGTGTCATGATGAGAAATACCTACCTAGGTACCTACAGAACCTTTGATTTTTATTCATCAGGTATATGACTATGCTTCCTTTTTACCCGTACCTGCTATCCTCCAGTGCGAGAATATTGACAGCACCGTATGTACGTATCTCGCAAATAAGGCTTAGCGTCTGGAGAATGATCTGGAAGACGGTTTCGATAGGCGCCCAACTGAGGAATATGATTGGCCCTTGTTGCACCCTGCCAGAAAACTTAGCGCGCCGGACGCACTAAACCCACGGCCGAAGCGAAAGGAACGCGTGCGGAACCACCTGGGGTACTGTGTAGACAGCTGGCATAATAGGTGACACTTGCGAGTTGCTTGTACGTCGGAGCGGCTGCCAGGTGTCTAAGCTAGGCGGGGTACCTCTAACACTCCATCGATACGCCCGGTACTTTAGGTTAGGGGGCGGGTTAGGTACCCTAAGGCCCCTAAGATAGGTATAGTGATACAGTAAGAAAGCGTGAGCCTCCCTCCTCAAACCCCGATGATACGGTGAGTAGGTACCTAAGTATGCGCCCGACAGATTCCGAAAAACCACCCTCTCCATGCTTAAAAATACGTCTTTGTACCCTGCGCTGCCTTACAGCGAGAGTGATGCCGCACCCAGCTCATATCATGTACCGTATATTATGTACCTACCACGGCCCAACTAATATTGTAAGCGCACACATTTCACCCACTGGGAACAGTATCTATTAATAAACCCGTCTACGTTTTAAGAATATCACACCGTTATTCTAAGCAGCAATCAGACCTGCATCTCTGTATCGGTTTGCCGCCTATTTTAAGCAACTGGCGGCTAGCTACATAAACCACCGACTTACCCTTCTATCCCATCTTCCTGGCCCATCGTCATCCGCCTCGACCTCATCTTCGAGTTTTGGTAGCCGCCGGTCCTAGTCGATCGCTCGCTCGCCTACTCTATCTATATCTCGCTTTTTTTTTATATATAATTCTCGGCTATACCACTTCTGGTTCTACGCGCTAGCCATGGCCCGCGGCAACCAGCGTGACAAGGCGCGTGAGAAGAATCTCAAGGCCCAGGCTTCTCAGGTGAGCCTCTCTCCCCTCCCCGGCCGGCTTGCGCCTACCCTTGCCTCGTCTCCCTCGGAATCGCATGATATTTAGCTACCCTTCGGTCGGTCGACGGATGGACGTCCCTAGCTGGTCCTGTCCTATGCGCCCAAAGTCGCGGTGGATATCCTTCTTGAGCGTAGGTAATATCGCCGTATAAGCTGACCGACCGATCTCGTGGTGGCTTATACCGCGGCCGAGGGGGTCGTAGGCGTCGAGGGCATTCCACACCGATTAGGGAGACCTACCTCATCATCGTAGGACGCAACTAACTGACGCGCTCTCCGCGCTCACAGAAGCACAAGAACACCAAGACCGGCGCGGAGATGCAGCGCGACAAGGAGGCCGCCGCCGAGATGATGCGCAAGAAGCAGGCTGCTGGTAGGAGACACCCCTCCCTTCTTCTTCCCTTCCCACCCCCCGCCCCCCCCCAATAAATAGCACAACCAATCCACCGTGCGTTCTGTGCGTACCTTTGGATATGGCAGGTAGCTGACTGGCATCTTATCGTGCTAGCCGACGCGAAGAAGGCCGCCGAAGCGAAGAATTAGGCATCGTGCTCGATCTGGTGGCACATAGATGGGGGGTCGGGCCGGTATGCCTTTGTTTAGACGGTGGGAGGGAGGTTATTAGAGTGATATCATGGTGTGGGAAGAGGCGTAGAGACGTATTTTCCTTGAGGCGGGACGGGTTCCTCTAGGCGCTCGACGGCGTCTGGGCTTTTTTTACTTTGAATTTCGCCCCTCGACGAATAATACAAATATAGCATAACCCATAATCCGCGATCATCCGTATAATTACTACGGCTTCCCTATTTGTGGCCATAGACCCGCGACAACCCTCCCTCCAACTATACTTCTCGACGAGGGAAAAGGCGCAGGTATAACCAGCCTGTATAACGTTGATAACTCGAAATGCTGCAGAGCACAAAGACAAGTCGCTAAGAAAACCAGTCAAGGTGAATAGTGTCAGGAACACGATAGGGTATTTCTCATTAGTGAAAATGTAATATTTACTTCATCCAATGACCTATTAAGTGCACCTACAGTAATACGATCCAGTCATATGTTTATACTTTATAAAAAAAAACAAGAATAAGCCTCCCGAATGCCAGGCTATCAACAAACCCGAGCAGGAAAAAAGCACCTGCTTCGGGTGTAAAAGTCAAGTCATTCAGGTCTTTTGTACCTCTCCAGGGGGTGGGAAGAGAGGGGGGGCCGCGTGGAAACGAGACGAGATATCCTCCAAGGACGGAGATAGATATCTTCGGATCCCGCTCGCGCACGCGCACGCCTCTTTCCTGGGTATCACACAGTCATGATCCCTTAAAAACCGGACGCCGCTTTCCCGCCAACCCTGTCTTTCGTTCGTCCCTTTAATGCCTCTCTTTTTCGTGTGGTAATACAGCCGCTCCCAGTCCGCCTATGCGATCTCTTCTCTCGCTCTAGACGGTTTCCATCATGTTGGCAGGCAGGGCACCTGTGAGGGGGAAGGATCAGCACGTCTCGGTCTCGTCGTATGTGTGTGTATAGAAAGAGGCAAAAACTAACCGGCCATGCCACCGAAGGAGCCGACGCCCTGAGCGGCGACGGGGAAGCTGCCGGGGCTGCAGGAGACGGCACACACGCACGCGCCGTTCTCGATCACGCCTTGGCCCACGTTGATGCCGTCGGGCAGAGTCACAGCGCCGGTGGCAGTCGCCGCGGGAGCAGCCGTCACCGCCGACGAGGTCGCGTTGCCCGTGATCGCGCTGCCGTCGCCGTTGCCATTCTGCTGGATCGCCTTAGCCTGGAACAGGGCTTGCGACTTCTCCGCCGTCGGGTTGATCGAGAAGGTCATGCCGCGGCCGCAGTGGGGGCCCTGCTTGCAGAAGAACCCTGCGGTGCCCGGTTAGCTACAGAAGATCGCGGATGATTTCTCTCTCTGCGACGAGGTACTTACATAGGGGCTCGGTTGTCATGACTTGCATAGCAACCTGGGGCGCGGGGACGATGGTGTTGTTGACATTGGGCTGGAAGCCGGAGTCCATACCACCCTCCATGGGCGTGCAGGGCTCGGCGAAGGTGGACTGGGTTGCGGTGTGGTTCTGGCTCAGGAACTCGAAGACGACCATGTCGCCAACGTTCGCCTTGACCTGATCGGGCACGAAGATGAGGCCGCCGGGGCCGCCGACCTGCACCTTGTGGGTGGCGATAGCGCCGGTGGCGACGGTCGTCGTCGCGCCGCCAACTAGCGTATGGGTGCCGATCGTGGTCGCCTCGGCGCCCGCGGTGACGGTCTGCGTCACGGTAACCTGCTTGTGCAGCGTTGTCGTCTCCGCGTTCGCACCCGGGTTCGCCCAGATTACGATCACCTGGGTGGTGCCGCCGAGCGAGATGCCATTCGCCAGGTTGAGGGTGCCGCCGATGTGGACTGAGCTCTCGGCCAGCTCCTTGTGGCTCGTCCGCTTCTCTTGCGGGTACACGTTTTGCGCGGCCTTTGCGATCGCCAGAGGCGCGACGGCGAGGGATAGAACTGCTGAGTACTTCATGGTGACGATCTTGTGTCTTTCTTTCGTATACCAGGGATTACTGCTTGACGGAATTCCTTTCCTTTCTTCGAGGGCGCGAATATGGGGGAGAGTCGTATATATAGAGAGAACCCGGATTCCTGAATGACCCTGGTGAAAAACCGTGGCAATGGGAAAAGGCTTGGAAAGGCGAGGGCCTGCTCGTGGTTGATTAAGTGAATGGACAAGTCGAAGCACCGAGATTGAGAAGAAAGGGAAAAGAACGTATTGCACACACAAGGCGAAGTCGTCTGAAGAAGTGAGTGAGAAGGAAACAGCCCACTTCCCAGCCTGAAAGGGGGGAAACCTCGTCGCTTAAATCAAGCATAAGGATCTATTGCGAAGTCGGGTGTCGGCCCCAACGAACCCTGAAGAGTTTTTTTTCCTTCCCTATTCTCTTCCTCCCTGACTAGGAGTCATTCTCGAAACAGGACTAGGCGAGCTTCCGTGCTGGGCGCGGCTAGGGATGGGGGGATGCCTGCTGCAGCCCAGGGTGTCCGATGATGGCTGGGGCCGGAAGGATGGTACTGAATTGCGATTCTTGATAGTGCCGGGTGCTCCTCCCTATGGACATTGCGCCGGCGCGTGGGTAGGACGGCTTGGGCGGTTCCAAGATTGGGACGGGCTTGGGGTAGGAGGCAAGATGTGACAGAACTGTCTCGGATGGTGTTTTGGCCCTCTGCTTAAACAGCTATAAGACAAGGGTCCTCGACAGGGGGGCGATTGGGGTCATAGCTCAAAACCCCTACCCAGGACACCAGCTCCCCTTACTGTATTGTACCTGCGTATGTATGGATGTACGGCTGAGTGTGGTTGTCGTCGTGGTAGGCATCAAGGCGCGCACCGGATTACTATTGCCGTGGGATCTCGAAGAGCACACCGACTTGCTGTTGCGGCGCATGCTAATCCCATACCTGCCTCCACAGGCATACGTGCCCAGACATGTGTGCTTACATAGGTAGACATGTGCGTACCTGCATGGGGATGTGGCTTGTGAGAATAGCTTCCTGTGGGATATAATTAGTCGTCATAGGATTTATGGCTGGAGTACACAGCTCTGGGCGAGCCAACAATACATACATAGATAGCTAGGTACCTAAGCGAATAGGTCAGCGCACAACATGGCGTATGAGGGTAGCAACCGATGGAGCCTCTCATCTGAATTTAGCTAGGGCTCATCCGTTCTCCATGTGTTCGCACATCTTGTATATACGTAGGTAGGGTATTCAACCCCCCGTCCCATGGAGACCAGGGGAATAACTATAAGTCTAAGCTTAAGATGTAAGGTTCTCTCTGGCCTTCACGTTACCACGGTCCCGGTGCTTGCATAATTAATATATCTATATGCATACCTATGAGTAGTATCTGCGTATATATGCCTACGTCTATATAACCTTCCCATGAGAGTGCACATACATTAGGTATACCATTCTTTTAGTACCTAGATGCAATGGATGAAGTATGCATACACATGCCAAAGGCAGATACGTTGATCTGTTGCTTGATACTTGTTGGGGGCCACCCCAAGGGGACCACGTTTTATTAACATTATGCCGGTTCCGGGACCGCCCTCTTCTCCCCTCCTTTTAATATCTGAGGATTGAGCTCGCTCCCTCTGCTCCGGATGCCTGTCGCTTGGCAGGAAACATGCATATCTGCGAGGATAACCTTATACCGTTGCGAATGTCCTATCCTTGCAAATCCTGGCTCTGGGAAGATAGGAAGCGCTGTCATCTACGCGCGCCTTGATCAGCCCGTCCTCCCGGCTGCGTGGAGTTTCTAAGCTAAACAGCATGCTTGACACATTCGGTAGGGAACGGTCGGTCTTATCTCCTCTGTCCACCCATCCATCCATCCATCCCATACATACACATACTGTAGAGTACGCTTGCCCCGAGTCTCACCTGGGAAAGGGGAGAGACCCTGCTCCAGGAAGCAACCAGTAGGTCTAGATGCGCATAGGTACATGGCGCAGACCCTTGCTCTTGACAGGCTAGCAGGTAGGCTGGCAAATGACAATCCCTAGGTTCTTGGGTTGCAAAGGGTCCCCTGCTACGCCCATCTCACTAACACCCCTCCACACCATGTGCTACTTCTCGACCGGTCTCATCATCCCTAGGTTCTCAGTTCATTTCCGCTCCCTCTAGCTCTTGTCTTGTCACCGTTTCTAGTTACCACTGCGAAGCCGGGCGGCCTCTTAGCGTAAGAGTACCACACTGGCCGCGATTTCTTCATGGCACCGGGTAAACTGCCTGATAGGTCGCTAGAAAATCTCATACAATGGCCTGGTGCTCTGTTGGGGGGGTTCTTCTTCGGGTGTGTATTCGCCTGGTAATCCTTCAAACGGATCCATTACATGCAGAGTCAATGCCGACTCGAGCCCAACCTTTGAAAAGGCATCGGAGATATTGATAGGAATGCCGCGTCGTGATTTGTCAACTATCGTCCTTCCTTCTGAGAGGATAGAAATAGGTTTCCTATGGCTGTGCCGCTGCGTATGTAGGAGTGATCCTCGATGGATCCGTGGAGGAATTAGACGGCGACTATGGGAATGTGCTAGTGGTCTTCTTGACTTGTTTCCTTAGTTTGTTTCTTCGCCTTACCCCTCCCCCCACCCGATACCGATTTTCGCGATTTGTCGTATTCCGCTGACGTTCTTCACCTCTCGAAGCCGATGATGCTCAGCGCATACGCGGGAGAAAGGAGAGAGCGGAGGTGATGTTGTCATGAGCATAGGGGCTTGTAACGCTACGGGTTACAGATCCCTGTTTTACAGGCCGATCACATTTGAGATTCCGCAGTGGTTCCTGCCAGATTAGAGATGCGCTTGCGAGATCTTTAGTGTGCCGCTATCTATAATCCTGTCCAGATTCTCACTGCTCGCTAGAGACCCGCTGTCCTTCGTAGAGGCCGGTGTAGTAGCCGGCGTAGTACCAAGACATCAGGAGTCTCTTGAGATTCTCGTCGCGCACTATAATTTGGGTCACAGGTTAGAAAACTTAGAAGCTTCTCTTTCCATTACCCGTGCCTCGGGGCATTTCGTTCCCCCCCTTCCCCCCCTCCCTCGCTATACCCCGGGAGTCCGGGGGTCGGTTTGAAGCTTACCTGAACCGAGTAGGCCTTCGGGCCCGGGACCTCCACCAGGCGGATGGCTGTGCTGGGAAGTTGACGTTCCGTCCTCTTGTCTGCCATTCTGCGTTTCATTAGAATCTTGGGAGATCTGTGCCAAGCTTTCTGATCAACCGGGATCGCCCTCCAGGCTCCTCTAGGGTCGATTTTCGACGGAGAATTCATGTTCATGACTTACATCGACTTCCTCTTTCATCTCGGGATCTGGGTTGGGGGCACGATTGCTCGAGGGCTCGTCGGCCTCTTCGGTCGAGTTCTTGGCGTCCGAAGCCGTTCTTGATGATCTTCGCGCGAGTTCATCAGACATACGCACATGCAGACACCACGTCGTCGATCAGGGAGGTGGGACTGTGGAAGCATGGCCGACTTACTGGTTCAGCAATTCCTCGACGTTTCCCCCCTTCCTGTGGATAGAATGGTATTTCTGGGAAACAATTAGCAAGCGTTGATTGATTAGGTTATTCCGGATCGGATGAAGTTTGAGCCAGACCCTGTATTCTTCCAGCGCGTCATTCCACGAGTTGATGAGGGTTGAATCGTCCCAAATCTCACTGTGAGACAACTTTTCCGGGACGGAATTCATCCTGTCAACCGGGAATCGGAAGTAAAGCAGCCTTGTGTCCCGTGAAGCCGGTAGTGGCGGAGGGAGCCGGGCAAGTAGAAAAATTCACAAGTGGGCGTGATCAATTTGCCGTGGAGCTGGCTGATTCCTCTGAAGATTTCGTGCCTGACGAGAACCTCAACAGGTGCTGTAGCCTGATGTACGACAGTACGTCACATACGACTGAGGGTACCTACCTGTGCTTAATCTGTGTGCGTTCTGGGTAGGTATTTCCGCAAAATACCTAGGTACCTGCCTCTCAAAATACGTTGCCCATTGGGGACGTTCCTGGGGCGCTGGTGGGATAGAAACCGGCTTTTGGCGCGATAGAATTTATGTCCTCGCGAAGAGTGGAATGGATAGGTGTGTTGAGGCTTCGTATGACAGATACCAGATACCCGTATTGGGTGAATATCAATAAACATTAGGTATTTTGGAGGTTGGACCTGGCTGTAGGTACAACCGGTGTCCGCATGTACCCAAGGTTAGGGGCCGAAAGCGTCTTCAAGCGTGTGCGTTTAGTGGCTAGTCTCATATAGCAGGTGGGGGGTTTCCTCTTCACCGCCAACATTTTGACGGCAGAATTGCAGGTGCTTCCTGGAAGCTCGAAAACCCCGTGAAAAAATTCGCTGAGCTGTATCACCGTCCACCTTCATGCCACCAAATAACCAACAGCACATCTCCGAACCGGGCTTTTCTCTCCCAATATGCCGCCGGAGCTCAGGAAGCGAAAATCAAAGGGTACGCATATTTAGACCTATCCTCAATTCCCGCTGATCTGACAGAACATTTCAGAAGCCGTCATATCGGCTCCGAAGTCTGTGCCCAGAGTCAAGGCCGTGACTCCGGCTACTAAACGGAAAGGTCAGTGCAAAACACGATATGCGGTGGGGCTACCAAGCGCTCTCGGCTTACCAACACCCATTCAGCACTTGATGACGCGAGCCCAGTGCTGGCGAAGAAGCCGAAGCCAATAAAAGACGGTAGTCGGTCGCAGAAGGTCAAAATCTCAAAGGAACAACCCAAAGAGACGAAGCCCTCGAAGAAAGCACAGCGCGCAGAAGAAGAGGTTGAAGAGAAAGGGGGCGACGAACCCAATGGCGCAGACGACTCCGCTCCGCCCTCAGACGACGAGCAAGATAATGCCCGCGCTCTGGCGAAAGTAGTCGACAGCGACGGCGAAGAGGATGATATAGCCGATACCGAGATCGCATTTAAAAAGGGCCAGGACGTTGGTAAAATACCAGAAGTATCCGAGAAGCCTACAACGTCCGCCCAATCCCCTGATGGCGGAAGCGGAGTCGTGTATGTCGGCCACCTTCCGCGTAAGTTAGCCGGCTAAATAAGTCATGTCCCTATTTCGTAAACTTAGGCACTGACAAAAGAGGCTACAGATGGTTTCTACGAGCATGAAATGCGTTCCTATTTTTCTCAATTCGGCAAGGTAACGAGACTAAGGATGTCGAGGAACAAGAAGACGGGGGCGAGCAAGCATTTCGCGTTTATCAAGTTTGCCGAGGCACCAGTAGCGAAGGTCGTCGCCGACACGATGGATAACTATCTCTTATTCGGTCGAGTCCTCAAAGTCAAGGTCGTCCCCAAGTCCCAGATCCACGAGGACCTTTGGAAGGGCTCGAACAGACGCTTCAAGGCGGTGCCTTGGAACAAGATGGCCGGCAACCAGCTAAAGAAGCCGATATCAGAATCGGGGTGGGCGCAGAAGATTGCGAGGGAACAGAAGAAGCGTGACAAGAGAGCGAAGAAACTGTTGGAAATCGGCTACGAATTCGAAGGTCCCAATATCAAATCTATCGACGAGGTGGAACGGGATCCCGCAGTGCTCGAAGACGGAGATCGCGAGACGCCGAAAGCTATCGAGGCGGCACCCGAGATAGCGCCCGAGAAGGCTGAGGCTGATACGCAGCTGGCCGAGAAGGTAGCTCAAGATGACAACAGCACACTAGGCGGCGACTTGTCTGTTGAGAAGCCAGCCGAGAAAGGCACGGTGACGGCTAGCAGGAAGGCAAAAAAGTCTAAGACGAAGAAAACTAGGTCGTAATAGGTTCACCGAGGGTGTATATTCTTTGAGTAGTCGGTCGATAATTACTGCCCAGTATCTTCGCCTTCCATGTGAGGAGCTTACTAGTTACATATGCGCATCTTATATTGTCTCTCGAGACTTCGCGTTCTATATATTGGCGCGCAAGTCACGCGAACCTGTATCCTTACACGGAAATATGTAGACGTCTACACGTTCCCTACGATATTGATTTGTACGGCCTACGTACAGGAGAATGCGGCCGAGGTAAGAAGCTTTTGATTTATATCTGCACATAGCGAACCCGCCGCACCCACGGACCCGAAGGTCGGGCAAAGAGGCGGGATTATAAAGGGCAAGTGTTCGTTCTGCTTCGGCCAGGCGTATGGACCAGCCATGCCTTGACGGTAGTTGGGGCCAAGGGGGCGGCGGGTCCGATTTCCTAAGAATCCCGGCGAAGGCATGAGATATGTATGATGTGTATCAGGAGCAAGAAAGGAGAAGAGGCAGAAAATTTCAGCTTTGTACTAGCCATTTCCTCGGGTGCCAGATTAGCTAATCCCGTCCTACTGGCATAGCCGCTATCGATTGGCCAGCAAGATCTTGTAACTAAGGTGGACATCTCTACAATCTGGACTTTTCTCCACTGCGCAAGGCTTTCTTAGATGAGGTTAAGATAAATGTACCTAGCTAGCAAAACGCCGAACCTGCCTGGCTCCCCCCGTTTCAAATGAATATTCCATATCATTTGGAAATGTTGCATCTAGGTTCGCGGTTGTCTCTGTGTAGGTAGGTTAGGTACTCACTGCTCCAGCATTAGGTCACGGCCCACTCGTGTAGAACCAGAACGAGAAATACAATACCTAGGTAGGTATGTGGACTCGAGGTTCCTGTAACAGTAAGTAACCCGGGTACCTCGCGACTGATGCAGAATTTCCATTACCTACTAAATAGATGTGTCCACATGAGACTAATAGTACGGATATGGATAAGGCGTATGTAGGTATAGACTCGGCTAGGAGGTAGTTGGTGGTCGATATACCTGCGTGTAAGAGGTATGTATGTATGTATGCCGCACTTATAGCAGGTATACCAAGCGGACAGGCCAAACTTCGTATCGATTTAGCTGGGATGGATACGAGGACAGGCCAGCCGATTTCTATTGATCACACCGGCTTAGCGTTGCATGCCGAAGGTCTAGACTGGCTGGGAAGAGAGAGTCCGGGTTGTGTACCATGTAATCAAGTTTTGCATGTTTCGTTTCATGATCCGTGGTCCGGGGTTGATGGGATTTGTATGCGCTGCCGTTTCCGAACAAAACATCTACCTACACAGGTGTCTATGAGTTGGATGATGTTCGAGAGTGCGTGTCTTATGAGACTGTTGTTAAGGGTGTCTACGCCGGGATTCAGAGGGGCCAGCACAAGGTGTGTATAAGTACTCGCGCTCTTCTTGAGCCCCCTTTTCATATCAGGTACTTTTGATCTGCTGCGCGTACACGTGGGTAATAAGCTAGAGGCTGGTCGTATGTTACCTTGCCTGTTACTCGCCTTAGCGTGTGCTTCGGGTTGGAAAGGTAGCAGTAGCGCTGCCACCATCGGTTACCAATGGTGCAGTACTCATAGGTAGGTAGAGCACCTGGTAGGAGGGATGGGAAAGAATCGGCCGTACAGAATTACCTATGTATTTACACAAGGCACCTAGCCTAACCTGCTATATAATAGAGGGTTCGAGTACCTACAATATAATGATGCTACATAGGTACACATAGATAGGTACCTAGGTATCTCAGGAAGTAGAAGGTACCTAGGTATGTTATGACAGGCTTGATTAAGAGGTAGACCTGTTGTGTGCCCTATCACCCTGCGTTTTAATTCCCAATTGCCAGCGTTATAGGCGCCGCGTTGGGGGGTTTGGTGCCTCCCTACAGTGTGTGCAGGTACTTGCCGTGGGGGGGGAGGCACCTATCTTGTCGCCACACCTCGAATTAGCGGCCATCTGATTCGTTGTCGGGATACTTAAGTAGGTATCTAGGTACCTACCTACCTTCCTCCTCTTAGGCACCGAAGGCACTCAAAGTAATACAGCACAGGTACCGGGGTACAGCAGGTGCGGCGAGGGAGACAGAGCCTGGAAGGGCCCCAGTTGATAACGTGTGTACCTACCTACCTCTTGATAAATCGCAAAGCAGCTTACGTGTGGCTTTGGAGAGAACCAGCGCAGCATGTTCCAACCAGCCCTCGCCATCACCTGCGATCCCATGCCATTGAGCTAGACCGTGAAGCCATACGCATGACTGCACAATGACTCCCAGCGAGCCTTCTCAGCTGGCTACTCCAGGTTTGTTGCGAGCCTCTCCCGCCACCATCCATCCCCTCCACTGAATGCCGAGCCCGTGCCTAACCACTGATTCTCAGCTGCGAAGAAGAAGAACAACAGGAAGAAGAAGAGCAACGCAAAGACAAACCAGGCCCCAGACACGAATCAGAACCGTGGCCACCCTGCCGAAGACGACGGGGACGAGTCCGACGACCCAGATGCTGCGGTGACACAGGTAACCCGAACCCCCATCTTCAGGGCGAACTCGGCCGCCAAGTTTGCGACACGATTGGATGCTAATAGGTGGTGTAGGATCGGCAACCGGATTCTCCGAACGGCCATGCCGTATCGCCGAAGACCAACGGGCACCCTCCTCAAGAGCCGGATGCCGACCACGCGACCGACTCTACAGACGCGAGCGCCCGGCTAGAAGCCATATCCCAAGAGCGCGAGGCCTTGAGGGCCGAGGTCGGCCAGTTGCGGAAGCAACTCGAAAGCCTTCAGGAAGCCCACGCCAAGGAGACGACGCAGCTCAGATCCGACCTAGAGGAGACCGAGTCAGCCAAGGACCAAGTTGAGGAGCAGTACCAAAACCTGCTGGATAGGGTCGAAAAGATCAAGGAGAGCGTCAGTAACCGGTTGACGAGAGGCAAAGAAGAGCTAGAGGAAGCGAATCAGCGCATCGAAGAACTAGAGAACCAGAACGAGGAGCTTGAGAAAGGCGCACAAAGCCACCAAGATGAGATCGAGAAACTCAAGGCGGAGTTGCAGGACGCCACAAGGGAACTATCTAGTCTTCGAAGTCGGAATAACCTATCGCAGCACAATTCCCTGAAAGAAAAGGAGGATTTAACGCGCCAGATTCAGCAACTCAGAGATGAGGCAGAAGCTGCAAAAGACGACATGGGCCGCTGGGAGGTCTTGGCAAGGTACGAAAGATCGACCAGGGAGAGCCTGGCTGACAAGGCGACGGGGCTCGAGGAGCAACTCACGAGTCTAAGAGAGAGCTATGATCAAATTGCCGCCGAACGAGACAGCCAATCGCAAGCCATAGACAACCTCCAGAGGGCCCTCCAGGAGATCCAGGAGGCCCGTAAGAAGGAGTTGCGTGAGGTCGTAGAGACGTCCGAGAAACAACTCCAAGCACTAGAGGCCCGCGTTCAAGACGCCGACTCGAGGGCTACCGAAGCGGAAAAAGTCAAGCAATTGCTAGAGAAGGAGTTTGAACGGACAGCGCCTTTTGAGAAGGAGGTCAAGGAGAAGAACCTGCTCATCGGCAAGCTAAGGCACGAAGCTATAGTGCTCAACGACCATCTAACTAAAGCTCTCCGCTATCTCAAGAAGACTAAGCCCGAGGATAACATCGACAGGTATGTTGTACAGAATCTCTCTACCCTACTCTCACAAACCGTAACGACTAATTTTCCTGTAGGCAAATTGTCACTAATCACTTCCTCCAATTTCTCGCTCTGGACCGATCCGACCCCAAGAAGTTCCAGATACTCCAGATCATCGCCGGCCTCTTAAATTGGACGGACGAGCAAAGGGAGCAGGCCGGACTAGCCCGGCCGGGGACTTCAAACAATTCTCTCCGCCTGCCGAGTTCCCCGTTTCACAGGACGCCTAGTACGCCGTCCTTGGCCACCGAGTTCTTCACGGACCCCACCCCGACCTCATCCAACAAGGAGTCCCTCGCCGACCTATGGGCCGGCTTCCTGGAACGGAGCGTCGAGGAGGCGTCTCAGGCAGGATCAAGGAAAGGTAGCATGTCGAGCGCGCCCGGCGCCACGAGACCAGATACCCGAGGTATTTGAATCGACTAGGCGGCAAAAGTCCTCCCAGTCTTGCATGTCGACCGTGTCTCTGCACCTTGATGCACCTTATGTACGCACGGCTAGCCACGGCCATGAGAAAACATATAAAGCATTCATCATCATTTCATGGCGTTTTATCGGTTCACAGCGGGAATTTTCCAGGAGGGGATAGGGACAACACTGTAACTTAGGATGTGCGGCAACTACCAGACGGGAAGTCTCTACAAAATGAGGAGAGAGGAGACAGCAGTACCTCGACCTAGCTGTATTCCACGTGTAGTCCTCGTGTTTGAATCTCGTCGAGATCGGTTGCGTATCTTCATGTACTCTACCGCTTGCATCCCCTTCTCCCTTTCCTTCTCTCCCCCTCTACAAGACGACGTAGTAAGTAGTGTCTAGTTAGAGCAACAGTGCCCGTCTATCGGGCCCAGCCGGCAGCATCGTAGTCCCAGAAGAGACACGATCGCTACGACAGATTCGATCGACACCGAAATCATGGATCTTGTAACATTCACGCTTTCACTGCCGTGCTCCCCAGTTCCTCGGGCCAGCTCTTAAACCGCCCCGCATACATGCGTGTGCACGTAATCAGTTCCAAATAGTATAGTACCCCTTAAATTCATGTCCCCTTTCTACTACGGTGCCGTCATGGCCATTGTACAGGTATATATTACAGTAGGAACCCGGCCCTTCCATGCACGCACTTCCTCTCCCACCGCCATCAGCCAACCACCGTCTCCGGCACCGCCCCGGACTCTTCGGCCGTCGTGCTCGCGGCAGCAGCCGCGGCGACCTCGCTCTCGAGGCGCGGCAGGACGCCGGCGACGTAGGCGTCGGCGTCGCGGGTGACGCGCTGGATGTCGACGCGGTTGCGGAGCGCGTCGTTGACGCCCTCGACGACGTCGCGATCCTCCATGACCTCGCGCATGAGGCGGACCTCGTGGGCCCAGTAGGCGGCGGCGCGCTGGCGCAGGGCCTCGTCGCGGGCCGACGCGTTGCGCACGACGCCGACGGCAGCGAGCCGCCCGCGCGCCGCCTGCAGCCGCCGCGCCGCGCGGGCGGCCGCCTTCGCCGTCGCCACCGCCCCCGACCCCCGCGGCAGCAGCAGCGCCGCCGGGAGCCGCCGCGTGCCCGACAGCCAGACCAGCGCCGCCAGCGCCGCGTCGAACCCGGCCAGCGAGACCAGGCGCAGCGTCCGCTGCCGCCAGAAGAATGGCGCGAGGTCCGCGAGCCGCGTTGCCCGCGCGTTCGCCTGGTGGTTGTACGTCCCCGCGAGGTACAGGTCGAGGGCGGCGAGTAGGGCAGCTACGAGGGCGGCGCGGCCGCGCCAGACGGAGGCACCGCTCCCGTCATCATCGTCGTCGTCGTCGTCGTCAGTGTCACCCGCGGCCTTACCCTCTCCAGCGGTGGGTCCAGGGCCGCTGTCAACGGGTTTGAACGAGGGAGGGGAGGGGGAGGAGGAGGAGGAGGAGAAGAGAGAGAAGAAGGAGGCCGAGGTGGCGAGGGAGACGAGGACGAGGTTGACGAGGTGGGGGGCGAGCAGGGCGGGGACAGCGTAGTAGAAGTAGGCGCGGGGGTCGTCGGGGCCGCAGAAGGGGCAGCGGGCGAGGGCGTCGGGGCCGAAGCGGAGGTAGAGCAGGCGGGACTCAAGGCTGACGAAGCGGGCGCGCAGGGCCTCGTCGTCGGGGGCGAGGCCGGGGGCGCCGGCGTCGCGGCGCAGGGCCGCAAGCCGGTTGAAGAGCACGTCGGTCGGGATCTGCAGCCGCGACTGCGTGCGCGCGAACACGTTCTCCGGCGCCAGCGCCGGCACCAGCCCGAGCACCAGGAACACGCCCGCGGCGAGCGCGAGCAGCACGACGCCGCGCCGCGCCGCGGCCGGCAACGCCCGCGGCCGGGACCCGCGGGCCGAGGCCGAGGCCGCGCGCACCGCGCGGTAGTAGGACAGCGCTTTCGGCAGGAGGATCGGCGCGAAGAAGATCAGGAGGGACTTGATGCTGGGGTCGGATGCGTGTTAGCTTGCTACCGTAGGAGGTATCGGCGCGCGTGCGGTAGAGAGCAGCAACTCACGTCCCCCAGGAGATAGCCATCGCGTGTTGTGCCGACGGCGGAGCTCTGTCTTTGTCTGTCTGTCTGTCTCTGTCTACCTGGTTTCGGGCAAATAGGCGGGAGGCAGGTCGGGATCTGGCAGGCGGCGCAGAAGCATGCCGTCGTTGTCGTCGCAGTGCGTAACACTATTGGGTGCTGGCTATGGGGAGGCTGGCGGAGGAGGGCAGTGTGCTGAATTCATTTGGCGAGCATCGAGGGCCGATTTGGCCAGATCATACACAATGGAGCCGTTGATCATGTGTGTGTTGGCATGTCGTCAGCCGTCCCTGTTTGTCGGCCACCCCCTGGGCCTTGTCTCGTTCCAGGGGTCCAGACGTTCCCCTTCCCGTCACTATAATTGGAAGCGCAACGATAAGTGCCGTTGCTTATCTAATCCAGGTGGTTCCTGGGAGGTACTTGAGAACCCGGATACGAGCCGCAGCAAAGTTACCTTGAGGAATGTGGCTGGTGGTCAAGTGGCCAGCCTCTCCATTGTGGCACAGAGGAGAAAATAAAAATAAAAATATCTTATCAAGCTGGTGCTGGGTTGTTCTCCCAGACAAGTTTTCCCCCCCTACGCGACCAACGACGCTCACGCCCTCAAAATATGACAACCCGGACAGCTTCCTCGACCATACACACGTGCCAGGGGCTAGACTAGGAATCATTGTTCCAGATGATTTCAAAAATTCAAGTATTGCCGCCCCTCATCGCTTCACCCGAAGCCGAGGGCGGAGGCAAGTTGTAGCGCCTACCAGCAGGCTGTGAGGTAAGACATACGGACACGTCACGCGTGCTGGCACTTTCGAAGCTTTGGCGATCTCCCTCTCCCATGGTCGCTAGAGTCAATATGTTGCCTAGAGCGAGCCCAAGTACTCTGCCAAAGAGTCATCTCAATCGTGTTACAGAGTTAGCAGCTTTTCGCGATGAACTACTCTGCGTCAAATCAGATGAGAGACATGTCTTGTATATATACTCCGTGTCGCCTAGTAAAATCAATATGGACCTGGTCCTAGCCTCATCCTCTACGTATGCCTTCTACCTCTGTCTGGCTTCCTTCTCACGAAACCTTCTTGTTCCTTGCCTCCCGTCGGCCCTTCTCCTCGGCAGGATTCGCTGTCGTCTGCTGCTTCGGGGCTGCCTTCGTGCCTTGCGATTGTCTTATAGCCATCGTAACTATGTCCCCCACCAACATTACCACTGTGAGGCTGGCCACCTGCCACGATGAGGTGCTGACGCTGCCGATGGGCGCTCGGGGGAAGGAGAGGATCCACTCGGCATAGTAGGGAAACCAGCCCTGTGGGAGCCAGAACATGGGTTGTTTCGCATACCAGAGGGGGAAGATGATCTTGAGGACCGTCGTACCTGACCAGCGGATAATGTTGACAGACCTATCGAAGTTGGCTTTCGAGGCATCGTAGGAGGATTCTGTGACACGGGGTTTATTAGTCTTTTCTTCTCATGGCCCCGCACCGGGTACTGAGGTTCCGCAAAGGGGAGAGGGGGGGGAAGGGAAGGGATTGTATAAGCGTACTCATCTTCTCCAGCTCTTCCAAGAGCTTGTCATGCTGCCGCCTAAGCTTGGCCCATTTCGCGAACTGGTCCTGACTACTCGTGGCATTCAGATCGCGGCGGATGGTAAGGTATTCTTTCTGCGCCTTCTTTGTCTCGGCCGCTTGCCTCGACGCTTGCGATGGTAGGGCAAGATACAGATTCCACAGCTGTGCGATGGTCAGTTGTGGTAGTTTGGCGCGACAATCGCAATGCCCATCATGTTAGGCCTCGCGGGAACGACGGAGATGAGTATCTGCTTACTATGTTATTGATAGCCGACGGGCCCACGACATTCACCAGATAGCTACCCAGCTCGACGGCGAACACCAGGAGAAGCGGCGAGAGCATCTTGTCGGTGGTGTTGGCTTTCGCATTCGCACTATGCTAAGAGAGAGACGGGTGAGGAAATGCCGAGGGCTGTAGACTTGAGGGTAAAACTACCTACAACAGGTAGCATGGCCTCATACAACCTAGGTACGTACCTATCTAACCTCGTGGCCTCTCGCGCTGACATAAGCACCGTTAATTCCATACCTACCTGGAGTGAATATGCATCTACTCACCGTACCTTCCTGGCTCATTCTGACCAATGCCAGAATTACTCCACCGCCAACAAGTTGGAGACGGGCAACGACAGGTCGAGGACAATAACGTATGTTGAGGGGGAAGACACTTCGGCAAGGTGGGACCACGAAAAGTGAAGCTGTCCTTACCTGGTAGCCTGGTGACCTACCCTCCGCTCTATTCTACCTGCCCAACTTACGCGTATCCCTTGCCCAATGCCACCACGTACCATCTGACGGCCTACCTCTCGGCTTGGTCCAGCTCCCACATCCACCATCAGCCATGTCGCGTTCATTGGACAAGGGTATTCTAGCCAGTCTTGAAGCAGAAAATCCAAAGCCAGCATATAACGACATCTCGAGTCTTCTCACTGGCATGTCCGAGGGCGAGTTGTTGGAGATCGAATTGCTCGGGAAGAGTCATCCGCTGCAGCCAGGCATCAACTACCTCAGAGATGGTACAGCCGTAGCAATCCCCAAGCTGAGGCTATTCCAGGCGTTTTTTGTTGCCCGCCAGATGCTAGACGACTACCGGAATAAGGATAATCTCGTTGGTTCGTACGAAGCGCAGGCGGCGACAACCGTGGTGCTCCTTACGGATCCGGAGCACCTCACGGCTGCTAACACTCGGAAACGACTGCTCGCATCGTCGATTTTGGAAGCGGGCAGCCCGGATGTGGGGGCGCTGCTAAGGCGGGAGAAGCAGTTTGTCGACAGCCTGCTCACGTCGAGGCTCTATCGCCACGCCAAGTCCCCAACTCTATGGTCGCATCGCCGTTGGCTGCTTCGCCAATTTGCGGCCCACGGCGTAGTTGTAGATCCGCGGCACGATATCAAGAACATCATCATGGTTGCGGGGACACGGCATCCCCGGAACTATCCCGCCTGGCACCATGCCCGGTTCCTACTGGGTTGCCATCCTCAGTTTGCCGCGCCCGTTGCCACCGATGTGAAAGAGTTCTGTTTAAGAAACCACGCCGATATTTCCAGCTGGAGCTTTCTCGGCTCTGTTATAGGAGCTATCGGCAGCAGAGAAACCCGTTGCCAGATGGGCTCGTCTTTCCTTACCGAGATCCTTCAGATCACGGACTCATTGCGCTGGAAAAACGAATCAGTCTGGGTATTCCTGCGCAGCGTGGCAACAGCGGAATTTGTTAGCGAAGGACAGTTCGAGTCGATTCTGGCCGTCAACAAGAGGCTTGCTTCTGTAACACCGAAAGACGACGACCAGTGGAGAATTTTAGATAGTGCACGGCGGTGGTGTGATGCGAACCGCATTCTAGGCGAATCAACAGGCAGTTGACTCCGACTTGGCGAAGACGCAATTCGGACAAGCAAGGCCGCCAACCGGGTAAGAGGGCATAGCCATTGAACGTCGGCGGCGACGCTAGCATCGTAGCCCACTCGCCGATCGCCGGCCCGAGAAACGTGCTTCGCAGTAAGAGAACAATGAGTTCTCCGATTTCGCGCTCTTCCTCCTGTAAAAGGGGACTGGAATTGGGGCTTTGCCAGCAGCCAAACCGCCGGTGGCAGACGGGGTTGGAGCCGGCGCGTGTTCTAGCACAGCACCCTGCTACTAAAACACGATAAAACAGAGTCTTACGTGGCTGGCAAAAGGTGGCTCGTCTCCCGCGATGCTAATAGGCGGGAAGTTCGTGTTAGTGCTAATGCAGGGGCTCGGCTTTACTGTATGCTAACACACGCCCGTCGTCGACATCCGCTAGACGGATCCTACAAGCTCCCTCCCGCCTATTCTTATCTCTCAACCGCCCAGGTCGACGCGGCGCACCCCTCCCTATGTAGTCGGCAGTATACGGTGCCGGCATCGAAGCACGTACGGAGATCGGAGACATCTGCGTGTGCCTGTGCTCTCATAGCCTACTTCAAACACGAAGTCTACTTGGCAGCGATCTAAATCCTGCTCTAAATTCCGGCGAGGGATGGGAGAGCAGGACCGCGGTGCCACGGCGTATATGCTGCTTGGCATGCGCGTGTACTGTTGCGCAGCTCCCAGCGGGTTGCCAAGCTAACCGTCCCCGAGTCGGCTGGTGCCGTCGGGTACTGACTCGCTGAGCGCTGAGCGTCTGCGCAGGCAGCCAGCCGAACTCGATCATCTCGTGTCTCCTCGCCTCCCTATGCCGGGCTAGGGCTAGTCGCGCCTCGATGTTGAACGTCTTTCCGATCGAGTTTCTGCCGAGCGGGACACGCAATAATGACCTACGTTGCCTTTCCGAAGAATTCGTCCCTCTGGGCCCGGCCACAGCGAGGATATTGCTAACCGGATTACCCGCCCATCTATATGTATTGCGAGTGTATATATATATGTATGTGTATATATACATATCTAGGTAGGTATGTGGGGGAGATAGGCAGTTGGTCGTGTCGCTACCTACCACGTCTGCCTACTGTCTACTGCATACGGAGGTATACGTATGTATGTATGTATGGCATATACAGAGACACAGACTGCGTATCTACGTTCTACACTAACTACATGTAGCACGCACAAAAGATCCGCATTCCTAACGGTAGGGATCCCCAGAGCGTAGACTCTTGGCCGCCCATCCATTCCCCATCAGTTCGCGTGCCACCTAATCAGGGGCCAGTAAATGACCATGGGGCTGGAACCCTGTAGGCAATCTACCTACCCTTCCAGATTCCGTACGGAGAACAGATGGCTGCTGGTCTTATCAATAGTCGAAGCTCCGCTGCCCTTATTCACTCCCTACCTAGTACTACTCATACGCAGCACTTCTCACTAGGACCCGACGCGGTTCTGCCACCAATTAGGGCTGCTGGAGCCTCAAGAGTCCGGGTCCGCAAACACGCGGCCAACACAACGAGCGACGCTATTTTAAACCTCCGCGCATACACAGCAGTGGCTTTGAAGGCCCTACTAGGAAGCCGGCAACTGTGGCCTCCATGCGCGTGTGCCACAAATAAACAGGAGGATCCGAAGGCCGGCGAAGGCCAGCGGCCTTATCTGATAGGACACGGCCAATCTCTGGGGCGGATCATCATAATAAAGAGTACCTCTCGGGTACGGGGGGCGCGGCGGCATCCGAGATGGGGTTCCAAGTCACCGTGAAGTAGCCCCATAGCCGGGAGCCCACAAGCGGCGCCACCTCGTCCACGCCCCTGTCGGCTGGGATTACCCCTGGGCCCGTCCAAGCCCCAATACGATTCCCAATACGATCTGCTCTGGTACGTACATATGCAGATGGGCAATCGGATTCTGCGGAAAGCATGGAGCGAGAAAAGGGAGCCCGGGTTTCGTAGGCGGCGAAGCCTGGGGGAGAGGACATTGGGGGCCATCGGCCATCAGATGACCGGCAGCAACGTGCCCAAGACCGCCATGTAGATGCCATCCCGCACTATGCACCACCCTTATCTGGAAAGTCGACCAACAAGGGAGCGGAGGGACCAGAGAGAGAGGGACAAGAGGCTCGCTCGGCTCGGGTTGGTGGGCCTCGACAGCGCCCCAGGGGCTGAGGGGGGGTGGTCATCTTCAGTCGTCCACCTTTTTTTCTTACTTACTTCCTCTCCACACCGCAACGGCAACCCAACCACCACGGCGGGTTCTCACTTCTTTTTTCCTATTGTTGGCCTGTATATCGTTATATTTCTCCTGTGCCACATAGTTCCGCTTTTCTTTATTTCCTCCTCTCCTTGCCATTGGCGTGCTCGGGCGACCCGAATTAGCGGTTGTTTCTATCTGTCTTAACCCCCTACGGAGGCGTTGTTCTAGTTTCTCCTGACGGCTCAGCCAAGCAAGCCCGTCTTGGAATTCCCAGCCAACAACTCCGAGTACATACACAGCGAACGCGAGACTCTGCGTTCCTGGTATCTTGCTTGCCACCCGCTGCCTCTTTTTTTTTTCTTTTTTCTTTTTTGGCCCCTCTTTCATCCTTGGGCGAGGCGCCTTTTCCCGCCGGTTCTTCATTTTCTTGCCAATGACGGTTCCTAATCTCGAGTAATACTATAATATCCCTAGACCAGCGAGTCTGGTGCCCTCCGGCCGTTGTTCGCCCGGACCAACCCACCTCGCCCTGCTCCTAATCCTCCCAACATCATCTTGCGTCCCCGTCGGGCAAGCTGCCTCTCTCCAACCAACAGCGCAGTGCTTGCTCCAGATGCGTGCGTGAGCCTGGTTTGCTACCGTCCGGCTATATAGTAGCATCTGTCCCCGGACTACGAACCCAGGACGTCAGACATCGTTGTTAAGCTCAAGGACAAGGTTGTGTAAGACCTCGTTGCAATACTTGCCAGTATGCATTTGCATCAAGCTTCCGTCTCGCTCCCCTTGTTACTATGGGCTTCCGGAATCAGCGCCCTCTCTCCACATCCTCCCGGAAACCAGGCTTCAAGCGGCCATGCGGGTCTGGGGGAGCGAGACTCCACAAACGTGCCCGTTTATGAGACTCCGGATATCGGCTTCGTCACGTTCCCTCTGGTCCGGAAAGCTCAGAGTGTATGTCGTCCACCCGACAACCTGATACGGGGCCTGTACTAACACATGTATGTCAGTACAAGAAGAGTCTTGCGGACAGACTCCCGAGGGCTTTCGATAGTTTGAGTACGAAGTCTGGCCCTGGGGCCTCGATTCGGCCAGCGCCAGAGGATCTCAGTCTCCGAAACCGAGCCAACGAGTATAACGTGGTCCCCGCCAATAAGCCCACGGTGAGGAATGCGGTAGGAATCGACCAAGATGGAACGGACTTCTCGTACTTTCTGCAAGCTGGTTTCGGCTCCGACGACAAGCCAATGTACATGCTTGTCGACACGGGGGCCAGTACCACCTGGGTTATGGGTTCGGGCTGCACGTCGGATCCGTGTACTAGGCACAACACATTTGGACCGAACGACTCCAGGACGTACAGGGACACCGGAGAACCCTACAATGTCGAGTATGGGTCGGGGAAGGTTAGCGGACACGTCGTGATCGACAGCATATCCATCGCCGACCTGCAGGTGACCATGCCTTTCGGGGTTGCGAACATTACGTCCAACCAATTTTCCCAGTTTCCCTTTGAGGGAATCTTGGGGCTGTCGATGACCCAGGGAACATGGCTTACCCACGTCAAGGAGGCCCAGTTGATCAGCTCTAACGTGTTCGGGATTGCGCTATCTAGGAGCTCTGACGGAGCCAACGACGGAGAAATAGCTTTTGGCGCCCCAAACACAGCCAAGTACACGGGCGACATAACATACACGTCCTTGCGGTCCACCGACAGCTGGGCTATCCCGATGGACGATGTGCTGTACGGCGGCGAGCCGGCCGGGGTCAGGGGTCGAGTTGCTTTCATCGACACTGGCACGACATTTGTTTTCGGACCGCCGGCCGACGTCAGGGCATTATACAGCTTGATTCCCGGCTCCTCAACCACCGACAACGGCCAGACGTACACAGTCCCGTGCGATAGCAATGTCCCAGTCTCCTTCTCCTTCTCCGGCCAGAGATGGGATGCCTTGGCGAAGGACTTCACGACGAAGAAGAATGCAGATGGGATCTGCTTTGGTAACATTTACGGCTTGGAGTTCGTGCCTGGCGCGTGGCTGATTGGCGATATGTTCTTGAAAAATGTCTACAGCGTCTTCGATATGGACCAGAGACGAATTGGTCAGTTCCCCCACATACCCCCAGTGATCCGTCGCCTCGACATATCCTCGAAAGCTGACTAGGTATACAGGATTTGCCGCGAGGGCGACCTCATCAAGCAACAACAACGGATCGTCACAGGGGACACCGACGCCCTCCAATGGATCAAATGGGGGAGCATCGACAACAGTCGAGCTGACCAGCCCAACCGGCGGATCGGTTGGACTTGTTCCCCCGTCCGAGACGTCCACGCCAACGGATGCCGCAGGGAACAACGAATCCACCCCAGACCCAGTGGACTCTCCGGGCTCTGCAGGCGTGAGACTGGGGAGCGGCGTTTTATACGCCTCCTTGCTCTGCATCGTGTCAGCCATCACCATGATTTTGTGATAGATGCGTGCGGACTTTCTCTCTCTACCCGGGGTCCACGGTATAGAGTATATATACACAGATGTATTATTACATTATATACATATCCGAGGCGCAAGCTGCAGCGTCTCGCCAGACAAGCAATGTTACGTCGACGCAGTGCTACCCCTTTAGCGCTACGAAGAAGGATGTGGGGTCGCGTCTCGACACACGGAAACAAACCCAACAAATCATGTACATGAATGATACCCAGAGGAAACAGAGCGACTCGGAGAAGAAGAAAAGGAATAAAACACGACGACAGTATGGACCCAGGGACGGCCTACACGTTTAGGAGCCGTCGGGCATTGCATGTAGAATTATATAATAGACAAGGCGATATTCAATTCAAGGGCTGTCACCATTTCTATCCGGCTTCCGGGCTTCTTTCTTCGCCGCCATCCCTACTCCGACTTTTCCTAGCTTCTGGTCTCACCCGCTCACCCCCTCGTAAAGGGGAATTAACAAATCACGGGCATAAGCGGATAAAAATAAAACCAACGTCGAGGGACCAGAAAAGGGGGGGAGGAGGGGCGCGGTAGCGAAGTACCTAGTGCTCGGCTGGATCGGCCATGTCACTCCCATTTACAACGGGGCTCCCCGTAGGCTGCCTACCTGCCTGCCTGCCTGTACCTTGCCTTCTTCGTGCTATAGGCTACTACGTACCTAAGTATACGCCTATAGGCGCCCTCGACCTGGAGCTTAAGTAAGCGGCACCTAGGTACCTATCTTTCCTTAGAAATCTAATGCATTCTGCATTGGGCTTTACATAAGGGGGGCATTACTTACATAACAGCCACCTGTGCACCCATGTACGGTATGTAAATGGATATACTATATGTACCTGGCATGAAATCACATGGCGATAGGCCGAGCTGAAGTAAGGTCAGGCCGATGCTCGTCTTCTTATCGGGGACAGGCGACATTCTGACATCTCTCAAGCCCCTTCTTTCGACGAGGCACGGCCCAAGCTGAGAACCGAGATCGTTGAAACAGCCATCAATTCCACTCGTACCCGAACCCGATTCTCAAGACAGCCCCGAGTTCACCTCTCTCGCAAGGATGCCGCCGGGATAAACACAATGGCCAAGGCCACGACACACAGCTCTAGAGAGCAACCTCGCAACCCGAATCTGACCGAAGCTTTTGTGAGCGAGGAGCAGCACGGCTTGCTCGCAGGCCACGTCTCCGACGACGACGATGACGCCGACAATGACGACGCACCCGACGACGCACCCGAACATTCCCGTGGCCATGGCCGCACCCGGGCGAATGGCCTCGTTGTCCAACCGGGCGACGGCAACGAAGCCCTCCCCAGCTCCCTCCGCACGCCACGCACCCCCCGAACCCCCAACCGAGTCCGCTTCGACCTGCGGCCTACCAACATTCCCCCTCCGGCCAACGGCGACCGCCGCCCCCCCTTGCCGAACGACTACTTCGACGTTGCCGAACCCGACAGTCCCGGTTCCGACTCGACATCGCGACCCCTCCTGACCGACATCGAGGCGCCCGCCGTGACCCTAGCCAACAGCCTCGACCTCGCCGACGGCGACATACACGAACGGGCCGAGCGAGAACGCACGCGGCCCAAGTCGGGCCTGAGCTCGGCCTTCATGAACATGGCGAATAGCATCATCGGCGCCGGCATCATCGGGCAGCCCTACGCGTTTAAGGACGCCGGCCTGCTGGCGGGCATCCTGCTGCTCATCGCCCTCACCGTCGTGGTCGACTGGACTATCCGCTTGATTGTCATCAACAGCAAGCTAAGCGGCGCCAGCAGCTTTCAGGGCACGGTCGAGCACTGCTTCGGCAGGACGGGGCTCATCGCCATCAGCGTCGCCCAGTGGGCCTTCGCATTCGGCGGCATGGTTGCCTTCGGCGTGATCGTGGGTGATTCGATACCGCAGGTGCTGCGCACGATATGGCCGGAACTAAGCAGCATACCCGTGCTTGGCCTGCTAGCGGATCGCAGGGCGGTCATTGTCGTCTTCATCCTGGGCATCAGCTACCCTCTGTCCTTATATAGAGATATTGCGAAGGTAAAGTCTCCCACGACCGCCGCGGCGGCAGCTAGTCTAGTCCACCAGCTAAAGCGAAGACAGCTCGCCAAAGCAAGCACGCTTGCTCTGATCAGCATGACCGTCATCCTCGTTACCGTTGTGGTTCAGGGCGTTCTTACGCCGCCGGAGAACCGCGGCAGTTTTACTTTGCCTCTACTTACGCTAAACGACGGCTTCTTCCAAGCCGTCGGCGTTATCTCATTTGGTGTGTCATTGTCTATCCTGTCACGGGCCGCAACCGGAATCCAGGTTCGGGTTCGCGCAGCACGATGCTAATCAGAGGGGGGCGCTTACTAGCATTTGTTTGCCAACACAATTCTCTGTTAATCTACGGCTCCCTAAAGACGCCCACGATAGACCGGTTCTCCACGGTGACGCATTACTCAACGGGCATATCGATGCTTGCGTGCATGATCATGGCGCTCGCGGGCTTCCTTACCTTCGGCGACAAGACACTCGGCAACGTGCTTAACAACTTCCCGGCGGACAACACGATGGTGACGATCGCGCGGCTTTGCTTCGGCTTGAACATGCTCACGACGCTACCGCTTGAGGCGTTCGTCTGCCGGGAAGTCATGTTCAACTATTGGTTCCCCAACGAGCCGTTTAATATGAACCTCCACCTCATCTTCAGCTCGACACTAGTGGTGTCGGCCATGACGCTGAGCCTGTTGACGTGTGATCTCGGCGTGGTATTTGAGCTAGTGGGGGCGACGAGCGCGTGCGCGCTTGCTTACATCCTGCCGCCGCTGTGCTATATCAAGCTGAGTTCGAGGTCGTGGAAGACGTATGTTGCCATGGGAGTTGTGGCGTTCGGGTGTGCTGTCATGGTTATCAGCATGTTCCAGGCGATTGGCAAGGTGATCCAAGGTCGGTCTCTTTTTGCTTCCGTCCCCCCCTTCCTCTCCCCCCTCCTCTAGCCCGGCTCGGTAGCTAGCCGTCTTACTCGGCGCGATAGCTGACTTATACCCTCTATTTCGCAGGTGGAGGCGTGCCCGCCCAGTGTGTATGAGACTCGATTATTATCATCATTATTATTAGACTTTGTATCGCTGTATATTATAACCATAACCAAACATGTAAAGTGATCGACTTGGAGGTGAGGTTGGAGAGGGGAGGCGGGGCGGGTGATAGCGACGGCAAACTGCAGCCGGCTTACCGGGGAATGGCATCCAGGTGAAACTGAAGATACCAATACAAGGCTCAGCGGTGTTATCGATCGATGGATCATGTGCCGGCCACGCCACCAGACGACAATGACGGTGAGGCGACAGGCCGCAGAAGGCATTCCGACGTGGAAGCTCATGTGTGATTTGAGGATGCTCCCAGACCGCTGGGACCCGCCCATCTGCGTCTATCCACCCTCTTCTCCCCCTCCCCTTCTGCTCCCTGCAGGCGCATAAGTACATGTGCAGACACTGGCAGTAAGGGGTGTGAACACGGCGTCGTATCGCTTACCGCGGGAGGGCTAGATATGTAGGCATGTATGTATGTTTGCGCGCGAGCGCGTACGTGTGTCGTGTATAGGTGCGTTCGGCCTGGCTCGGATGGCACTCTGCAGTTGACTTTCTAGTCGACCTACAGATCGGACCCTCGCGCGCATGCAGCGATTGATTAGATATCGAGGCGGCTTGGGACGTGATGGTGTACGAGCAAGTGCGAGCACGTTATGAGAGGTGAGAGACAGCGAGACAGAGGGAGGGGGGGGGGGGGGGCGTCGGGATGAGTTAGCGGCGAGAGCGAGACTGCCGAAGCACGGATCGAGATGGCATCACGACTACTAACCAGTCTCTATCCTCCCTCCCCGCGCGAGCAACGGCGACGCATGGGGATGCCTACATGAGATTATGTAGATGGACACATGTAGTAACCACCATAGCTGCCCGCGCCTCGCTCCCTCGTCTTCCACGCCTCCAATATTTCTCGAGATCCCACCAGTTGCAATTTTACACTTCACTACACTATATACATTATACCACATTATACCGCCGGCCCTGCGGCAATCCTCGGATCCTCGCACAGGCACTCGCTACGTAGGGCCGTGGCATACGGTGGTATACATGTAGGTAGGCATACGCACAAGCAGACGCGCACACACATATGCACACAAGCAACAGGCGTGCCGCACACGCATACCACATACCGCATCCTGCATGGCCGGGGAGGAGGGGGGAGGGTTTACCACACGATGGACTACCACACGCCAACACCACCGCCTCCACTACCACCACCCCTCACGGGCGTACGCCTCGTCTCCGTCTCCGTCTCCTTCTCCTTCTCCATCTCCCGGTCCCGTCCCCTAGCCCCTAGTCCCTAGGTTGATTTGGTCCTACCAGAAGCAGCGTAGCCGTCATATTCACCCCGATCCAACCCATCAGATGATGAGCGATAACATACGTGGCGGCGGTAGGAGGATAAGCAATTAGTTTCCTGCTGGTTGGTGGTACCAGAAGAAGCAGGCAGTAATCAGTACACGGACGGGGGATAAAGACACGGAGTGGAGAGAGGGGGGGGGTGGTGGTGGTGGTGACAGTGAGAAAGAGAGAGACCGAGAGAGGGAGAGCTCGCTCTGTCTAGAGAGATAGCGAGTTGTGCCATACAGGTGATGAGAGATAGCGAGCTGTGCCATACAGGTGATGACGGAGGCCAAGTAGAGAGATCGATCACATCCCGCTACCCCAACGGGCTCGAGACCGTACGGCTTAGCTCCTTAGTTAGCCGCAGCTGTCATGGTCGATAGGAGGGGTAAGAGATTATCGCCTAAGCCCAGGTGACCCCGAACCCTTCGCGACCCCGACCTATCTTCTTCTCGAGATTGCTCATCCCTCCCCCTCCTCATCGGGCAGGCAGGGAAAAGGTAGGCAGGGTAGGCCGGCCGGCAGGATTTCCTTCTTCCTTTTTTTCCCGTCCTGTCCCGCGCCCTAGGCTACATGCGCGAGCTGAGGCAGGAGAAGAGGGCGAGAAGATGGCTTGGCTCGCCCGGTCACGAACAAGCTCGGCCACGAACGGTCTAGGGACGGGTTAGATAGACCCACCCCCGTAGGCGCCGTGTGCGCATGCGATGCGTGTGCGATGCATGCGATGCGGCCGGTGTGGTGGGTACGGTCAGTGAGGTCAGGTAGGCAAGCCCTGCATCCCAGACACTGTATGCAAGCAGGCAGGCAGATGGATAGAGAGACGGGGCCAGATCGGTGGACGAGGCAGACGTCTACGAGGAGAGCGAGGAGAGGCTGGTTGAGGCGGCTGCGGCAAACGAGAGGTACGGCGAGGCCACCAACAGGAGCGGCAACGGGGATAGAGCCGGCAGGGAGGCGAGAGGCGTCAAGCGGGAAGGCGAAGGGAGTAACGAGGGCTAAGACAACAACAACAACGAGACAAGTCGACACCGATCCAGATGTGAATGGCGGACCGGCCGTGGGGGGAGGAGGTGCTCGACGTGCGTGAACGTGCGAGGAAACACGATCGAAACGCGATCGTTCGTCCGTCCGCCTGCCCATCCCACCCATTCATCTGTCTTGCCCCTGTCTGTTTCTCTCTGCCCCGTTGCGTTGCGTTGCGTTGCGTTGGAGACCGATTGAGACCGAACCCACCCTTCCCCAATCACCATCGCCGCCTCACACACGCTCGCATCTGCACTTAACACACTCCCTCTCTCACCACCCGTTACACAGCGGCGGACACACGATAGGGACACATACGTGCATTTGTACATACAATCCACCCACTCGTCGTAAACTCCATCCATGTGCAGGGGAGGCTGCCAAAAAAAGGTCACGAAGACGGGACTTACCTAGTTAAACTACTAGTAGTAGTGGTAGGTAGTAGTAGTAGGCAGACAGGCATCCATCAACGCCCAGACCCTTCACCAGCTGGTTCCCAGTCTCCTCTCCTCGTCTTTTCCTCCTATCTCGCCCTCTGCCTCTTCAGCTGATCGAAGCTTAAATACCCCCCGTCCTCTCCCTCCCTCCGTCCCTGCTGTCTATCTATCCACACACACACGCACACACGCATCAGAACCGGCCACCACCAGACCCGCCGCGATCGATCTATCCATACCTACCTGCAGCTCACCACTGCCCTCCTCTCTTCTGCCTATAGGCATCCACCCGTGTAAGTCTGCCTACGGCTGTTGCTGCTGCCATAGTCACCCAACCCTTATCTGCCCCCCTCCCCCCCCCCTCCGCCTCGTAGACTTCGCCTGTCTCCCCCCCATCCACACCCTCTTCTCACCTCTCCCGCGAGAGAGGATCGAAGGGCGAGGGGTGCGGTGGTGGGGGGACACGACGGGCTAGCGTGTGACCCTCCGCACCGGCTCTACCTAACCCAGCAATTCCTGCTCACATGAACCGAACTTGTTATAACACGTCCACACACACGCACACCTCTCTCTCTACCTATATATAGACCTCACATTCCCCAGAAAACTCCCGCAACTCGAAACTAACACGAAAGACTAGAACCAAGCACACCCTCTCTTTATTCTTACTACCACTATTATTATCAAACAAGTTCGACCCCCCGAACTCGACCCAAAATGCATAACTCGGCGTGCCCCAAGTGCGGAACCACCTTCGACGGCGAGACTAAGCAATGCGGCTCCTGCGGCGCTGTAAGTGTTGATACATGATTCTTGCCCTTTTTTCGTGTGTGTGTGTTTGGGTTTGCGTCTTATACCGGGCTGCTCTACCTATGTCATACCGCACCGTGCCATGTAGCATCAGCCGACTTACCTTCATCCCCTCCCTATCCTCACATCCTCTCCAAGACGGTCCCACGACTAGGAAAGGAAAGTGAAGATTTTTGAAGAAAAAAAAAAACACCCACCCCAAACTCAACCTACACACCGTACCCACCTTTCCCCTCCCCCTCCTCCTCATCCTCCTCCTTCTCCTCTCCCCGGCGCCCCCACCCTCTCCCTCCCATCCCTCCCCCCTGGTCCCCCCTCCCCTCCCGACACACAACAAACCCCCGCCCCGAGAGTGGGCGAACAAACACGCCAGAGACCGAAGAACCCAGACCCAGCAGCTCGGAGGAGGAGAGGGAAAAAAACAAACCCAGAAACCGAAAGAAGAAGGAGGAAGAAGAGAGAGGGGGCCGCGGGAGATCGTGAGGGGGGCTGCCCGGAAGAAGAGAAAGGAAAAGACTCAGCAAGCTAACCACCACCGACCCCATCTCGCAGACCTGCCCCGTCTAAGCCCAACCACGCCCCTCTCTTCCCTCGCACCGTGAACGAGAGCGAGGCGCAGGACGTGCCAACTGGGACTCGACGAGCGCGGGGGAGGGCGCCAGGCGCCTATGTAATCGCGCGACTGCGCGAGAGAGAGAGAGAGAGAGAGAGAGAGCCGGAGTCGGGAACGGACGGACCTCGGGGGGGAGGCTTGTGCGAGTAGTTTCCTTGCCTTGGGGATTTCTCATGTTGTTGCGCGCGCCTTTTCTCTGCTTCACGACGACGACGACGGCGACGATGGGAACGACGGGGTTGCGGGCGGCGGGCGCCAAGGGCGTGTGAGCGTGTGAAATAACAACGGTTTTTTTTTTCCATCTCCGGACGGGGCGGCGCTGGCCGTGTCCGTGCTGTTATGACCCATCGCCGTGAAAAGTTGCCGTCCTGGTCTCTTATTGCTGCTACCGTTCCCTTTCCCCTGGCTCGACGCCGACGACGTCCTCCTCCTCCTTCGACTAGTGAGCTGCGTAGCAGCACCTCCGTACGTCTCGTCTCGGGCGCTTACCCTTATACCCGTCCTCGCGTCGGCACACATGGCTAATAGGCATGTTTATATACCTACCTGTGATCTGACGCCACTCTACCTTCCCCTACTTCCACACATTGGTGCTAGATGACTTCCCTTTCCTTCCCCGAGTACACCTACCCTTGCTGAATCTCTACACCCCGGTTCCGTAGCCGCAACCCTCCGCCTCGACGCCCGCAACAGCAGCGGCTCGCTCGCCGCGACACTTCGACAGAGATGAACCTGGTGCCCGAGAGGGAGACGGGGAGATATCATAGCTCTCGCGGTAGGAAATACAGAATCTGTGATACGCACGCTCACTACCTGCCTCTGCGGCTAACCGCTCTCCTCCGCTCCCCTCCCCTCTTGCCCAAGCCCTCTCATTCTCTATCGTAGCCACATACATAGCCATGCACCTGTAATAAAATCGCGCCGTGGCAAAAAGTCCTGCTCCTCCTCTTCTGTCCCTCCTTCGCCCTCCGTCCTCCACACAAGTCGGTAGGTAGTCAGCTGTTATAGTGATATGTGCTGAGCGAGCTGCCAGCAGAATAACTAGAACCGTCCCCCACCCTACCTACGAATCTCCTGCCTTTTATTACACTGTAGGTGCATCACGTAACGAGTAGGTGACCCGTAGCGTTGGGAGTCCTAGTAGCAATCGCGGCTGCCGTCCTGAGAACAAATCGCTTAGTCTCTGTCCATTCTGCGCACGCTACCCACTCGTCCCTACCACGTATTCGTGTCACTGCTAGTCCTAAGAGGTTGGTCTACTTGGGTGGTGACGAAGAGCTACTGGAAATGCGATGTACAGTCGGTAGGTGATAACCCGGACTCGTAATGGGGGTGTTCTGTTGGGGGGATGCAAGGGGTGTGTTTGGTGTAGGCTTCACGGAGGCTTCTGGTTCGCGAAAGGGGCAAGTCCGTCGAAGGCTACTTAGCACTTGTGGAACTTGGGGAGGGCGAGGGCGAGGGGGTGGACAGGGGGATACGGGATGGCAAGCAGTAAGCCGCCTACCAGTTGATGACGTCTCGGGAAAAGGGGGTTGGGGGCGGTTGAGGGGATGGTGGACACGGTACAGCGGGAAGGATGACGAGACTACGGCAGAGGAGAGAGAGAACACCGGGACCTGAGCATTAGCAAAGCAGTACGATTGGGGGAAAAAGAACCGCGGGAGCAGCCCCTTCGCGACAAATTTCCATCTCCGGTTGGTCCGACGCGAGAGGAACTATCAAGAGACCAGATAAAAAAAAAGGAGAAGATTTATAATATAGCCGTATTCTCTGGGGTTGGCTCGCCAATCTTGACACACACATACGCACACACCCAACACATCTCTCCTCCCCTTCTCTTCCGACGGCAGAGCATGCCGCCTGCTCTGTTCCCCCCAGTCCGTGGGAGTTCCAGTACAATAACCCCCTTTGCTCTGTCACCAATATGCTCCCGCCGAGAGTTGGGAGATATGTGAAAGCTAACCTGAGTTGCACACCGGCCGAGGCGGTGGTTATGAGTAGACGAATCAAGCTCCAGCCGAGACCATGATGCCGAGGAGGTCCAACCCTTCCAGTCCGTCCAAAACCCTTGTTATCATCTGCGTATCTCGCCCGTAGAAAGAGCCTGCGAGGACGACGACGGATTACGACGGTATATTGAAGGTATCATAAAGGGAATCGACGGTGCGTTTAAAGGACTAAGCACTTGGAGTGCTTCTTCTGGCGGTTGCGTGATAGTAGAGCAGCGCGGGTGGCGTGCTCGAAAACCTCGCGGACGCCCTCGTTCGTCTTGGCCGAGCACTCGAGATACTTGTAGGCGCCGATCTTCTTGCGGATATCCTCACCCTACGGGGGTGTTAGCAGTTGCACGTGTGAGTGCGCGAGGCGAAGATGCGACCAGGGCGGTCCCGCCGGGGTGATATTGGGGGGGGGCGGCGGCCCGGGGGACAAGGTTACGATGGGGCGGATATAGAACGAACTTACCTCCTCAGGGGAAACGGGCTTCTGGCTGGTCTTACGTAGCTCCTCGATAGTCTTAGAGTCGTAGCGCAGATCCTTCTTGCAGCCAACGAGGATGATGGGCAGGCCTTGGCAGAAGTGAAGCACCTCAGAGATCCACTGTTGATAGAGCACGTGTTAGCAATTTGCTTACTAGAAAAGCACAGGTAGGCTATGTGCGTAAGGGGGGAGAGGCTGACCTTCTCCTGAACGTTGTCCAGGGAATCGGGGGAGTCGACGGCGAAGCAGATTAAGATAACGTGGGAATCCGGGTAGGAGAGCGGTCGGAGACGATCGTAGTCTTCCTGGCCAGCCGTATCCCATAAGGCTAGCTCGACGTGCTTGCCATCGACCTCAACATCGGCGACGTAGTTTTCGAAAACGGTGGGTACGTAGACCTGTCCGAGAAGAAAACGGGACAAGCTGTTAGCACAATGCAAACGGGAATGATTCCAGGGCGCAAGGGGCGTTCAAGGTGGCATCAATGGCGACGATGCAACAGGCTGTTGGGGGAGGGGAGGGGCGTCATAGTTGGGCCGGTGCCCCCTTGTTTTTGATATGACGCGGCCGGATGTTGGAACAGGACAGGGAAAAGGACGGCGGTGACGACGACGAAGACGACGACGTGGGCGTTGGTGCTCTTACCTCGGGGAAAGTTCCCTTGGAGAAGACGCTGTTGTCCGGATTAGCACGATGGCGGAAGATGGATTGTGGACTGGTGCTCGAGGGGGAGGGATAAAACGACATACATCAACAAGCAGGTTTTACCACAGGCACCGTCACCGACGATGACCAGCTTGCGGCGAATCTCAGCCATGTTGGATGAAGACTAGGGGAGGAATTCGTCGGAAGAGAAGGGGGAAGGGAGTTGGCTGCTCAAGGGTATTCGGGGGATATGCAAGAAAAGAAAAATGGCGTCAAAAGACTGGATGCGATATTCCTCGAGGGGGGTTGATGGTGAAGATTCTTCCTCGAATGTTGATGATGATGGAAGAAAGATGGAGGGAGATTAGAGACGGGACGGGGAGGGAGTGGTGAAGAAGGAGGATGGAAAGGTTGGCAAGGAGGTTGCTCAATAGGTACCAAAAGAAACAACAGCAATAATGTAGACCTCAGGTAAGTACCTCCTCTGCAACTAGATACATGTAGCAGGCGAGGTGCTACCTCCGGGGTATAGGATGTGTATGTATCTTCTACTCCTTGTAGTTAGGCGCGAGGTACATTCCGGGCTCGGGTGTGCAGGTACTTTTAGAGGTCCCTCTCATACCTGGGGTACCTACATGAGGCCAGGCAGGACAGGCAGGGCAGGGCAGGACCAGGCATAGCGTTAGTGATTGGCGGGGACGGAGGTAGATAGAAGCATGTACCTCGCGGAGGATGTACTGTACTGTAGGCGTGTAGGCGTAGGAAGTAGGCATGTTCTTCATCCCAAGTTAGGCGGGAGCGAGCGCGTAGAGGGTACCCCCCTAAACTGTGACAGGGCTTGCCGTACCCAGCAACCTCCTAACCCCCTACTCATGCTCTCCCATACCCACCGCCTGAAGTGTCACACCTAAGGTACCTAAAGCCAGCATGGTAAATTGCATAGATACGCAAGTACCTACATCACGTATGTTAGGTACCTAAGGTATATTAGATTCGATTCGGAGATAGGCAGGTACATAAGTTAGACGGACCTCGTGCCCTCAAGCTGTCCAGGTTAACGGGCTGGGTAGGTACCTCCCTAGGTTCCAATGTTACCAGGTACCTAAACGATGCCTCCTTGAGGTACGGGCGGACTGCACCGCTGCTAGCATCAACAACAGCGGCAACGGCACCTGCTTGCATGGTAGGTACACTAGGTCACGGAGGTGCAGTCCTAAGCATCTAGGACCCCGATCCCTAGAATAAGCTACCTATACCTACATATGAGGAGACCTACCATGTCCCATTCCGTGTCCCATGTCTCAGGTACCTACCTAAGGAGCGAGTGGCGGGCAACCGAATCAGACACGCCGGGATAGGCACAAGCTGGCACAAGACAACACAAAACACACATAATACCGCTGGCACACACACACACACACACACACACCCACGACAACATATACACGACAGATCCAACATATGAGTATGCACATACCACAAGCAACCTCGGCCGCCTAATAGGGCAGAGGCCTGATGGGACCGGCCAGGCTGTGGATATTTCCAGCATGCACCTACACATTTTATTATGCACACACATACACATACACACACGCGCGCGTACGTAGTATAATCGCTACCCTCGGAGCAACTCGACGTACACAGGTACATACTACCAGAAGGAAGGTATCCTAATCCTAGGCCACACCACTCGGCTTTTGATCTACTAGGGGTTGGAGAGAGGGTGTGGGCTAGCAGGCAAACCTCTCCAGATTGGTTCAGAATGGTAAAGCTATAGGCATCTAATACAGACAGCCTCCAGGTACTTAGGTACCTCGGTGGGTAAGGCAATTCATATATTGAAAGCACCAGGCAGGAGGTCTGTACTTATACACGCCACGTGTGTACCGACTCGTACGTATCCTGCAAGCCGGCCTCATGCTGGCCCTGGCGTCTCAGAAATCGGGAGGCAGCCCGCCACGTTCTGGCGGCGGACGAAGCCATAAAGCCGATTCACATGACGAGCGAGGTACATTCAGCTCGTGCTTCGGTACTTTGCGGGGGGGCCTGTGCGCGAAGATGCTTTCCGCCATCCCATCCCATCCCATCCCTCTCCGCGTAGTCGCATCAGCGCATGCATATATGCCTACGCGTTGTATCTGAGCTGACGCCTACTATACCTATATACCCAAGGGACGTGAACGACGCGGGGGTGAATTCTGCTGATATACGGGTATGAAAGGCATCTGCATACGTCAGGTATACATATATATCGCATATTAGTTAAGGATCTACCCACCTATACAAACAATTCTATCCCATCCATCCATCCTGTCAATCATATCCATCCCATGGATGCCTCCGCAGTGCCTATTCATCATTTACCAGGCGAAAGGCATTGCCCGCAGATACGTCGAGCCTGGAAACTACCCGGGTACCCCGTCCCATCAATAGATACATACGCACATACGCACACCTGCATACGGACGCCAATAAAACGACGCTGACAGAGCTCGATAAATGAATGCGGCATCATGTGATAAGTGGCTGTCTCTGAGTCTGGCCTGCGCTCTGCCTCTTTTTCCATCCGGAGTGCAACACAGGCAACCTATCTATCTATCAAGCTGCATGTGTGGTACCATGGAAACCAGCCATCCTATACCTATAGCACCCATCCGCGACCCTCTTACTCGATACATAACGAGTTGGCGACGGACTTCGATACGTGCTGAGTCAGAATACGCTGCTAATCTAATCCTCGCCGTCCGATATATCGACGCAAGTGTCAATTGCGGACTGTGTGGGTAGATCCTCTTGGTGTAGCAGAGAGACAAGTTCCTGGGCGTGTTTGCAACCGCTCGACTTGCGCTCCCTAATGCCGCCCGTACCCGAACATCTTCCAGGAGCTCCCATCTCGCCCGTCTCTCTCACCGACTGACGCTGCAGTGGCCATCTGCTGATCCCGGCTCGCCCAGCTGAAAGAGCGTGGCTCAGTCCCTCTGCCTGCCTACTGTTTTGTCCCGTCGGTCCACATATTTCCGACGGGACACACGTACACGTACACGCACACGCACACGTCCTCTTCCTCTACATATCTCTCTCCCTCCCCCTATCGCGCAATTTGCCTTTCTTTGTCTGCGTTAGATTATTTCTCCCACTAACACGAGCCATGGGGGGGGGGGGGGGGGGGGGGCAGGGGAGGAAACGAAAGGGGGAAGGGATTCGAGCATACGTATACACGTACGTGAGCCACCCGGGACCGGGCTTCTTATACACGAATCAGCCTGCAAAAGGTGGTTTTTTCCCCCGGCTCAACGTCCCCCCCTTTTCCTGGGCCACTTCTTTGGGGAGATTCTTTCCCCTCCGCAACGGGCTAGACCGATGCTTAGCAGATATCCTGTGGCTTCGCTCGTTTGCGACAGGGAGCAGGCTCGATACGCCCCATCTACACATAAACCACATCACACCTAATATTGACGTGTATAACCGAAATAAAGAACCAGTCTAACGTGGCGGTTCCGAATATCGTCGGGACACCGACCGGAAAGATGGTGAGGTCGGCATCGGCCTACCAAACAGATAGGCCATGTTCACGTGGCAGCTCGGCATGTTAGGTTGGCCTTTCAGATCACCTTTCCTCTTCCCCCGATCCCGTTTCTGTTAGGAGATCGTGGGCCCGGATTGCCGACCAAAAACCTGGAGAGGCCTGGCGTATCCGCATGCTTACCGGCGACCTCGAGCCGCCGGGAGCAGGATAGGCCTGGAGGTCATCAGCGTGGTCGCATATCCTAAATCCCCCCCGTTTCGACATTTGATACGTAAGGCCTTCATTATTGAAGTGTGCGTGCACGGTGACAATGACCGGAATCAGCTCGTATGTTGAGGCCATACTCTCTCGGCGAACGCTGAGGGTGTGTAAGACGGGACGGGGTGTAACTGAGGTCCCGGCGTATCGGTTTAGCTGTTGTTAGCTGGCTACCTCCTCCTCACCTCTACCTAACCTCCTACCTTAGGTACAGGTACCTATGCCGTCTGCTGATACGCAACGAGCACAGGAACAGCACACCTACTACGTAGCGGGCAACTAGACCTACCTCCTAGACTAGGTACCTTATGTATACCGTATGATACCGTATACCGTGTACATATAGGAGGCGAGCCTCCCGATACCTGGCAAGGTATATAATGTGTATACCTCCCCGTTGCCTAACTGGAGAGGAACCCTCGACCTACTTGTATGTAGTACCTAGATGCATACCGCGCTTGAACACGGCGCGAGATATAGGTATCACACGTACCTATCTACCTAACTAAGGGGTCACAGATACACGCATAAAGGGTAATGCATCGATCTACATGCCTACCTCGTAGGGAGGAAGACGGTGCCAGATCAAGGTCGGGGTTTTAGGTCGAGGTCAGGCTGGCAAGCTTCCAAGTTCTACGGGTCTCCCCGGCATCACCAAGCCGACAATGTCTCCCAGCCAGGGGCGTATCTTGGCGGAGGTGCCTGGCTCTGGGGTTCCAGCCTGCTGAGGTACCCCATCGGAGAACTGGATATTCCGGGGTTGTCGACTTGGGAGTGGGGCCAGGGTCAGGTCGGCGTCGGCGTCGAGCGGACGCCAATGGGAAACGGTTATCCGTTATCAGCCATTGGCCCTGTGGGAGCTACCAAATTTTTGGTCAACGGTGGGGCAGCCCTCGAAGAAGCCTCCTCGCGCAACTTAACCCGGCCCTCGCACCCACCAACGGCGCAAAACGATGAGCCCGTGAGGGGAACCACGAGCATACTTCCTCTCCCCCCCGTCCCGCCCGCCCTCCGGCCTCCCTTCGTCTTCTCCTCGAAGAAGAAGGAGAAGAGGGACGGCATACGATGCAGAAGATCCTCGGCCGCGTGGCCACCGCCGAGCGGGCGGTCGCTAAGCGCGTGGAGGCCAGGGCACTCCGGGCCTCTAAGACGGAAAAGAAGACAAACAGGAGAGAACACAAGCAGCTGTACGACACGGTAAGAGGGGAGCTGGACAAGGCGAAGCAGACCGTCCGCGACGATTGGGCCCTAGGCCCTCTAGCCCCCCGCCACGACGTCGGCGAATGGTCCGGCGCAAAGGGCGCCATCCACGAGATGCGCTACGCCACCGGCGGCCGTATCCCCAAAACCCTGCTCCAGCAGCGCAGCGCCTGGGCCGGCGGCATGGAATACCTCAACCTCGCCGTCAGCGACCGCGTCGTCCTCATGGACGGCCCGGACAAGGGTCGCATCGGCAACATCTCCCAGATCAACCGGGAACGAGCCGAGGTCACGGTCGAGGGCTTAAACAAGGTGGGTTGTCCATAGCCAGAGAGCACATGCCGTGCTTGTTTCTACCCAACGTTGCACCTCGTCCCTCTCTCGCACTTCGCTACGCCTGGGTGAATGAGGAGGAATGCGGACGCGTGGAGATTCGCCGTATACCTATCTAGAGAGGCAGGGCAGCTAACGGCTGGGTGTTCGACGACCGCAGAGCAACGTCCGGATCAGGCCCTCGATACGCGGCGAGGATGACCCCGTGTCCATCAACATCGAAGTTCCGCTCCCCATCTCGGCCGTCCGCCTCGTGCACCCGATCCGGGACCCGGCGACGGGCGCGACGCGCGACGTCATCATCAACAAGCTGATCTCGGGCGGCTTCCTGCACGACCGGGTGGCCAACCGGCGGCGGTGGCTGCGCATCGTGCCGGGGCTGAACCTGGTCATCCCGTGGCCGCACAAGGCCGCGCCGGAGCTGCACGACTACGAGGGCGACACGCTGCGCATCGACGTCGAGGCGCGCACCTTCGTGCCGACGCTGCTGCGCCCGCCCATGCCCGAGCTCCTCATCGACGAGCTGCGCGGCAAGTACAGCCGCTTCCGCACCCGCCACGACCCCGAGTACATCGCCCGCCTCGAGGCCGAGGAGCAGGCCCGCCGCGACCGCCGCAAGCTCATGGACTCCATGCGCACCCCGCTCCAGGAGTTCCACCGCGCCGAGCGCGCCAACAAGAAGAAGAAGGGCAAGCCCCGCCTCACCCTCGAGATGCTCGAGAAGATCGGCGAGGTCATGGCCCGCAATCTCGAGAAGACCCGGAACAACAACAACAACGCCGCCGCCCTGCCGCCGCCGCCGCCGCTCGACTCCCCGCCCTCGCCCCCGCCCCTGCCCCTGCCCCTGCCCCCGACCTCGACGACCTCCTTGACCGACGCCCCGACAGGCCCCGAAGACGCCGCCGCCGCACCCCCCAGCCCTCCCGACTCGATAGCGCAGGCGGCGCAACCGCCTATACCCCCCGCCGAAGAAGCAGCGCCAGCTGCCCCCGCTCCTCCTCCCGCTACTCCCGCCGCTGCCGCTGCCGCCACTCCTCCTCCTACTCCTCCTCCTCCGCCGACGTCTTCCTCCCCCTCCCCCTCCTCCTCCCCCTCCCCCTCCTCCTCGCCCCCTGCCCCCGCAGACGCGACGGCACCGGAACCGCCCTCGCCGCCGCCGTCGCCGTCGTCGCCGTGAGATCGACGCAGCCGACGAGGAGGGAAAAGGGACGGACCGGGGCGAGGCCGGGAGATCGCTGAGTAGGGGGTGCCACGGGACGACGAGAGAGAGCGGGGCGAGGGGGGGGGGGGGCGCAAAGGGAAAAAAAAAAAGAAAAGCGGGAAATGAGAGAGAAGGCGCGGAAGAGAGAAAAAAAAAACAACAATAAAGAAAACACCGCTTAGACAAACGTGTAAAACATACCGGTATATACCACCTATACGGCGAGGCCGAACAAAGAGAAAGAAGCGCATGTATGTATATACCCCCCAACCCCCCCTTTCGCGAAGGGCGAGGGCCGCGGGGCCGCGGGATATCGAGGCATCGAATAGAAACCATGCGTGTAGACGAGTCTCCGGTTTCCTGCCCTGGATGTTTTCAATTGTCCGTTCACCTATCTACGTGTAGAGACTACCAGGGTTTTATAGACACGACCTCTCTCTCTCTCTCTCCGTCATCCACGCCCCCCCCTTTATCCTAGTCACCCCTTCACGACCCCAGCAGCGACAACCTCTCCAATCCCGTGATGACGGGGGGCTCCTGCTTCCTCCACGCGGCCTCGAGGTTCTCGTAGAGCACGGCGTCTGCGCCTACCGGCCGCCAGGCCGCCTCTCCTCCTCCTCCCTCCCTTTCCCCTTCGTCGCCCGTCCTCTCGGCCGCCGGAGGCCCCTTGCTCTCGGCGCCGGCGACGACGACGACGACGAACACTTCCGCGATCGCGGCTCGACACCCCTCGATGACTTCGGCGGCGAGGGCCTCGAGCGCGCGCGCCCGCTCGTGCATGCCGCGGCGCGCGAGCCCGGACGCGAGCCGCTCGGCGTCGGGCTTCGTCGCCTGCACGCGCTCGACGAGCCGCCGCACGCTGTTGACGAGGTACTCCTCCTCGTAGACCGTGCCTTTGCGGCCGCGCGCCCGCTTCTTCTCCTCGCGCTTCCGGCTCCGGCTCGTCGCCCGGCTCGCCCCCGTCCCCGTCGTCCCCACGCTGCCCCCCTTGCCCGTGTACCGCGTGAATAGGCTCGCGTTCGTGCTGATGCGCGAGCTCGCCGCTACCGACACGTCGTCCGGCACGTTGTCGCCGTCGCCGCCGCCCGCGCGCTCGCCCTCGTAGAAGCCCAGCGGGTCCTCCGCTGCCTTGCGCCGCAGCTCTAGTATCCGCGGCACTTGCGCGCGTAGCTGGGCCTTGCAGTCCGCGAAGAATTCGGTGCTGCTGCTCAGCGCCTCCGCTAGTCCTAGATCGACGGCTGTACCGAGGAGCTCAGGACGCCCACGCTGCACGGCGATACGCATCGCGTCGGCGAAGAGGTACCCTTTGCACAGGCACGAGATCGCATTTTCGACTGCATTGAGGTGATCGAGGTGGATTGTAGCCGCCGAGGCGTAGTCCTTAGCCTCGTAGAGTGCTTCTGCGAGGGTTCCGGCAAGGTCCCTGAGTGCGTCGGGCCCTAGAGGCGGCGACTGTTGTTGCGCCGTGAAGAGACATTCACGCCAGCAGGATGGCCCGGCGGCACGGTAGCACCTAGTAGCTCCTGTGTAGTCATGGAGGGACTCGTAGGCGAGACCCGCTTCACGGAACCGGGATCTGGACTCAAGGTACGAAGCGTAAAGGCCCATGAGTATGGTTAGGTTCGATTGGTCGTAGCGGTAAAACTTTAGGGCGGCAGCGTAGAGGGCGTGCTTGACTGTATATTCCTGTGCCTCCTTGTGCGACGGTATCGACTGGAGATGAGCTAGGGCTTTCTCATGCCGGCCGAGGTGATCGTCGATGGCAAATTTCCGTCGTAGTTCGGGCAACTGATGCAAGTTCTGTATAAATGGGAGATATTCACGAGGATCTCGTTGCGACTGTTGCGCAACTAGAAGTGCTAGGTCCAGATGGTAGACACCGAGAGCTTCGTCATATAAGACGTTGACATCTGCAAGGAAGCAAATATGTTCGACAGCCTTCTCGGCTAGCTGCTCAGCCTCCTGCATTATAGCTGAAATAACTAACAGCCCATCTTCATATGCCGGCGGAGTTTTGCAGATATTGGCAGTGATGGTATTCTGTAGTGTACCATGATCCTTGTTTTTGCGCGCCCGGAGATGAGAGAGTACGGCATCGCAGATTGTGTTAACTTTTGAAGTGCCCTGAGTATCTCTGATGGCAACCCCATTCAAATGTGCTTCCGGTTGCTGCAGAGTTTGTATGGTCTTCGTGTCCCTATACATCGTTTGTGTGACATCCTCATTTCTATATCGTGTTAGAGGGATGGGATTGGGGATGGGATAGGGGTGAGCTCACCGTAAAGACGAGAGGAAAATATCGATGTATGAGACGTCGCCGAGTTGGTCCAGGAAGAGCCCAACATCAGCAAGAAACTGGTGAGGGTTGTGGTCATAGAGAATATTCATGTCCACGCGCTGAGTCCGGCAATACGAATACGCTTTTCCATAGTCTTTGGTGTCGATCAGGTGTCTGATTCCTGCCACGACCATAGCCCGGGGATATATCGTTTCTAGATTCCCCCGCGGCATCTGAAGAACTAGATTCATCGTTGTGGGCATCGCCGTGATAAGTCGTGCTCCTCTCTCAATGCTCCGACACCTTTCGTCATTTTCGGGGTCGTCGGGGGGCACCTCCAGACCTGCGTCGACGCATTAGCCACCAAGTGCCCTCGACAGGAGTTCGGCCACTTACCAGCTAGATCGACCAAGTGAATGAACTTGATTAAATGATTACTAGTTGTAACTATGAGGTGAGCCGGTGTGATGAGGAAAGACGTGCAACCCTTTAGTAGCAAACGAGAATTTGCAAAGAGATGTCCATATCTAGACAGTCCTACGGCGACGATGCTCCCGGCAAGATCGACGACCTCGCTCCACGGGAATTGCGCAGGAAGACGTGCCGAATAAAATTCATCCCGCTGATCGGGCACACCATGAAGCCCGCCGAGACAGTCTTGAAGAAGCACACCAGTGGAACCTGCTTGGGTAAGGCGGACGAAACCAAACATTGATCCTGCATATATACTCGTGCTGGATGCGAATTCGCCGGTGGCTCGATCAAGGGGGTGGGACCGAACGGCTGCCCTCGTCTCGAAGCCTAAGCAATGAACGACGCTATTCTCGGTGATAGAAATTTGTAAGGGGGTCCATTCCTCACCCGGGTCATCCTTAGAAAAAGTCACATTTCCTACCAGAGCCGGTACTAGAGAGCGTTGCCCTTTGGTTTTCCATTCGTACACGTCTACGCCATGTTGGTGGAGGATAGCCATGAGTGTGTTGGCGGGAGAGAACGCCACGTCAATAATAGGCGACGGTGCTTGAAGCTCGAACAGCGCCATCGGGGGAGGCACGTTAGCCGTCCGAAAAGAGGTCAGCTTGAGCGTTTCGCCGTCGATAACGGCGACCGCGCCGTAATCGCATGGCGGCGTCAGAGACCCGCGAATTACCTCGAACACGTACTCGGCAAGCCACAGCTTACCTATAACACGACTTAGCATCGGAAGCACGTCCATGCGTACTCAGGCCTACCTACCTGACATAGCAGCCGTAAAGCGCAACGGCTTCTCGGGGTGCCAGGTGAGGCAGAGCGGCCGGCTCCGTGTAGAGATTTCCTGTTTTAGATACCAATGATAATTGCCCATAGTCCACAGCTGAACACGGTCATCAAGAGCCACGGCTAGAACGGTGGAATCCGAGTTCCACTGAAGCTGAATCTGGTCCCCTGCCAGCACTCTGCCTTCAGGGGCTCTCAGGGAGAATTGGCCGTGTCTGAGACCATTTCTCTCGAAGAAGATAACGTCGACGCGGTCCTCGAGGCGCTGTATGCCGGCGATCAAATTCCCGGCTGGCCTCCAGCTCAGGGCGCCGTCCATGCCATCAACTGGCTCACTAACACTGTCAAGTACCCCATCTCGAGAGTACACTCGGATGACGCGGCGGATACCTGCCTCGAGCGAATTGACGGCCACGTAGGCGCCGTCTCCCCTCCAACTGATGGCAGTACTGCCATCATCGTAGGGACTGAGCACGCCCTGGTCCACATGCTCTGGTATGGTTGGGTCCCTTAGGGCTTTGGCACCTCTGCCTTGGAACTGGGTCTCCTTCTTGCCCCAGCCGACGGATACATGCTTGGATGCTTTGAGGTCGTCGGCAGTCAGAGTCACGTCGGTTATGGGATCGAAGCTGCGGCTCATAAAGACGACCGTATTCGCGTTGGTGGCGACAGCCAACAGCTCTCCGTCCGGGGACCAGCCTGCGGCAGCGATACCCTCGTCGATGGAACCTACGATCTCGACGTGGACTTGGTCTCGGGGAGTCGGCCCCTCCGACTCCTGGACGACAACTATGTCTCCACCGGCTAGTACGAGACATGTCGTGAGAGTATCGCCGAAGTGATGCAAATTCACGATCCTGTCGACAGCCAAGTCTGGACTGGGACTCAAAGCATCCCACGATGCGACCTCCAGCCACTCTCTAGAGGGGGGGGGCGCGGGCGTCGGTCAGCAACGAGGGTGTCGGACGTTGCCGGGAAATGGTGTGAACTCACATGTCCAGGGACGAGGCCGTCGCATGTTCCGAGATCCTCAGTAGACGGATGCGGCCCTGTTGCTCGCTTGGGCCGAGAGTACATAGAACCTCATCTTTTGCAGGGTCCCAGCATCCGGATGTGATGGTCTCTCCTTCTAGGTCGGCTGGCAATTTCCAGGAATTATATCGAATGTTGCGGAGATTGCGCATTGTGCACACACATACATGCAACCCCCTCGTACGAGCACGAGGAGCCGACCGGGGAGGTGGGTGGGTTATGATGCTGTCTCGGCGCAGCCTACAACGCGGTCGACGACAGGTGACATGGGCCTTGGGTTGGCTGTCAGGTGCCTACATTAGATGTAGGGATGAATATAGGGACTCTGGGGATGTTGGTATGTCGAGAAGACGGACTTGATCTGTCTGCCTCTATACAGAGACTCTTGTGGTCAAACTTTTTCTATTTTTTAAAAACACTGTCTTCCGCACTATGAGTACATACAAGGCCAGTAGGAACCTTAGGCAGGAAGTGTAGGCATGTACCACGTAGTACCTACCCACCCAAGAAACCTAATGTGCATACAGAGGCGCGCTTTCGGATATCCCCCTGGGTCGGCTTATGGAGGCGAGGTACGGCGCGATACGATACGGTACGGTGCCTAATCGCGGCATTGGTGGAACTTCCGACCGAGGTAGTGTGTGTGCTTAAAAAAGGCATTTATTACGTGCATCTTAGTGCTCCTCTTCCCTACAACGTAGGTACCTCAAGGAACAGCATCCCTCCTTATTAAGAGCTCGCTCCGCGATGGGTCGGCGGACCTCGGGAAGGTCTCCTACTTCTCGCCTGTCTGCCGGCCGCCGGATGGAGCTGTCTCGTCAGGCATACCCCCCCCCCTCCCCCCTAACGTTACATGCAGCTCGAGTTGCGGTGGTGCCGGAGCGTAGCGCTGGAGCGTAGCGCAGCGCCAGCGCCAGCGCAGGTGTGCAGCACCTAAAGCTGCCTAGGCGTCCACCTAAGTTTAGGTAGCTTTATAGGCTTCACCCCATACCTTGCCGAAGTTCGCCCTTGCCGGGGGGGGGGGGGGGGGGGGGGGGGGCAAAAAGAAGGGGTGATCTGCAAGTCATTTTTTCGCAATTCCACCCCAGCTCTGTCCCTCTACACGTGTATACCTGTTTACGTACCTACGTGGTACCTGCCGGTTACCTGCCGCGCCCCATATAAGCCCTAAGACGCCGCCAAGATGTCCCTAGAGAGAGGTAGCAGCAAAGTACCTGGCTAGGTACCTATCGCGCTATCGCGCTGGTCCGTCCCGTATTCGGGTTGGCTTGGGAGCAATCGCTTCGACAATTTCCTTCCGCAACCACCCACCGCCCAAACTTGCCTATTAATTCACCTACTACCGATGGATTCAATCTGTCCCGTCTAATTCTGCAAGGCTCCCCTTCTCTACACATCCCTAACGCCCATCCCCCGTCTCTACTGCTAATCTTCGTCTGATGCTGCGCCCGAATCCTGGTCTTGGAATACCTGCGACCTAACCTACCTGCCTGCCGACCTGCCTGCCTGCCTGCCCTGCCGGGAGACCCCGAACCATGGATGTCGCGTACAAGCAACACGCCAACCAGGCGCGCCGAAAGAACAGATCCTCCACCAACCTCCATCACCTCTCCCTCGCACCCCTCACGTCCAAGTTCCCTCTGACCGATCCCGAGGCTCTCCCCGATTTCGTCGCGCCCCCCATCCGGCACAACGTCTCCTACCTGCAGGGCAAGTCCGCCCCCACGACCCCCAGGCTGCTCCAGTCTCCCTCCCGAACCCGAGGCAACTCGCCCAACCGCCGCCGCTCGTCTGTCCACGAACCCCTGGCCGCCAAGTTGCCTAAGAGCAAGTCTACCACTCACCTCGCCTCCGCCAACGCGAAGCGTGCTAGCTTGGGTGCGCTGTCTCCCCTCTCGCGAGGCCGCGGGCCGTCCGGCGCTAAGGAACGGGGACGCGGTGATCGCGCCGACCGGAGCGACAGCGATTGGATGTTACGTGCCGGCGCCCTGCTCAGCTCCGAGGCGCGCGAGTCTAAGGGGCAGGCGTGGCTCGTGTCGCGGGCGAGCTCAACCAGCTTGAGCGGCACGCCCGACGTCGACGAGGACGCGTACGAACGGGAGCTGGCCAGGGAGAGGGAGCTCGCGAGCAGGCGGGACAGTCGCCGAGGCAGCACGGCCAGCGCCGACGGCGATGTGGTCTCCCAAGGCAGCCGCTACGGCAGCCGCTCCCACAGCAGAGCCGGGACCAGGACGCGCCCGCGGACGCCCGTCGAACGCCATGCGCACGACGGCTACTTCGGGCCCGATCTCTTCGCGGCGGGCGACGACTCCGTGCAGGGGCCGGACTTCGTCGGCCTCGACGAGAAGCTCGAGGCCTTCAGGATCGACGCGGACGAGTCGGACGAGGTCGCCGTTCGGAGGCTCGTCAGCCAGAAGGGTGGCGGCGTCATGAGCTCGTGGATGTGGTCGCTGTTCTCCGTCGAGGAGGGCGAGGACGAGGACGAGGACGACGGACCCGACGTATCCGACGGCGAGACGGAGGATAGCCACGTCCCGCGCAGCGCGAGTACGGCGGACCTCGAAGGCGCAGTCGGCCGCCCGGAGGCGCACATCCCGCCCCCGAAACCCGACGAGGGTGGCTGGCAAGATGCCGCGTGGCTCCTAACCGTGGCGTCCCGAGTGTTGTTGTAAACGAGGAACGAAAGCAGAGAAATTCCTAAAGGCGAGAGGTGGCCCCTCTGGTTGGATTCCAAGCTCCACGGGGGAGGGGGGGGGAACAGGTGCCTACATAACACTGCATTCATCCCCCGGGGCTGCGTAATGCCCGTTGGTCCCGTTGGTAGAAAGATGCACGATGCTTTTTTTCTCTCCTACTTAGCTATCCTCTCTTCCCACGTTGGGGCGTGACACTGCAGCTGCACCGGGAATGTCCGTTCTGTGGACTCCTCCCACCCTTTTCCCCCACTGGGACGGGCGTTGGGAAGCCCGGAAGGAGGATCTACATATGGATTGGGGGTATTGTATTTAGGAGGTCCGAGAAAAAAACACAATGGAAAAAGAGAGATCCGGTTGCTCTAATAATACTGACCTGTACGTCGTTATCGGCCCTCAAAAAATACAGAATGACCGATTCCGGCATATGTCTACCATGTTAGTAAGAGCCCTGGCTTCAGAATTCCAAATGGTTATTCCGTGGGCTGATGGACCGAGGGTGTGTGTGTGTGTGTGGGTGGGTGGCCGGGGGGGGGGGGGAGGGGGGTCAAACAAAAACTACCAGTTAGAGCGGACGGAAAAGATGTTACTTGCCGACATGTTACATACATACACATACACAGCAGACGCTCCTCGCTGCTACGGGACCGCTTACTACCGGGGACTGCGGCCATCGCTGGCGGGGAGGGAGGGAGGGAAAGGGGAAACAAAAAGTCCAGGCCACGACGATATGGATAGGACCCGGCCAATCCTTGGACAGAACTGCTCAGCTGCTGTTAGAACGTAGTCAGGCGAGGGAGGGGAACCGGTCGAATCAGGTCTTGGTATATCACCCCTCCCCCGAGTCACAGCACAACGGCCCTAGGATACATACCAGCCGGCGTGGCATCGCGGCGGCAAGATCCTGTGTAGTCGTGACATCGAGATAACCTTAGTTCCCAATAGCGCGGGCAAATGCGCAGTCGGGCTCCTTGGCCCAGGGTCCCTCATCCCGACAACCTCCGACTGGACTATTCTGACTGACGGTGGGAATCAACCCACCGGCTTGCGGGGAGATGTTGTGCTACCTAGCTATGTATATGCGTTGGTGAGATAGGGGAAGATGAGGCATAGCACGATCAGGCCATGTTGAAAAGACGGAGACCCACGGCAGCGGTAGCCCGGAAGCTCAGGTTTCGTGCCCCACCCCGCCTCCTTCGAGTTGGGGGGGATTGGGGTCTAGACACGGACAGATTATCCATAGCTACCTACCTGCCTACGTATATATATATATGTACGTGTGTGTCTGGTGTCTGGTGTGTTGGTGTGTGTGTGTGGGCGTGGGCGTGTGTGTATACGTACATCCATATGTAGGCAGTGCGACATGCAATGCCGACACCTGACGGCACGAGTTTTACGACGCCATCGGGCTTTTTTTACAGGCTCCTGGCCGCCGGCCCCGTCGACCCCCGATACCCCAATGAAGTGGCCGTATTGGGGATGGAGGCATGCAGTTCGTGCGTAGTGTGCCGAGGGGCTATTCTTGGGGAATACCTAGGTATGTCCAGATCGCAGCCGGGTCGCCAGCAACCGAGCGTCGCGGAGGCGGATGAAGATGGTCTCGACTACTATGGACTAGGAGGCGTAACCATACAACTTCATCGTGTTGCAGCGAGCGTAGCAGCGTGCGGATTCGATCTGTATGTACCCTCCTCGTTCGCATCTAGCCTCTAGCCTCGGGTCTAGGTGGGTTCGCGGTCCATAGCCCGGAGCGTTACCCGCCCTGAACCTCCCTATAAGCTCGTACTCGGGCAGGGTGCGCACGACACTGTGCTGTGGCACGTCACACGGAAATCCAGGGTCTGGATTATGACGTTTTTCTTCCAGATTCGGAACCCCACCCTCATTATCAGATTTGGAGGGACGCAAAAGAGCTTCGAGAATTATAAAACAACGTGATCAGCCTCTCGGTGCAGGGGTGTAACGGGCCACGGGCGGGCTAATAGGAGCACCGCGTCCGCGACACAGTGGAGAGAGGATGCATAGCGTACAAGCCATGTAGGTAGGTAGGTAGGTAGGTAGGTAGGTAGGTAGGTAGGTAGGTAGGTAGGTAGATATAGAGTATTGCGTACCTCTTGATCGCAGGTAGCTCCCACGGCCTGTCAGTTGACCAAGGCAAATGCAGATGTAGCCACTAAACGAAGAGGCCGTTCCCGCGCTGCCCTCTGATCTGGCCACCCATCTCAGGGGTCCTAGATCACGACATGACCTATTGAGCCACGCCTCTCTTGTAACTTTTTCTTTTGTTCTTAGCTACCGGCGGATGGGTCTCTGTCTCCTTTTGTCTGCCTGTCTTGCCGCCCGTCTCTCTGGTTTCCGTGTCGCCTGGTGGTGGGCGCAACCGCGCCTCCGTTAACTGCATCCGACTTGTCCATTGGCCCGAAGGAGGTCTTGTGATTGTTCAAAGACGAAGAGAATACCTAATAGATAGATAAGAAGCAGAGAATGGGAGGAGCAGGCGCCGGGATATTGGCTGGCTCGTTCTCATCACATATCTCTCACATGGGCCCCGCGGTGGCTATGAGGACGAGGGGTGGTAGGCCTTTCGAATGAAACGTCGAAAGAGACGTGTGGTAACAATTGGGACTGCGGCCTCTATAGCCGAGTGCCGTGCTCGACTGACTACGCACAGTAGCACGATGCCATGCTCGAAGTGACTGCTCTGTTAGCACGACTCTTTAACTCCGTCACATACTTAATGAGAGTTGTCGTCACTATATTGCATTCGGCGGGTGGCACAGGACCGGAGTAGTAGCACAATGAGCTGATACGATTAGCTTGGCGGAACGCGGGCATGCAACCCAGGGTCCAAAGCGTTCCACAAGGTCAAAACGCAAGCAAGTAGACCGGGGAGCATGCAATATCGTAGAAAGGGTGCGTCAACGCCGATCATAGAAGATTCCAGCGATGCTTATTATGCCGGCGCGGGGGGCGTTGCGAGCTTTTCCGTCTCTCCCGCTTCTCTCTCCTCGTCAGAGCTGGGCCGTACTGACGGCGGATATTCACTCAGATTTGCGACGGGAATCAAACGAACCGGGGATACCCGGGGTGAGATTTTTGAGGTCGCGCTCGCGCGATGCGATAATAGTAACAGTAAAAAGAACAAGAACAACAATGCCGATTAGAGCAGCGATGGGAGTAGTAGTAATAGTAGTGGTGGTGGTGGTGGTGGTGGTGGTAGCAATGGTGGTGCTGGCAGTGGTAGGATAGCCAGCGACAATGGATGATACTAGGTACTTAGTGTGCTTAGAGGCTATGTAGGATTCGAGATCATCGAGCGCCGAAGAAGGACAGAGGATGGTCGACCTGAGAAGTGTATCTATCAACCGCAGCCTTTCGTTATCCTACGTTGGATCTCGCGAATCCTTGATCGTGGTGGAATTACGCCGGTTGTTGGGTACGCTGGTGTTTAAGGCAGGCAGGCATAGAGGTACCCTGTATTGCACAGATTTGCTTCCGATAGTGGTGTTAGCCCGGAGGCCGTGCGGATAGAGCTTAACCCCCGGTATAGATACCTCTTAGTTACCGTTGCCGCTGGCAAAGACCATTATACAGATAGGGCGTGCTATGTACCGGATTGTACCAGGTATGCGGTAGGCGTGGTGTACGTAGGCCGTAGCTGCCTTGTATAAGACCGGCCCGCGAGCGTCGTCGCCCACGAGATGGTAATTCGGCAGGTAGGTACATCTACGTGTAAAGCACGGAGGTCGGTTGCAGTGCCCTCGAGGCAGGCTGGGTGGGCGCAAGGGGCAATACGTATTTTCCACGCGCGGAGACGGCCTCTCATTGGCAATCCTGTCTGCTGGCTGGGGTGATGATGGATGGCTAGATTTTATTAGGTCGTACAGTAGTCGGCAGACCACAAGGACAAGTCGAGACTCGGTATAAATGTTGCTTGGGGTTACTTTGAGAAGTCGATAGTCGGTTCAAGGATTGCCCACCATATTTTAGACGTTCTATTTTAGCCACTGGGAAACGGAAGATATCGATCTCATATGGAAAGGTTGTGATATTTGCAGATTCCCAATCCGGCATCCACATACGGGAGCCCATGGGAAACCCATAGAGGCGGCCTGCTGCGTAGAGCCTAGCGCTCCTCCGTGCGGTTGCATACCTAGTTACCAACTGCCTACTTGATCGCACGCGTGGATGGTTCCGCACCCAGTGACGTTGTCTGAGACCTTAACGGGGAACCCCTACGGAGCTCATCAGGCAGAGAGAAAGGATGGGTTTATTGCATACCTCTCTCTATCCGCCTCCGTCCGGCCGGCATTGGGTAGTTTACATTACCTATATTAGGCGCCTCGCGGGGGGGTTCGGCAGGCAAACCCTGAGTTGCCTTAGCGAAATAGGCAAAGTAAGGAGGCGTCGTTCACTACCTCCTAGCATTAGGGGGCCCTACGGGCAGGTGGGTACAACAATCAAGGCATGCACGTACGGTAAGGAGATACCCGGTAGGGAGAGCAGGTACATCCGCCTGCGGGCCCCTGACGTGGTAGTGCAGGTACCCTGCCTGCTGCTTTCTGCCTGCCTCCTAAGGAGGCGGAAGGTATGGTTGAATTATGTGTGCATGTAGGCGCTACGGAGATCCCCTTCTCTCTAAAATAGGTGCTTGCCTGTACCTACAGGTGCCTACCTACCTCCTACCTAGGTACCTACCTCTTAGGTACATAAGAGGCACCCCTGCCTGGCCTTCTGGGGGACCCCTCAACACTGCGACCTGCACCTTTCTACTGCCTGCTAGCCAGCCTAGACGCGCACATTTGTATATAGTTGTACCTTCTACCCGGAACCTCGTCTGAGAAAACACATGTCTCTCCAGTCCGGTCCCTTCCTTTAATTAGGTACCTACCTACCTACCTACCTTATGTATGTATGTAGCCAGCCAGGTGGGAGGTAGGCTTGTAGGCAGGTAGCTACTAGCCTCGACCGGCCTCACCCAGTCTTGGTACCAATGATTCGGCGGCAGAGGTGCCCCTCCCCTCCTCTTCCCTCCTCTTCCCTCCCTCCATCTATGCTGACAGCCTGTGAACAAAGTGAAGACTGGACCTCAAGCTCACCCTTCCTTCGGAGAGAAAAAAAAATGAGAGAGAGAATGGGAGAGGAGAGAGGGGGACGGAGGGGGAGAGAGCGATACCTACAGCACACGTCCCCAGCCTACCTACCTAGGCACCTACTTCATACACGCCCACCTAACCTCCGACATCACCTGTCTCCCTCCTTCTTATCCGTATGTTGGCCGAAGCTACATCCCCTACCTACCCTACCTATTATGTAGGTACCTACTTCATAACATCACAACATACACTGTGTGCGACTTGTTGCCTACCCGTACCTACCTAAGTAGGTACCCCGTCAGATCAGCCATCAACTCAGTCACTCCCACCATCGTCCCCTACCGATAGACCCCACCTAAAGGCTCCTCGATCAACACTAGAGTGGTTAAATCGCCGCGGTTTTTTCCCCAAAGCCACCCACACGACCTTCTCCCCAAGCTGAATTCAACCAATTCCCCTGCTCCCTTCTGTGACTCGTGGGTTTACCTCGTCTCGAAGGGCTCTTCTGTCGCGATATTCCTTCTCTCCTGGTCCTCCGATACGTGTGGCCTCTTAAAAGAGTACACCCTTTCCTCCCCTCCCTCCCCTCCTTCTCCTCCTCCTTCTCCTCCTGCTCCTCCCCATACCGCACAGCCCAACATCATGGCTGCCAATGATCAGGTATGGATGAGATTTTAGCGTCGATTCCTCGCTCCCTTTCCCTCTTAGAAGACGGCCGATAAGACGGAGGCTAACGAGCGGCGCTCCCGCCCGCGCAGAATGATGATGGCCATGACACCAGCAACTTACCCGATCTGGGGGATGCGATCGACATCGTGACCTTTAGCCAGATCCTCGAGATGGACGACAGTGAAGACGACCGGGAATTTAGCAAATCTATTGTCTACGGTTTCTTCGAGCAAGCCGAGGAGACCTTCGAGAAAATGGACACGGCTCTGTAAGTTCGACAGGGACCAGACGTTTTCGCCCTCGCGACCATCGGTTCTACTCTACTACTACTATAACTACTACTGCTACCACTACTACTATTACTACTACTATTACCACCACCACCACTGCTGCTGCTGCTGCTGCTGCTGCTGCTACTACTGTTGTTCGACGGCAACCTCCATCAGAGCGCGCTCTGTAAACCCTCAAGGCTAATCCGACCCTGTTGTCTAGGGAGGCTCGGAATCTCGATGAGCTGTACCGACTCGGCCACTTCCTCAAGGGTTCCTCTGCGACCCTCGGGTTAACCAAGGTTAAAGACAGCTGCGAGAAGGTACAACGGTACGGCAAGAAGGAGGACCTCGACGGCACGCCCGTGAAGGATGAGACCGTCTGCATTACCCGAATTACGGAAACGCTCAAGACGCTCAAGGGGGAGTACGCCGACGTAGAAAAGACGCTCAAGAAATTCTTCAACTCGACTTAACCATCGACTGCGGGGCTAGACAGGTGGTACTTTGGGTTGCGCTATGCGGCCGTCTACGCGACTACGACTATCGGATGGGCTCATTTGTGGTTTTTATTTTTATTTTCTTCATGACGCATCCTTAGCTGGGGAAGGATGCTTCGAGCACCTCGAAAAACAACGAAGGCGGCTCGAAATTTTTCAGGGGGGAGGGGAGGGGAAGGGAGGGGAAGGGAAAGGAGGGGGAGACAACAGGTCATCATGCCTAACTATCAGTTGACTTCTAATATACCCACGCCTGCTCCTCGTACCCACGCATCTCGGCAAAGCTAAGGACTAGTAGGCAGAGAGAGAAGAGGCTGCGTTCTGCGGTGGTCTTATTAATAGTAAGTGGTCGATCTCGCGCATACTGGAGCCCGACGCAGGGTATAGGACATGTTGGGCGCCCTGCCGTCTGGGTCTGGTCTTGGGAAGTGCCGAGCTTCTCGCGGCCGGGCGGGCACGGTGCGCTGGGTGAATACAAGCTGGAATGAAATCTCTATCAATTCCCCTCCTCGTATCTCGTTATTATACCTCTGGGGTAGCTTTGCTTCTGCGCTGCAGAGGTTGGGGCGGCCAAAAATGCGCAGGCAGAGAGAGAGAGAGAGAGAGAGAGAGAGGGACGGATTTTCTCACGCCTGCGCATCTTGACGTACCTCGCTACGTCATAACCTAGTTGCGCTCATTTGGTGACGCACGGCTTCCCGGTGCTGCGGTGCTCCCTTATTCATATACGGCCAACGCACCTCTTCCGTTTTCCAATCTGAAAAGGGGGTTCCTAACTCTACCCAAATCCCACCGCTATATAATTATTTTCCCATAGCCGGCTGGGGAGATGCGTGCGAAGCAGGTTCCTAGGTAGGTGTCTGACACGTCTCGGGCCCTACTCTGTGTCCAAAGAGATTCCAGGCTGAGAAGGGGGGGGGGGGGGTTCTTGGTCGTCTTCACCCCTCCTCACCCCTCCTCACCCCTCCCCCCCTCTCTCGACACGCTTGCTTGGGTTTTTCGTGCTCGAATTGAGGAGGGTGATCGGACGTTGCAGAACCGCATTGACCAGGTAGACGGATTGCACCTGGAGCCATCAGCTCAGCACCTACTTCTCAGTCTGGAGATCTCGGTAGGTAAGTTAGGGGGCACCTCTGATTGATTCTAGGGTACCTAGGCACGCGGGTCCGTAACCTGCAGCCAGGGAATATTCGGAGCCTTCAAAGCTCGAATCTTCGCCCACCTTGGGTACCCTCAACCCTGTGCCGGACGCGACAAATATCTTACCTAGGTATATATATATGCGTACACACAATACTGGAGTAAGATATTCACAATTCGTCCCGGGTCTGCGCTGCTACCTCGTGTTATCGTGTGTACCTTCAGGACTACTACCTACCTAACGCATACCCATACCTGAGTTACCTCCCACGGTAAACTCTCCTGTCCCTCTGCCTCTCCCCCCCCCTTCTTTCTTTCTCCTGCGGCGCGTCTATGCGGCAAATATTGCCTGCTAATCTACGGGCGCCTCCTAATCTACAAGTCTCGTTGCCTGTTCTAACCGGTACATTCGTTGCCTCTGTGCCGGCTTCGTACCGTGCGTTGCATCGTTGCCCCCTATTACATACATACATGCCCTAGGTACCTACCTACCTACATACCTACCTCAGGTGCCTCCTCCACAGGCGTTAATTATTAATACTACTACCACCTACTACTACCTGGTAGACAGACAGCTGCGCGCCTAACCATAAAGGGATGAATAAGCATTGGCCATCGTTGCGGGATTACCAACCTAGGCACGGGTTTTGGCCGGCCTTGTAAATGTCTACAAATGAGGCTCTCCTAGACTAGATTCTATCCCTGCTAAGCGACGAAAGAGAGACAAAGTACACGAAGGGAAATTTCAGAGGAAACCAATTGCTTTCACAGATTGCTGCATTCGCGTGGATAGTGTCGGGAAATATGCCTCCACGGCCGGTGCCCACACATTTCCTGTGCTTGCCGCTCGTTACGGGAACGTCCCGCCTTCAGCTCTCAACCAGTCTATCCACCTTTAGCACTGATGTGACTAGCCCAGACAGCTTCGCCATACCGGAGCAAGCTGTCCGGCCGCTCGGTACGCTTCATTTGACGATTGGCGTTATGAGCTTCCCGAAAGACGAAGGGCTGGAGAAGGCCGTAGAGCTGCTGAAGACGTTAGTGCCCAGCAGGATTTTAGGGAGCGTTAGAGAAGCCGCCGCTACCATATTACAGGCCGACGCCTCGGCCGACCCGGCGGTTACAAAACCTACTCGAGAGCCAGGCGACGAGGGAGCCCGGCCGCCGCCCTTGTTGCCGGTGACATTAAAGGGCCTACACTCGATGCAGCCGTCGGCGTCTAAGGCGTCGGTGCTCTACGCGCCGCCGGTCGACACCGATGGAACTTTGCGGCGCTTCTGCGAGCACTTGCGGTCCGTCTTCCAGGAGGCCGGGCTGATGACGGCGGAGGAGCGGCCGCTGCTCCTGCACGCCACCATCGTCAACACGATATACGTCAAGGGGCGGGACCGGAAGGGCAAGGGCAAAGGCAAGGGGCGCGACAAGTCGACCATCGACGCGCGGGGGATCCTCGACCGCTACGACGACTTCGTCTGGGTGGAGGACGCCCCCCTCGACAAGATCGCCATCTGCAGGATGGGCGCGAAGAAGCAGGACGACGGCGACGAAGCGTACGAGGTCGAGGCGGAAATTGATATCGCTTAGCGCTCAACGGTGATGTCGGAATCGGATTGTGAGAACCTACCTATCTCAAAATGTGAACACCTAGGTACCTAGGTAGATTAAGTATCTACTAGGCACCTAACCTACAAGTGTCCACGTCTGCGGCGAGGAGTATATCATCCACCGACAGGTAAGATCCACGATGCAGGCGGTCTCACTTGGGTACCTCCGAGCAGATCGGAAGGGTGACGCCAGGTATCTGTTGCGATCGAGGCTGCAGCAGCAGGCATCTCCAGGATTGGATACAAGGATAAATGACAGGCACTTAAGCCGTACATCCGTATATCCGAACTTAAGCCGCCAGCCCAGGTCCACCCAGCGTGTCGAGCTGCGCCGCGTTGCTGGAAATAGGAAACCATGGCATTTCCCGTGTTCCTCCCGCTGCGCTGGCGACCTCAAGCCGACGTGCCCGCCGCACCCACACGCCAGGTTACGCAGGTACACGTGAGTACTCAAGGCAGAACCCTCGAGCAAGTCATGTGTCGCCTGGTAAATTTGCTGCACGCCATTTCCTCCCCGCGACATCTTCTCTGGCTGTATCCCTGCGCCCGTCCTCTCCTCGAACCCTCGACGTCATGAGCCCGCCGGACAAGCGACGTGGCAATTCGCATGCCGTCCGCGCTTCGGGCTCCTCGCGAAGCACCAGCATAATCTCCGTCCCACCCCGCGCCCAGCTGACGGGCGCCGTCTCTTCGTCCCCCTCGCCCGGCTCGGATCATAACGGCACGCACGATGCTACAACTTTGGGGGGCAAGGACGGCGGCACGTCCCTGGCCGCGAAGGAGAAGGAGAGCGCCTTGCTTCGGGAGAGGGACGACAGGATTGCGGAGCTCGAGCGGGAGCTCGCTACCATGGAGGTCGAATTCTCTCGGGAATTAGATAGACTCTCCCAGAAGAGCCAGCCATTCTTGCGAGCCGACACGGAACTGCGGTTACTGCGCGCAGAAGTCGAGGTCAAGGAAGCCGAACGAGCCGAGCTGCGCGAAGGCCAGGCCGCTTTGCAGAGAGAGCTGAGGGAGCGCGACGAAGAAATACGCTCCCTCAGGGGCCACATCGCCGGGCTCAAGCAATGGGTTAGCACGAGCACTACTAGGGGGGACCAGGCGAGCGATGAAGAGTTTGGGGACGCGATGGCAAAGCTCGGAAACGGCCTGCAAAATTGGGTTATCATGCACTTCCGACGGGCTAAGCTTAGTAGGATGGCTCGACAGCGCGTGAGGGATGGATCCTGTGAGCTAATGACGCCACAGATTTCGCCCGAGCAGACGAAGCAATCACCCAGGAGCTCGACGAGCTCGTGCCTATGTACGAGAAGCTTGCGGCGCCGGCCAAGGTGCATCTCCTGCAGAGTGTAGTATCCAGCATCTTAGTCGAGGCTATCTTTAATGCCTACTTTGTCGGCCTTGCCAAAGATGAAGCCGACCGCCTAGCTCGGGTAGAGCGGGATCTTGCGTCTCTCAGTACGCCACCCCGGGTCTGCCTCGGCGCGGAGCACTAACCCTTTCAGTAGCCTCCGCAGAATCGGTGAACCAATGGCGCGCGATGACGCTCACGATGCTTCGAAAGGAGGCCACGTCGAGGATGCGGGCGGAAACGGCGCTAACGACCGAATCCGTAATCACGAAAGTCAACCGCATATTTGACGCCATCACAGATGCTAACACGACAGATGCCCGAGATCAAGCGCTCCGTACGCTGGTAAATAGCTCTGTCGAATTGGCACGCTTGCTGGTAGTGCAGAAGGCCACATTCAAGGTCCACATGCCTAGAATTCTAGCCCACCAGATGATCCTATTCGAACCGTCTACCATGGAGGATATCGGAGCAGAAGACGAAGAGAGCCTGACAGACCGCGAGATATGCTGTGTCGCATTTCCCGGCCTTATCAAAATTGGCGACGAGAATGGCAGCCATCCGCAGTTCACGAATGTCGTAGCGAAAGCTAGGGTGCTTTGCGAGCCCAAATGAAATTCACCTGCCACGTTAGGATTAAGCGAGGCCGAACGAGGGTTACTTGAGCATTGTGATCGGGACAATCGAGTTTAAGCCGGAAAATCCAGCATCCTGCGACGTCTATACTATGGTATGTCGACGCCTCGCCTTCCGCCTAACTGGGTATCGGAACTCGGAAACGCGCACAACAATTATGGATCGTGAAAAAAAAAAACATCGGCAAGCCAGGATGTGAAGTACCGTGCGGCCCGCCACGGGGCTTTTTTTTTTTTCGCTTAAAACTCCGAATTCTCTACGGTATGTCTCGTCATTGCGAGGACGTAGGCGGGCAAAGGACCCAGAGGGAAGGACGGGGGGAGGCATGAGTGGGGGAATTTTTGAGGCTCTGCTTCTCCGCTTTGCCACGGTACCCCCCCATCCCCCTTTGACCCTCCACCCACCCCGATTCTATGCATGTCGCCCTCCCCCTTCTCCTCAACGTGGACCACTCAATTTTGGTCCTCGCCATAGTCAAGGGTTGCGATGGGTCCCTCGCGCATGGATGTCTGATCCTTAAAGAACAAGAAAAGACAACTATTCAATACCCATGGCTATACCTACCGGTTTCCAACAGGGGAGCTAGGTATCCCGCCCGAGTTGTCTCCATCTTGCCACTGGATTGTGGCCTAGTGCTATATGGAGGCGTCTTTCCGGACTCGTAGGCGAACCGGCTTCGGTTCCAACTAGCTTGTCGATCTCACATACGTCGATGAGCAGTCGGTTGGATGCGCGAGTAGAATGTAGGTATAAGGTGGGAACCAGCGGGAGGCGTGAATAGCCCGAAGAGAGAGGGGTCTTACGGCGAGCGCACACGTAACACATAGACGGGCGACCTAGTGTCTGTCCTGGGCACACCAGGTCGTACGACGTCCTAGCTCGCGCTCAGTGATTGTGTCACACAACGATTTTTCGGGGATGAGAAGTGGTCGAGAAAGAGGGACCTGTTCTTGATGCGATGATGATTCTCGACCGCACAACACGAAATTTCCCGAGACGATCGGACGAAGGAAGGGTGGCTCACCTCGGGAGATATCTCGATAACCCTGCGGGGACATACCACGGCGGTGCCAGAGTAGTTCAAAAGACGAGCCGTTTGGCAGTTTTATCAGGGTCGACATCTCCGGAACCCGGTTTCTGCCTCTCTCTCCTCTGTACAAACCGAATCAGCCAATCCCCTCCGCCTTGGCTAGCCATACGGGACCGGTCTGAACTGTTAGCCCGCGCAGAGAAGAGGCTGCTCCATGACGCGGAAAAGGGGGTGGGGCGGAGGGGGGTGACGAATCCCGAGCACGGGCTCCCTATGTTAAGAGCAACTCAGTCTGGCCCAACTGACTCCGCGTTCCTCGCAAAATCCTCCCCTCCCCCGTCTGCAAACCAACGTGAGGTCGATTGGAGCAGAACGGGAGAAGGGGGTGGGTTATCTTGGGCTCCTTTGCAGAGCGTCGCTTTTCCGGTTCGAACCACGGATAGGTGCGAGCCCGGGCTACCTCGGTTTGAATAGGTAAATGGTGTCGCTACCGTCCTGGGTGGGTATCCACCCCATAACCGCACACCAGGTGGCATGCGGCCGGGTTCTCATGTTGTGACTCTTGTCACTGCGGATGAGGAGGCAATCTGATCATGCAGTAGCACCGGGGGGATGCAAGTTTGGGAGTAGGAACGCACGAGATGGAGGGTTCTAACAAGCGGCAAGGAGGATGAAAGCTGCGCTCTTTCGTGGGCCCAATAAGGGCCATAATACCCACGCACCCCTGCACTGAAAAAGCCAAAGCCAGTGAGGCTCTCTGGTCGACATGAGATTGTTATTTGAAGAGAACCCGCGGAGGGCCCCCTCACCCTCTTTTCCTTTTGGAAATTCCTCTTTCCCGAGAACTCTCGTATCCAGTTGGGGGAAAGGGCTGGACTTACCTCACCTCGCGCCAATCCACGCCAAATTTTGGCAATTCCCAAATCCTCTCTTCAAGATTGAACGTACCTGGACTCGCCGCAGCCACCCCCCTCGTGGCGTTAAATATACTTCCTTCCTTCCCCCCGTTCCCTCATCTGGATTGATAACGCTGTAGGCCCTTCGACCGATACCCGACCCCGATCATCGGTTCTGGTCCTGATTTGAAAGTTGATGCGTTCGTGCTCGAAGATTCGGCCTTGGAGTTGCGGCATCACTACTGCTGCCCGAGTGTCGAACATTGCAAGCTCGAGAAGCAGTTCCTACTGCCTGTCGAGGCGTGCCCACAAATATCTCGTACCACCCCCCCCTCTTGTCCTGATAGTAGCCTCGGGTTCCCCGCAAACACCTGGAAGAACCGTTGCGGCGTCGGCGTCGGCGTCCCTGTCATGTCGCATCAGTCCATAGTTCCCGTCGACGCCTGGGTTGAGGGTGCCGGCAATACCACTCGACAATTAGCATTCGCGCCGCCGATGGGTTCCGGCTACGCCGCGTCTCAGCAGCCCACCTATTCCCCGTTCCCTAGTACACCTCGGCACATACGCCCGCCCAGCCACGGGTCTTCTGCCATGACGGAGAGTACCCGATACAGCGCCGGCTTTTCTGCCACTCAATCGGTTAACAGCGAATATACGCAGGTCACCCACGACACCGCCGCCCGCCAAGAGCTTGCTTACCCCATGCCTATGTCGGGGCCTGGAACCCCTCTGTTACCGTGCGAGTTCGTGGGACTCGGGGGCTGCGACGAAAAGTTCGGTCTCGATGAGACGGAGGTCTGGATCCACCATATAACCGCCTTCCACCTGCGTGACCACCTCCCGTCCAAAGTCGACTGCTGGTTCTGCGATGACTTTCGCTTCAATGCCCAAAACGTGGGGAACGATCGCAGCCAGAACTTTCGGCAACGGTTGATGCACGTCCGCGAGCACATCCTGACCGAGGGCATGACGGAGCACGACATGCGCCCAGACTATGACTTTGCTAGGCACCTCCACAAGTACAACCTCATATCCGATGAGGTCCTCGCCCACATCCTGAACTGGCATGAGCTGCCGTGCCCCCGCTCTCACCTGGACCACATCCGCCCGCCCGGCTTCGTGCCGCCGGAGCGGGCCAGGGAGCGGGAACGCGCGGTGATGTTCATAATCGACGACGACAGGGAGAATCGGCAGCGTCAGCACCAAAGACGGCGTCGATAGCGTGGTTGCCGCCTCCGATATAGGAAATATATAGGAGCAGTAGGACTAGCATCGGCGCCAGCATGCTGTTATCGACTCCTTGACACGACGTCGGATTGCATAGAAAAGAAGGGAGTCCCGACTCGGTACGAGACGAGCAGTCGGGGTAGCGGGGAGGGTAAGGGGCGCCAAAGCATATGGAAAATATATTCTCGACTCACCTGGCTTGCCTTCTTTTACCTTGCCCGCCACGGCAAGGCAACGACGAGTCAGGCTAGCCATCATCGTCGCCATCGAAAGAGGGCGAGGCTCTTCGCCAACTAGGGCTTGTGGTCCTCCAGCCCCATATTGTCGACTTCAATTCCGTCTTCTGCCCCTTGTTCTTTTTTTTTTTTTTCTTCGAGTTGGTCTCGTTGCTCGGGCTGCACTTTTGCGCAATTCTTTTCTTCTTCGTTTTCTACCCTCGTTGTGGCAAAGGGTCACGTATAAGCTCGCGCACCAGGAGACGTCGCAGATGATAGCAGACAGAAAGACGGACCGGGAGGGCGGACTAGAAGGGAGAAAGGCAGGGAGCATGCTCGTCTCTTTTTTTTATTTGCTTCCTCTTCTTCCCTCTTTTCCCCAAACAGTCCAAGTCACACGTCAGGTGCAGCTATAGGCAGGCTCCAGAGTGGATCGTTGTCTCGCTGCCTGCAGGGGGAAGAGATCAGCGACTAGGCATAATCCATCCAGCCTTTCCCACCCGCCACCCTCCCCGGTTGGATTTGCTAGCCCGGCTGCACTTGCATGGACTATACAACCTCCCCGAGAGGCTGGGAACAGCTGAGAAATACCAGCCAGCGATTCACCGACTAGCCTCTGATGGGCCATCTTCCACCACTCTTCTCCCCCCGCTGGCTCTCTCCCTCCCTCTCTCTCGACGGGGCACCCGTTCCGATAGGACTCCTGACGCATGCGGGCCTATACGCGATACTCCAAAAAGAGGCCTAGATCCATCTCACCACATCCGTATCGCCTTGCTTGGCGAATAAGGTGGCGGGGGGGAGACGACGTCATGAAAGCGAGTCGGTAGATGCTGGGTTGGCAGGCTGTCCGTAAACATGCCGCCCCCATCCACCCCCGCCGTGTATGGGTCTCGAGGATCAACCCTGCTATATCTCCCGGCGCCGCCATCGTCCTCTCCTTGTTCTTGGCCCGGCCAGGAGGCGGTTCTCGTGCTCGGTTTTAGGCTTTCTGCGGTTCTGGCGGGTTGTGTAAGTTGGGATGTCAGAGGACACCTAATCGGGGGGCGGTAGGAAGCGCTGGACCCTCCGAGCTTTCGTTGTCGTTGCTTCCGTTACTGGTGCTGTCGTTTTCTCTCTCTTCTCATCTTGCGTTTTACCTTCTTTCTGTAAGTCGGCAGGTGAATTCGGTCCGGGTGTATGAAGGAACGAGCGAACGGGTGGGCTGGTATCCCCTGGATGAGATTGTACACGACGAAACGAGCAGCGACGGCGATGACGGTTACGAATGGCGGCGGCGACGTCTACGTGGAAAATGTGCCTGGCGGCTTCGGTTCTTAAGGGGTGCTGGAGAGAGGGTGGGTATTCTCTCGGGAGTTTAAACAACAAGGGAAACCCCATAGGTCGGTCGGGGAGAGACGGGGAGGGGGGACTCGACCCATATGAGAAGAAGACGAACACCGCCCGGGGGGTTTAGTGGCAAATGCTTTGAACGTTTTCAATTTTTCATTTTTGATGACCATAAAAAATTTTTTATTTAGCTCACGATTTGAACGAATTCTCTCCTCTCCTACATAAGACCGACACCCCCCCCCCCGCAAGTCCCTCCCCCAAAAGAGAGGTTCACGTTCTATTCGGGCTTGGCTTAGCTGCGCGCGACCCTTCGCCGCATCGCCCTGTCCGCCCCGCCGCTGTGTTTCTTGCTGCCTGCTGCCTGCTGCCTGCTGCGACGGTACGGTTACGCGGTGCCCGCTACGGTGGCGGAGTAAAAGTGAGCATCGCCTCGTCTTCGCCTTGCCTTGCCTTGCCTTCACTGCCGACGGTTCGCAAAAAAAAAAACCACCCCCAAACCGGGAGCGCTGGCTGATTGGTTCGAAGGGCACCGGCTTAGTAGATCCCCGCCCTCGGCCGCCTCGTCCATTCGCTGGGGACTGCCGGCGAGGCAACCAACGCAGCACCCAAGTCCTCCTCTCCCCCTAGCACTCACGCACACGCATACGCACACGCGCGCGCGCGCCACACACAACTGCCGTGCCGGCTTCGACACCGACACCGTCGTTCCACTCGGGCGCGGCGAGTGGTTATCGATAACGTGCAGACAGCCAGACGTGCGCCCCCGCGTACGTGTGCGAGTGCGCGGACCTACGTACGTGTTAGGTATGTCCATGCGTATGGTCCGAGTCCTATATACCTGCCTGCCCACTGGTAAGGTCGTAGGCTGTAGGTACCTAGGTCTAGGACATGGGCACACACACACACACATACACACACGCACGCATATATGGGTATATATCGCGACCAAGCCGGCCGCCCACGCGCTGCATGCGAGAGCAGGCACAGCGGCAGGCAGGCAGGCCAGACGAGCATAACTTCGCGCCGGAACCCCGAGCACCGCGAGAGAGGAGAGAGGGGGGGAGGGACTAGATAAGGCACGATATGTAGACGCGCCCTTGCCTACGCACTCGTGGAGGTAGGTAGGTCGGTAGGTACATTGTACCTACCTATTCACAAACGCCGCGGTGATCCGCGACCTGCTTTAGGTACCTACTTTACTCACCCGCGTTTCTGCCCTCCCCACTATACCACCAACATCCGGACAGCCCGGGGACAGACCTCGGCGCGGCACGGCCAACCGGCGCGCGCGCGGCCTCGAGCCGGGGGGAGTGGGGGGGAGCCGTCCAGGAAGCGCTTCGGCCCCTTTACTCCTCTCCGTGCCTGCCGAACACGAGGGAGCGCGCAGCCAAGAGCACCGCTCGAACAGGACAGCCGGGACGGACCGTGGGGGGCAAGACAAGCGCACGCAGCGTGTATCGACTCCCAGACTGGCTTAAAGATTTTCTGATACCGCATCGCAAGTGGGAATAATCCCCCTCCCCCCCCCCTTCCCCTCTTCCCCACCCCTTTTCCGTCCCTCGCGGTCGAGTTGCCCGGCGCAGAGCTCCGCTGCCAACGCCCCCCCGCCCCCCACCAAAACCAGCATTTCACGATCCGACATTTCCGCCCCGTGCGCGGAAGGCAGCGACCCGGGAGAGCCTGCGCACACGCGCAGTGCAGCGGGGCAAGACTCAGATCAGGGGGAGGAGGAGGGGGGGCGAGGCCGCGTCTTCCTGCCATCCCCCCCCCCCCCCCCCCCTCACACCCCGGTCTCGAGCCTCGATTAACCTACCAATCCGCCTCTGTAGACACACGGACGGTGGCAGGAGGAGTAGGTATGTGGCTCGTACATGCGGGTGGCTGGCTTAGCCGGCTGGCTGTAGTGGTAGCAGCTAGGCGACACCCTCCCCTCCCCACCACCACCCCTCTCAGGAATAGGTAGGTAGGTAGATGGGTCGGCAGGCACACCCACAGGCGTGCGCGCGCGCGACCAGGCAGGAGACGCGGGCCAGAGCCCCGGCAGGCGAGTCGGCGTGTATACCTGTAGATAAACCCCCCCCCCTCCCCCCCCTTCCCCTCGCTGGCAACCTATCGTCTATCCCCTCCTTTCCCTCCCCCCCCGCGCCTCGGCGGGACATAAGCCGGATCGGCCCTAGCCAGTCTTCTGGCCCAGCCCAGCCTGGCCCCTAGTCTGGCTGGACTAGTACCTACGCGTCGACGAATAAGGGGGGGGGGGAGGGGGAGAAAGGGGAGAGAGACTCCGCGATGGGAGGGGAGAAGGAACCCGTCGCTATGTGTACCGGCCCCCGTCTTCCCCGTCTTTCCACCTCGCCCCTCCCCCCGTATGTGTAGTCCCTGACGCGGTCAGCCCAGTTACGCGGGCCCTTTTGAATTAGAGGTGAGAGACACAAGCGTTGAGCAGGATAGGAATATTCCCGTATATGTGTATATAGTATAGTTATAGGTAGGCGGTTTATGGGAGGTAGGTAGGTAGGTAGGTAGGTGAGGAGGGTACCTAATGTCTGCACCACATTCCGTACTTTGTACCGGCGCAACCCGCCAACCAAAGCGCCCCCCAAAAAGCTGAGCTGGCTAACCAGGATAGCATCCTATGTCGGATGAACCAACACACACATGTATGTGTATATATAACACCCGCTGTGCCCCGTCCGGCAGGCAGTGTGAGTGCCGACCCGCGTCTTGCTTCCAACAACACCACATTCCCTTGGCCATCCCTCGACGGGACAATGCGCTTTACGCCACGGCCGCCCGTCTACGCAACCTCACCCTCGACCCCTCCCCACCGTTGCTTTCTTTCTCAACGAGAGAGAGAGAGAGAGAGAGAGAGGCGCGGCCCGCCCGAGACCGTCGGTGTGGCAGCCGAGAGAGAGAGAGAGAGCTACGCTATCCCGTCTTCCCGGTCTCCGCTCAGTGGAACTCCGCCTCGACGCGGCCGTACCGCACGCCGTCGACTTTCAGCTCGAAGCCGAGCCCGGCGCTGTCGACGATCATCTCGAGCGTGAAGTCGAGGTTGTCGAACTCGACGCCGCGCGTCGTCGTCAGCCGCGTGAACAGGCTGCGCGGCACCGCGCTCAGGTCCGTCGTCAGCGTGCACACGTGGACTAGGTCGCGCGAGTACGCGGCGGGGGGCTCGTCCGCCTCGCACGCGATCAGGTCGTCCGTCACCACCAGCGACTGGCCCGGCCGGAAGTTGCGCGTGTAGTGGAACGCGATCGGTGAGAGGGGGGATATGGCCTCTCCCTGTTAGCGCGCAGAGTGGCGTATTAGCATCAGCGTCGCCAATAATGATATGCCACATATAGTGGCGGTGGTTGTACAATAAAGCAGGCTTCGGAACGGACGGAATCAAGGAAAGGAAGATCGATCCAGGAGGAGGATTCAGCCTCGTAAGCTCGCTTGAGACGCGAATTTCTTTTTCTTTGTATTTCAAAAAAAAAAAGACTCACTTTAGCAATATGCCATTGCATTCGATCGCTGACCATCCAGCGTTCCCACAAGGGGCTCCAGTACCGCTCGCTGACGCTATGCTTCTCCCCGTCGTACACCGTCGCGTAGGACGTGCCGTAGTGCATTCGCGCCTTTCTGCTGATCACCATGTTGCCCTCGAGTCCGCGCAGCACCGCGCCCCGGACGACCGCGGTCCAGGCGTAGAGCGGTTGCATAACCTCGATGTTGTTGTTCTCCGACGTCGCGCTGCTGCTCGCGTGGGTCGGCCGCTCCGTGTACGGGGGCGGGGCCGCGCTCGTGAAGTGCGACTTGAGGCGCCGGTAGAGATATTCGCTCTGCCCGAAGCCGCCGACCAATATGATACCCGACACGATACCTCCCTTGTCACGGAGGCCGTCCACCTGCCCTTGGACGAGGTCGCAGACCTCCTTCACCACGGGCTCGAAAATACCCTTAATCTCTGCGGCGGTCATAACGAGGAACCCCGAGTCAAGACGTGCCTCTTCGTCGTCGGGGAGCCCCGGGAACCTAGATAGAGGACGCGGACGGGTTGGTGAGTTTCGGGAATAGACGCCGAGGGTAGTGGAACGTAGGACTCACGGGACATTAACTTCCTGGTACTCGTCTTCGTTGAAATTTCTCTTTACGAACTCCTCGAAATATCGAAGCCCCATCTGCCACGTCTTAGCCTTCTTCAGCTTCATCTCCTCGAACCGGCTATGGCCGAGGCGGTTTCGGACGTGTTCTTCGAATCTATAGTTTAAGAACGCGCTGCCGCAAAGCCCACCCGTCCCGACGGCCGATTCTTCTACTCGCAACGGCTTCAGCGAGATGATTTTGTACGCGATTAAGCTGAGAGTTGCTGGTTAGTTTCCGACCTAGGAGGAGATGCGAAGAGAAACGACTAACTCTACGGTCCCGCCGCCTGCGTCGCATACGACGAAGTTGTCTCCCACGTTGAGGTGGTTCGGCTGGATGGCTTTGAGGGTGTAGACGGCAGCGGCCTCGGGCTCGCTGACCATCTGGATTTCCGACTTGAGACCCATCCCGGCCCTCTCGGCAGCCTGCAGCGTCGTGTTCTTTGCGGCGTCGGACCACACGGCCGGGCAGGTAAGCACAAAGTCTACATTGGTCGAGGCCATGAATGACTCGCCGTATCTTCGGGTGAGGGTGTGCATGGTGTGCTTGTAAATCTCAGTTAGATAGTCGCTGACCGCGTCGACGACTGTTTTGTTATACTTCCTAAGCTGCGTGGCCGTCTCCTGGGGGCTGACGTAGAAGGGAAGCTTCTGAGACCGATCGAGGAAGAGCTTGATGCATCGTAGCCGCGACTCCTCGGGCTTAAACTGGAATCCCCATTTCACGTTCGGCTGGGTCTCCGCATCCGCGTTCGGCGGGAATTCGTACGATACCTCCGTAGGGACTTTGTCCGACGTGATGCCATTCCCTCCCGGCCACGTCTTGATGATCTCGACGTCGTCCGGCGTCGGTGTGTACACTATAGCTACCCTGTACGCTTGTGAGCCGATTGTGAATTAGGAGGGCGGTCTTAGGTATATAGGTAGCTGAACCCAGAATGCTCGAGGGGATAGGATGGTCGACCGATCGGCCGGACCGCGCCCCTTGGCAAGCTTGCTCACGTAACCCCAGCCCGTGGTCGGCTCTACCCCCATTCCCGGAGCGGTTGGGTCTCTGCTGGCAGATACAGTGCTAGTGGTATGAGAGGCCCGACTCACCCAGAGAAGGTGGTGCCGAAGTCGACACCGACTATAAGGCGATCATTGACGGTGGTGAGCTCGCGTGCGGGCTCGCGCACGGGGCCATTGACTGCTTCAGCCGACGGCGGCGGGGTGTAGCCGGAGAAATAGTTCCTGCTCATCTGGTTCCTCTGACTTGGCGATGGCCGAATGGGTAGATTGAGATTCATGATGTCGCCGGTTCTCGACCGTGTCTGACGCCAGGGCTTGGGCTCATATATACCGGGCGCGCGCTCCTCCAGTCGTGGAAAAGCGGCCTTGTCGTCTACGCGTATGCGCTGCCGTCCTTAATAGGAGAGCGCGACGGTCGTGTGGTTATGGTGTCCGCGACCAGGCCGCGGTATGACCTTAGGCCGCCGGATATGGTAGAGGTCTCTCGCGTAGGGTAGAGGACGCGGAGGGCGATGGGGGTCTAGGGCAAGAAAGGCGGATGGGAGGCCATGAGCAGAGGAGAGGGACGGGATGCGTCTGTAATATATAGGTAGAGGTGTGAGCGAGGGAGCATACGTAGGCAACTAAGTTACCGGGTATAGGTTGAGAGCCGTAAAGAGGTTGTATGTACGGGTTAAGCAGCTTGCGCCAAGCTTCATCGAGGGCGGAGTTGCAGTCGCCGGCACAGCCCGCCTCACCCCCCGATACGCATTTATTGGAGGGGCACCACACCTATTTGGGGGGGTTGCGTTAGGTACATAAGGCAAGTAGAACGGCCTATCTACAAGTATACCCGCGTAAGCAGGCTTTGAAATAAACGGGGGCCCCTTGGGGCTGATGGCCCCTTATCTCACCCACCTCCCCCTCCTAATTGAATCAACAACCACCACCCAAAAAGAGGGATGGGATGGGGAAAAGCAGAGAGGCTTACTTACGTTCAAATGAGTGCTCGAGCTATAAAATCAACCCTCCTCTCCTCCCCGACCTACAACTCTAGAGGAAATAAGGGATGGGAGTCAAAAAGAAACGCTAAAAAGGACACGGCAATTAGCAGGTACCTCGGTACGCTTCCTCCGGTACGGTATAGAGCCTAACTACCTGCCTGGCACCATATGCGATAGTTATGCGTACGCAGTGTCACGTAGTCATCGGGATGCCAACCACCACGATCCTATAGCGCGCGCTGCGGTAGGCGGCGAGCTTGCCTGGCCCTCGCCGCGACAACAACCCGATAGAAATAAAAATAAACGGGCAAGAAGGGGCAAGAAGGAGCCCCAGACAGAGGCGCTTCCCTCCATCTAGTTTATACTGCTGCCTGAATCCCAGACGCTGCGCATCTCTCCCGTATAGGCGGTCGAAGCCAGGCAGATACATTAAGAGGTTACTAATAAAAACGCGTCTAGCACCTACCTATCTACAGCTAGGCTTGCAGGTATGCCTAGACAGGAGGTGTAGCCTTGCTAACACCGGCTACGCAGCTACGCAGCTGGGCCAAGTTAACCGGTAACCTCGAGCTACCGTAGGGGCTGCCAGACCGCGCCTACGCATCCCTCGTAACGTGGGTTACCTGCCTTGGCCCCCCCTATCCGGGTCATGCCTAGGCGGCGTCGGTTGGACTGTAGGTAGTTACCTAGGTACCTACCTACCTAGGTAACCTACCTAGGTAACCTACCTAGGTACCTACCTATTAGGTAGGTTACTCGCGCACCTTTGGCCAAGGTACCGATTGGTAAGCCCAGGCACCTAGACAAGCGCCGCCAGCTGCAGGCGGCGGTGGAGCCGCCCTAGGGCTGATTTCCCTTCTGTCGCGTAAAACGTAGACGCCTACATTTACGCTCTGCGGTATGTGGGCATATAAGGGCTGGTTCAATTACTACGTGACACCTTCCCTTCCCATCCTGCCTCTTCATACAATCTCCACGTCCATGCGCCCCGTTCGACAACCTGCCGAACCCGACCCGCTCCACTCGCCAGCCATTTCAAGTATATAGCTTCATCTCTCTATCCGCACCCCCACCTGAATGACGGCCCTCATGTCTCAAAATAGTACTTCTGGCCTGGCCTGCAATTTTCCTCATGTAGAGGCTGAGAGAGAGAGAGAGAGAGAGAGAGAGAGATTGATATGTCGCGCAGACGAAATTGCTCAAGTCTTCCATGCTGTATGTGCTTGCGCCTCCGTATATCCCTTTTATAGTCTTCCGGTTACTAGTCCGCACATGGCAAACGACTTAAGCTTCGCCAGTTACTTTGATGCTCGTGTTTAGCAAATCGACCACGCAGGAAATATGTATAGATTCTTTTTTGAGGACGGCTTCTATTTTGCATCCAGCTGTGGTTACAAAGAAACCATTAAACCTGCGTTTCCTAGAGATCCTTCTTGACAACTGCACATATGACGGATTAATTTTTTTTTGGTATTCACCCTCGACTCTAAGAACTGCTGCCACCGACAAGCTCAGTGCTATCCACATGACAAAAGAAATCATCTCATATCAGGTCCGCGCCTTTTTCGAAGCCTTGCAAATCAAATCTATAGTGGGTATTCTCGAAGGTAGGTTGGCTTAAAACGCGGAAGCAGCTTGCCTTAACCTTGGGTTAAGCGAGGAAGGGAATAAAAAAGATATATAAAAAAATAAAAATAAAACCAGCCGTCGGGGTATTTTTATGAGTTGGGATAGTGATATTGCAAGAATCGAAAGACTAGGTGTCGAACGCGGGTTCGGTATCAACAGTCAAGTGAAATCGAGCCCAAGATCGTCAATAGTATGCTGGAAAGAGTGTGCAAAATGTTATGCCATGTATATCCCCAAACCCGATATTTAACTCCCAACACCGTGCCATGACGAACAATACGAACACGCTTCCGCCGCAAAAGCCACCGCCACGGAAGCGAAACTTTTCCCTAAAACCTATTACCAGCTGCCCTTATGCTTGCAGCTACCGAAGAAGCCCACTCGCCGTCTTCGTATGGGGGTGTCGGTCGTTTGTACTGGCTGTCTCTCCCCAACCCCTTGCTGAGATTCAACGGCTTCGGTGTCAAAGCCTCGTGGCAGTCTCCGAAAAGGATCATGTTCCCGCTAGCCGACGGTGACGGCGTGGGGTAAGGGTTAGATAGCCCGATATTGCCGGCGGACTGCCTAACGTTTGACGTCCCGTCCTTCTCCAGTCGATTCGAGGCCCGACGGTCCGGATTGAGCTTTTCATCTAGCAGCTCTTCTTCTTCGTCTAGAGCGTCGCCTTGGACGCCGTGCACTGCCTGTGCCCTCTTCGTTCTGCCGAAGATGGGACCAGGCGTGCGAGCAGCGCCGATCAGGTTATCGACAGATCTGGGTTGCTGATGTGGTAACGAATGGTGTCGTTTTAGGTTGCCGTTAGATGCGGTCGTGTGAATAGGTGGTATTGGTGAATTCGATGAGCTCGTGGGTTGGTGGACATCTCGCAAAGTACGGTCGAGCGATTCGTAGTTGTCTATCTTGGTAGTTGAGGCGTGCTGCTGGTCAATGACCATCGAAGACCGGTTGCTGACCCAAGGGCCACAGCCCGCTTGTGCCTCAATATCCTCGTCGTAGGTGGGCGAAACTGGCGTCTGGTGCCTGCCAGAAAATCTCCGCGCCCTCTTCCGTAGATGGGAGAAGAAGCTTTCTTTATGTCCACTTGGTGGTGAGACTAGACCACTGTTGCCGTTCAGGGCTCGTTCGGCTTGCTGCCGGTGCAGCTCGGTATAGTGACTAGCACTCGAAGCCACCGAGAGCTGTCGCCCAATCTTCTTACCAGTCTTCTCGTCGATCGGACGTTGAGCTCCGTTGCTGTATGCGTCGTTACAAGAAGGCGCACGGTTTGAAGCCTGGGCAGTGACCGCATCTGACAGCGGTGAAATTGGGCGGATCGTGGGTAAAATCGGCATAGGAGCCACATTCGACGGGCCGTTGGTCCATGTGATCCGTTTGCCAGCAGCCGGCCGAAACTTTGCCGGGGGGGCCTCGTTGACCTCTGGCGAATGAATCGGAGACGGACGCGGCGCCGCCACCACATCCTTCACACTGATCTGAGGAGACGCGCTCTCCGCCATCTCGGATCGGCCGATGAGCGATTTCCTGAACCACGACTGTTTAGAGGAGGTAGGCGTAACAGAGGCGGATTCCTTCCCTCGGCTTATGTCAGATTGCTTGCGGCCTAGTATCCTCGAAGCTGACGACTTGGGCCGTAGCGGATCGACCGCGTCCGTGAAGTACTCGTGTGCCAGTGCCTGGGTTGAGGTTGGTCGATTCCTCGGATCCCACATCAAGCACGAAGTAACAAACTGACTTAGGGAAGCCGGCCACTGAGGAGTCTGGAGGATCGTATCCATCGAGTGAGGTGCCATCTTCGGGAAAGAAAATCCAAGCTTCCCAGCCAATCGTGTCCCCTCCTTCCAGTCACCTCCACCTACCCGAGCGCCCGACTTGTTATACCAGTTTCCAGGGCTCCCCATAATTTCGCAGACTCTCCAGACTTGATCCACTTCGTTACCACCAGGGAAAAGAGGCTTCAGTGTCGCGATTTCAACTGCCATAGCGCCAACTGCCCAGATATCGACGGGAGCCGAATATTCGCCAGCCCGTAGAAGTACCTCAGGGGCCCGATACCATCTGGTGGAAACATAGGTCGTGTACGGTAGTTTCGAATGCGTCTCTCTCGCAAGCCCGAAGTCTGCAATCTTTACTGTATAGGATGGAGGTGTCGAAGGAGGGGTCATCAAGGCAGAATACCGCCGAAACGAGTTTACGGAATCTTGATGTCCCGAAGTCGTGACCAAGATATTCTCGGGCTTGATGTCTCGGTGGAAAAAGTGGTGGGCGTGGATATGCTCGAGGCCTTGCATAATCTGATACAAGATGCTCTTGACACTGGGATTGTCGAGATATTTGTGGTCGCGAGCCTTCATGAGCTGATATAGGTTCCCCTCCATGTACTCCATGCAGATGTGAAGCTTCTTGGTGAAGGGATCGAGGAATATGTCGAGTGCTGGAACCAAGTGGCCATGTGGCGGCAGCGTCTTTAGAAAGACGACCTCTCGGAGCTCAAGGCACGGGTTGAAGGACTCGAAGGTCTTCTTCATCGTCTTAATCGCAATCTAGAGTCGCGGTTAGATGATCACGTCTACGTTAACAAGCCCATTTGTAAATACGTACGATGGTACCACGACGAGCCACACTTGCGCCAGCAGTCCTCACTCTAGCCAGAGCTACACTACCAAAACTTCCATCCCCGATGTCTTTTATAACTTCGAACCTGTCCTCTAACGCGAACCCGGCACCTGACGACGAGGACCCTCGGTGGGATTCGTGCGCGATCGTCATGTTGACCATTGTGGTAGAACGGAAACCCACCGTAGGGAACCAACAACCGACTTCCAGGTTACGACCGGAATCAGTAGTCTCTACCGATATAGACCGTACCTGCTCTCGCACAGGGTCTTTTTCTCTCTTGATAGCTCTAACAAAGAGCTATGCACGAGTGCCGGTGCATTCAGTTTGGTCGAAATTGTAGTGGTAGCAAGGGCCGCAAGCCCGAAAGGTTCTAGGGGGGGGGGGGGGGGAGGATTTGTCTGATACCAAGCAGAACTTTCAGATGTCCGAGGGAAGAAGCAGGTGAGATGGACCGAGATCCAATTCGAGAAGAAGAATGAGCAGAAACAATGGAGGAGATGAACAGGAAGAGAATGGATTAATAGATAGCTTGGATAATTAAAAAAAGGGACAAGGGGAAATGGGAACCAGAATGTCGGGGTGTGAGTCAAGCTGGCCCAAGCTGAAGGATGGATGAGGTACTTCAAGCAACTGTAGTGCTGGTAGGGGAGTCAATCTGGTAAAGGAGAGGTGCGTGAGTGAGCGAGCGAGCGAGGGCTTCTGGAAAGATTGCACACACTCCCTGCTAGCGCATCTGACAGTCGGATTCAAGGGAGTGACGGATTGACGATAGTGCGATAATGGTTGAAAAAGGAGAGAGGCGATAACGATGATGATGATGATGATGATAAGAAAGACGAGGACGATGGAGGAAGAAGAATACAGAAAGAATGCCCCCTCGATACAGCTGAATGGCGTTGTATATTCTTCCCCTGGGTCGACCGCTGCCCACTTCCTGCCTCGGGCTCACTATCATGTGAGGTTTTACGCAGGACTGTTGCGAGATGATGTGCCGTGCAGCAACGAGTGAGCGAGGTCCAAGGGGGACAAGGTATTTGTCGCGGACCAGGGAATAAGCAGGGTGATCTTCGAAAGAAGAATTACCAGTAGCAACGCGAAGAGGGCAGAGAGAGCGGGCGATTGGTATTGCTATTCGCCCAGCTTCGTGGATGCGGGTGCAGGACGCCCCTGTTTGTGGGTTAAGAGCGAAGGGCAATAAAAAATTAAAATAAAATAAGGAGAGTGAAAAGAGAGCGAGAGTAAGAGAGAGTGGGTGAGGGAATGAGAAAGAAGAAAGGCGCGGGTCGAATTGAACGGTGGGATGGGACGGGACGGGATTGGGATGCGAACAAATGGACGGATTGGTTGATTGATGGAAGTGATTTCGGAGGCGTAGGGTGCAGTAGAGACCTCTGGGATGGGGTTCTGCGGTCCGCTTCCCTTCCCCCCTTAGGCCTTTACTCACACACCCCGGGCTGGGAGAGGAGAGAGAGAGAGAGAGACGAAGCGACCCAACCTTAGCATGAATACCTAAAGTTCCGCGGGAGGCATAGCGTTGCCAATTTCGCTAGTGCCACCCATGGACAGACCAATCTTAGCCATGCGCTTGTCGCTTTAGTATTCAGGGGTACCGGAGAGAGAGAGGGAGAGGGAGAGGGAAAAAAAATTTCCATGACTCGCAAGGGTTCCTCGAGTCTTCCCTCTCTAAGTTTGATTAAATGTCATTCTATTTTCCCCTTCGATCTCCTGGTGGTTGCAATCCTACGTCAACCTTAACTATTTAAAGGTACAGTAATATACTCGTCCTTTCGTCGTAGGCTAATGCTGTAGGTAGGTAGTTTGAAGGATTCAAGATTCCTTATATAGCAGCTACGTACGTTAAGAGGTAGAGGCAGGTAGGCATTTAATGTACAGATGCACCTCGTCACCAGAGTGCTGCCTTTATCCTCTTAGGAGATATACGTATCTAGGAGGTACCTCTACCATATGTTAGATTTCTCAGGTTTGGTGTATACCTACGGTGGGGACGTGCTGGGTGTGCTCAGGCATGTGTGCAAGGAAGGTCAGTGGGCGAGAGTACCTATGGTGCAGAAGGTACCTGTATACGTGCCATTCGGCGGGTTGCTTATAGGTAAGTAGCTGCTACATTGCCTACCTACCTAGGTAAGTAGGTACCTAAGGTAGGTATATTTATATTTATATATATATTTAATAATAAATAGTATATTATATTACGTTAAAGCTAAAGTATATTATATATATATATTATATAAAATATATATAATATAAAATATATACGTTTAAAAAGTAAAATTCTTTATTAAAAAATAGTTTAAATATATTATTAGGTTTTAAGTATCTTTATTTAAAAGTTATTTAACATTTTATTTAATTATACTCGACTTTATATCTTAAAATATTATAAACAATATTATCGTAAAATATGTCTAAGTATATTATACAATGCTAAATTACCTTAGGTACTTACAGGGAGCAGGAATAGTTGGAACAAAGACCATATATATCACTGTGCTCCGATTGCAGCCATGTGTAGAAAGGACACAGGTACAGCTTTACTTATACCACTACTGCATTAAGAGGTAGGCAGGCATGCAGGAAGTACATAACGTAGTGCTCCCATCAACTTGGTACCTCAAACTAAACTACAGACATACATGCAGCTTTTAAAGTCTCCTATAATGCACTGCAATCCATCCATGATACTATGGTGATATCCTAATGGGAAATCCTACACTCATGTAAACCTCATCTTCCCATTACTTCCACACAGTACATCTTCATGTTTTCGAGGAGCGAAAGTCAACATGCAATAAGCATGCAACACTGCTGAGATAAGAATGGTCACCAGTCACAACGAAAATGGTGGCCTGCCTGACCCTATCAACGAAAACAAGGGCGGGCTGGTTGCAAAATCAGGACGCGGAAGACGCGTGGGTCGGGATCCCACCCTGTTTTGGTCCATGCCAGCACACAGAATCCATTTTACCAACTCAACCGTCCAGTAAACAACATGGATTATCGCGTACCCATGACATGCTCATGATCTAGCAGGTCAACAGGCAGGCCACCTACTCTAAAGATGGAAGTATATATGTACATTAGCTAGGTAGGTTAGGTACTTAACAGGTAGACGGTCATATAGGAAAACGCGATACACCTTTTAGAATGGCTCATAACCTCGCACCACTATATGAACATCGTTTTGTTCCAATTAATAGAGGGGTTGGACATTCATCGTTTGTACTTTTCTAAGTGAGATTTTTTTTGGATTCCATGTAGCTTGCACTAGCTTTTCTCTCCATCGCCCAATAGGAGGTATCTCCTAACAGGTAGGATTCTCATTATTCTCAAGTACCTTAAGCACCTCCTACCTTTACCTGTAGCAGGTAGTACTTTAGGTACTTGCCTGACCTTGTATGTTACCTGCTCCTTAATAGTGACCCCTTTACGCGTCTAGGTCACCACAGGCAGTGTACGTTACTCCTACATATTAAAAAAGTATACCTTGTCTGCCTCCTTACATCCTACATACCTGGCGCATTACATGGCTCTACATATATCCATCATATCAATTACGTACACATAATGAAAATGTACCAAGCAGAACCCATCCTATTCATCTCACAATGCGGTACGTACCCCAACCATACCTCCATCAGGATAGACTCCACGTCTTTACATGAGTAATCAAGATCGTACCTGCGCAGCTGCAGTGTGTGGAAAAGGGGTGGCAGTTCTGCAGCACACGTACCTACGTATCGCACCAATCACTCGGGTAGGATTCCGGTTTCCTGAACGATATTAGATTCATAGTAAGTGAATGAATACGGAGCTGCATGATGCCATAACGTATATGTATACAGACATAAAAACAGATGAACATATCTACCTACGGATGAAGGGGCGGGATATACGGACCAACATCCTAGCTACCTAGGTACGTAAAGCACCAGCACTCTGGGCGAAAACGGGACAGTCCGGACACCTAAGCCTGTATTGGCAGGACCTATTTCGCAGGGGAGCGAACACACACCGCAGGTGTGGCACAGGCACCGCCTGTAAGTTGAAGCATCCGCGTGTGGAGACTGCAGTCAGCGAGCTAACCTCCAAAGAGGTACCGAGTACGGCCAAACCCCCTGTGGAGGTTGGGAAGTGGGATGCCTTTGACTTGCATATGTATGCTTCAGACCTCCAGCCACGGGGCAGAGGCGGGAAATGGGCAGTGGACACCATACGGTCCAAGCAAAGCACACAGGCATAATTCGAGTATCGGTCGATCAGCAATGCCCAGGTGGGTAGGGAGAGGGACAGCCACCCGCGGCAAAAAAAAAAAAAATCATCCCCTCGTAACCAGAGAATGAAGGAGGGAAAGCTCGCTCGCACTGCTCACACGCCTCCTACCGGGCGCCTCATCACGGTAGATACGCCTACATGGGAGTACAGGTACAGGCGATGAGTAAGGCTCGCATGAAGGAATAGGAGCAAATACCTGAGGTCCATACATGTAGATGGCCGTGTGTATATGAGCATGTGTATATATACCTACATATAGATAGCCGAGTTGGGGTTGGAGGGGCTAACGGACTACCCAGATAGGTACCTACCTACCTACCTAATGTTGGCGCTATGGCCGTCGACTGTTACACTACTGCGTGGTAGAGTCATACAGACCCAACATAAGCTCTCTGGGAAGGAACCCCTGAGAATGCATGATGATGATCAGGTACTAGCCAAACTCGACCTCCTAAGGCCGGGTATACCTAGGTACAATCACTACCCGGATCCCCCAATACCATATGTGTGCACGCTTAGGTCAGCCCACACTGTACGTAAGAGGTACCTCCTAACCCTACAATGGGAGGTACCCTAGGTAGGTACCTAATGTACCTATAGGCAGAGGTCGTCGGGAACGCGTGGGCTGTTTCGAGGATCGGAACCATCTTCATGCATAGTTTTGCCAAGGCATGCAAGGCTTTGTCTCGAGGCCCAACTGTTTCCAGGCGGGGAGACTGAGGAGAAGAGGGAGAGACAGCATCAAGTACCAAAGAAAAGGATGAGAACGGAAGTCCTAGCGCGCCATGGCCCCCATTCACGACCATAGCGTCTCTCGGATACGATAGGTATACACGGAACGTGTTGCGTATCGACGAAAGAGGCAAGATCGCGGAGTCGACGAGAGACGATCGCAGAGCGGATGCTCCGTATGGGGAACGGCCTCTGTGCAGCAACATTCTCCACGAGCAAGTCCCTTCACAGACCCCGCCCGCCTCCTTGCCGCACGAGCTCTGGGAAGCCCAGCGCGCGTGAGTGGAGAATGCGATGCGAACGACAAATGCACGTCGGGTATATATTGTTGTTGTTGTTGTTGTCGTTACCGCCGTTATGCCTGCTGCTACCAATCATGCCTTCTTGGCGTTTTCACCTGCTCAAGTCTACACGATGCATTCCGAAACGCTCTGATTTGAAATCCTTGACGGCTTCCAGGCCCCGATGTCAGGTTCGGCAGATCTCTGCCTTCGATTCCGGCTTCTAGAAACCAGTCTGCATTATCGCCCAGGGAGCAAGGCCGGATCACGGAGTTCGCGTTTTATCACCCCTGCCAGCTGACCTATTTATTCCCTTGCAGGGCTACCTCATGCGGAGAGACATTCACGCGTCTTATCACGGTATTGTGAGTAGAGGGCAAGGCCCCGAGTCTATCGTCCCAGCGATAACCGAGAGCCTACGCCCGAAATCTCTTGGGCAGGGTCGGCAGCATTTGTTTCCCGATCGACCCAGGAACGGACATCGACTCCTAACACGTGGTCTACGTGCCCGCATATATAGGTAAATATATCTTCCCACAAATCCGTGCACACAAGTGTGTCGCCGTCGTGAATCAAGCATCCCCAGAGATCAGACCTCATTGGTGGGACGCGGGCCGATCCCGACAGCCAAGTGCCAGATGAAGAGCTTTTACACCGGCTCGAGAGATAGGCAAAACCTAGATGTATAAGACTAATGCTATAGATAGGTATTGGAGAACCCTCTTCGTGGCGCATGGAACTACCCAATAATGTCACTACTCTTGCATCGTACTTCATCCTAACACCACATCAAAGCCGATAAGGTCTCAGGGTCCCCTATCACGGGCGACAAGATCCCACGGGCGTCTGATATGTAGTAACCATTTGGCCCCAAGATCACCTGGTGCTCAACCGACGAGGAGGGGGTACTCGGCTTCTCGTTGACGCTCGAAAAGGCCTCTACGATGGTCAGCCGAATTCAAGATCTACATGATCTCATCGACTTTAGATCGGGGGCAATCATTCCATCCAATCGGTTGCCGGCGCGGGGGGGAGATATTAATATCATGCCGGGTGACATTGGGCGCGATTCCCAACCGCACCATATTAATAGTGCGAGCCATTAGCTCGTCTAGTAATCATATACCGCTACCAACCCTGCATTAGCAGGAGAGAGGATTAGACATCTACGGCGTTCTTACAAGACCAGCTTAATGGCACACAGAAAAGGTATCGCCGACATCAAATGAACCTGAGAGACGAAAGACAGAGCAGCCGTCATACGTCTCTACACGTTCTCGGTGTAAAGCTCATAGGTGCTGCAATCTCGTAAGCTTAGAATAGTGTCCGCCCGTCCTCCTAGTTGTGGTTTTCGTTTGTCCCAATGCATAACTACACCGTTGACCCAGTCACTATATTCCTAGAAGTCATCTATTCCCCCTCTATTCCCTGCCTGTCCTGCTATTCCAGAACACGCCAAAGTTTGACGATAGCAACGCATTCTTCAACTGGCTAGTTCCTGTGTCCAAGCTAGGCATCCATCGGCGTAGCCATCATCATATCGGCCCGAGTTACAGGCTGCCAGGAGTCGTATCCGGCCTGCAGTTCTAGGTTCAGCCTATCGGTGTTAGTTGAGCAATAGAACCTGATAGGTATTCTCAACAAAACGCCATCTCTTCTTGGACTCGCTATTGCTTCGCTGTTCTTATTAGACGTACACCTACTGACCATTGGCTAGAGTTGCGGAAGTACATGACCCTCGAGACAGAAGTTTCAGAGCGGTAGCAGAGATAATCGAAAACCGTGCTCTAGACATACGAGGGCAGCCCGGTAGCTAATATTGTATCACGTAGTGTTTTTGTTAATATCGGCTGCTGATCTCGTGGGGTGTCACAAGCCCCGTCCCGGCACCGGAAGTAATACATAGTATCACAGGCTAGATGATGCTGTATAGTACTACCTACTGTATAATAACTTGCCCCTAGTGGATTGATGCCCGGTGTCTCAATAGGTATCTATGAAAACACGAACTTCTTGCTCCCTGCCGGTTCAATGCTGGATATCACAATCCAAACCGCTCTACGTATTTGCTTGAACCTGAAACCTAGCATGAGTATCTACATAATATATGGAACTTCTTGTGAACGCAATGCGCCTACAACTAATGCAGATGCACATGTAACCGCCCTTTGTGCTAATGCTCACATCAGAGATATCAAGGGTCAGCTTCTTTAAGCTAAGTACCTTAGAACAATGTAGGTGCGGGCGCTGCCTTTACGGGTAACTACCATTAAGGGGGAACTGCTAAGGTACACCTGCTGAATTGGATAATATGTAGCAGTTGTAGGTATATGAAACTTGCGAGTAATAACAAGGAAGCACTGTTGTTTGTATCAATATGGGCCAGTGCCAGCTGTCAAGCAACTAACTTGATCTGCTTGTTATTGGAACTTGCCTGGATGGGCTTTTTTTATATATGTGAGTATCCTAATGGTATCTAGTCCCGTCTCCTGGTCTTGTCTACTAATCGTCTCTACTGATACGCCTCTCTACCGATTCTCTTTACAGATCCTCTCTACTAACTACCCACTGACTCAGGGGGGGGAAACCACAAACTACCCACGCCTTCCTTAGCATCGCCACTGTTTGCCTCTTTCCCTTCTCTGATGTAGCGATTAGGGACATTACTAGGTACGTACCGATTGTATACTGTGGTCCTCCAGCACCTTCTATGCTACCACCTGACGCGCCGTCTCCCTGGATACCTACCTAAACCACGCTGTCCTCTCCCATCCTTCGACCTTCCCTACCGACCTACTGACCTACCTACCTACCCACCTCTTCTTCCTGGCCCCCGACCCTCCCTCCTCTTCTTTTACATACCCGTCTATTCACGTATGCTACTCCCATTCCATCTAACGCAGGTCATTTCTTCCTTCTATTCTTGCCCTCTTGTCATCTTCGATTTTCCTTCCAGAAGCACATTCCCAATCTCTCAGGAAATTCGGCGCTACTTCGAGTCCTAAGAGGGGCCGAGTAAATATCACCTCGATAGAAGGGGATCGTTACGTTCTGTCGTCCATCGTTGACACATCATCAAGGCGCATTCCACAATCTGAACTTTTCCAAGGCTTGCTTAACTAAGATACAAGGTGGGCTTGTTATCTCCTAAGTCTTCTCTCTCTAGCCTCTGTCTCTTTGTTATCATCATGGGCTCAGCTCACTCTCAGTTCTTCACTCGAAAACTTCACTAACGGTAACCACAATGCTAGCTAGTCTTTACTCATTTTACTTATTCTGAATCTAGCTAAGAATACGTCCCCGAATTAGCGAGACCGCTTGGTAAAATGCCATCTCGTCAGGTGGAGCTTTGGCGCTCGGGCAACCCCATGCCCAATCAGTAAGTAACTAGATCTATAGATCCTTAGTAGAGCGATGAGTGTATGTGCTAACGAAACAAGCAGTCGTTTTAATTCCGTCCCGACTAGGTAAGTAGCTGTTACCTGGATTTCAAGTAATGTTCGGCCCTTGCTAAAACTCTAGAATAGCTTCAAATGTGCTGTTGGCGGCGAGTGGGCCCCGTCTGACAACTTCTCCAAATCGCAGCTATCCAAGTGGACCAAGAAGAAGAAGAGCCCTAACGACGGAGTTACGCCAGAGAATATTGGCTTGATTTGCAAGGACCATCCACAAGGCCCCACGCCGGAGCGAGAGATCAAGTGCAACGGCCCCTGCGGCACCTGGAAACAGCAGAAGTACTTCAGCAAGATTCAACGTAACAGTACTGCTGCTGTAAGTCCCGTTGTCCATGCAATCCCTTGGCTTTACTACGCTAACCTTCTTAGTGGTGCTCTATCTGTACCGCCTGGAAGGACCAATTCGGCGGCTCAGAAATTCCTGCCACCGTCCCTGGCGTCCAAATGAGTTTTGACGAGATTGTTACTCAGACGACCAGTCGAGGCAAAACCACAGGAGATGATTCCCAAGCTAACGAAGATGACCCAACCGAGACCTTCTCGACCTCGGCCCCTACCGAGTGCCAGGAGCAGGGGCCGAATGACACCGCGAGTATAGCTCGGAGCTACCCCAGTCGAGAGGAAAAGGGTCAGTGCGAGAATCAGAAAGTGGATGAGCTCGAGGATACTCATGACCAGGTACGAGAATCCTTAAACTATTACTGAATCATATAGTTAACAACTCCTAGGGCCTTCTCTACAGCGCTTGCCGTACTGACATGAGCACACATGAAGATCAGCCTCAGGATGGCAATGGAATGAGCCCCCTGCGTGGTTCAGCCGTTAACCAGACCACTCCGGCGGGTTCTCCTAAGGTTTCGGATGCCATGGAGACGTCAACCTTGAAGGATGATCATCTCCCGGAGATGTCAACCTTGAAGAATGATGATCATCTCCCAGAGATTACCGCCTCCTCGGGTACGAATGGCTTTTCGTGTGGCTATGACGCATTCAGTCCCTACGGATTCTACGGCAGCAAGGGAAAAAGGACAGGCTCTACAACTGCAGCACGCTACTCGGAGGCAAACTTCTATCACGGAGCAGAATTTTTCAGACCTGTATGACTCCTACCTACCCACCTATACCGCTAATACTTTTGGGAGGGCGGGGGCTAACCGTTCCTATGTCAGGATTCTCGTCGAGTCTTCGTCGCACCGCCCATGTCCGCGTGCCATCACGCCGGCAATGCCAATGCCTACGGTGACGACGAGAGCCCCGACGAGTCGTGAAATCTGCGATGGACTTGGCAGGTATCGGCGCCCGGCCCAGGGCCTCCTACGTTGCGCGGAAGTTCTAGCACCCGAGAGGAGAGAGAGAAAGCCGGCTGCCTAGCCCGGCTGCTACCGCTTTTTTTCTTCTTCGTCCTTAGTATCCTCACATAAAATACGCCGTCTCACCACGAGCTCCTGCAGTGTCAAACTGTCGAGGTTGTCCTGGCGGCTAGATAGTACCATCTTGAACAAAAGGAGGCACCGAGAAACCAACATCGCATAGGCAATTTCCAGGGACGCTGTCTGCTCTTAGGCCCGCTATAAATAGGTAGTAGCGCCCTCTCGGATCTCATAAGCTGTTTCTGGCGTGCGAGTTTTCCCAAACGACGGGGTTGGGGCGTGGCTGCTGGTAGATAGGTAGTATTGCTTGCGGTAGCATCGTATAATGCTACTAAATTTTCCCACCAAGTAAAACTGGGCAGGCTCGTGAATGGTAACCGGGAGAGGAAATATATGTGATGACTGTGTTGCTTCCTTGACGACGTATCGATATTAATACCACCCAGGTATCCACATCTATCCAAGGACGAAAATAGGTGACCCTCGGGTTTACTTACCGCTAGGCTCTATGACGTGGGTAGCCGATCCCTTCAAAGCAGAAGTCTTCCCTTCGTCGAGATACGTGCGTATACTACGGAGTAGGTATGGATTATGTTGCATATTTACCCAACCCAGAGAGCAATCCTGAGGTACATACAGATACCTCGGTGGCTTATAGGTACCTATATGAATACGAGTCGGTGTAAGTAGATCTACTAGAGTAGTAGAGCAAGAGGAAAGTATTAGTTAAAATAAGGCCCGAATTATTCTACTTCGTAGAATAATTCGGGCTTATTTTTAACGTAAACGCTAAAAATAATAACCTATCCGGAGGATAAAGAGATATAGAAAGTATACTTAGTTTATTTAATACTAATTTTTAGAGCTACGAACTTTATTTATTATAGAAAACCTAGAAAACGTAAGAAATTATATATAGAAAACTTATAATTCATACGAAATTATCTTTTATAAATTTAAAACTAGTTTAAATTTTTACGTTAACGTATATTATATTAAATAAAGCGTACATTATTTAGGTTAAAAAACGTATATAGTAAAACGAATTTAAGAAGAATAAAACATAAAAGAAATCTAATATAGAAAAATTTTTTTAAAGTTAAAATTACGTAGGTACGTAATTTCTATATTAAAAAAGGGCGCTATGCTTAATAAAACTACGAAACCCTTAAACTTATATCTTTATTACTTCTTTTTACGTTTCTTTTCTACTTTTTTCTACGTACCCGTATTTTTTTCTCGTAATATACGTAGGATTTCTCGTAATAATTCGTTACTAGAAAAAGCGTTAATATCTAATCCTTATTACTTTATAACCCGCTCTTCCGCTTTTCGGATTACCTTTCTAGTTTTCTTATAGACTTTATTAAAAGCCTATTTTAAATTAGAATTTCTATGCTAGCGTACTTTATTACGTATTAACGTACCTTTTTATTAATTTTTTTAGAATCGAAAGCTTTTTTTAATTCTATAAATTTAACGAGCTTTAGCTCGGCCTCCCGGGGTACCTTAGCGTAGGCGTAGTAGCCCTTATAGTAATAATAATAGCGATTATCTTTCATACTTATTAATTATCGCGTATACGTAACTTTTCGCGTTTTTTACGCTATTTTATATACCGGTTCTTTTTACGTAGGCGTTCGCTTATAATCGATTAATTCGTTTAAAGTATACCTTATAAGGTAACGCTCTTTCCTCGTCGCCGTCGTCGTCGCTACCGTCGTCGCTACCGTCGTCGCTACCGTCGTCGTCGTCGTCGTCGTTATTAATAAGGGAGCGGATTCGGTTTATAAATAGATTCTATATAATAAAATTAACGCCTACGTATATTATTACTTAATCGCGTATTTTTTTTTATACCATAAAGTTCGTAAAGTATAATTTACTTTATAAGATATACTAGAGAAAGGAGGGTCGCTACCGCCGCCGGCGGCCGCTAGGCCGCTAGTATTACTTATCGTAATACTAATACTAATTACGCGGTAAGCGTCGCTAACCGATAGTTAATCGAGGCTTAGGTTAGCGAGTTCGGTAGTCGAAATCCTAGATATTATTTTAATTAATTAAATCTATCGCGCGCGTATTAAATTTCTTACTTTTTTTAACTACTTTAATCTTATTTCATTAAATAAAAAACTACGAAATATCGTTAGCGTTCGTTTTAAGCTTAATTAGCTATATGCGAAGGTTTAAACTTACGTAGTTATAAGAGGGATAGTATAGTGGTACGGTAAGACATGCCCTCTTAATGCATTACGTAATACGTTACGATAGGCCTTATGCCTATATAGAGTAACTATAGCTCCCGTAAGTACGGGATATGCCATGCTTATTATTTAATTCATTACCTAGCTAGATTACTATCTTTGCTATTTTTACTTTAATTAAAGATTCGTTTTTACCATTAGATTCGTCGTTCTCCGATTAGTATATTTATTTTAGTTATAGGCGCTTAAGTTACTTCGTCGTATCGCTATAACCGAATAAGTAACTTTTACGTTTTGTCCCTTTTCTCCCCTTACCTCTTATACCTTCGGGCTAGCGATTATTATATCTTTACGACTAAGAGATATAGCTAAAATACGATAACTATATTAGATTCCTTGCCTCTCGATTAATATAGCGATATTAGTTTTACCTATCTTAGATTATCGTACGTACTATAGTTTTCGATAGAATATACTTACGAATAAACCTATCCGGGTTTTTAGTATCGCATACGCTTTACTCCTCTTTAGTAGCGACTACCCTATAACTTTTTCGACCCCTTAACCTTTAATTTACGGAGTTTTTATTACGTTATTAAGATTTAAAGGATACCGATCGCCGTCGGCGCTACTATTTAACCCGCGAAGTAGCCCGCGTTTTACGTTAAATAAAGTATCTCGCCTTATAGTTATTTATTTACTATAAAGAGGTACGTATAAGCCCGGGAACTTTTATAACGATATTACTACTACTAGGATAATACCTAGCCCTTAATATTTATAATATTAATAAGCTATCGATACTACGATATAATACGACGATTAAACCGCGTTTATACCGATTAAGACATCCTTCGTATCGTTATTCGCTTACTTATACGAAAGAACCCGTAAAACCCGGGAGAACTTTCGTCGTAATACTACCGCTACTAGGAATAGCATTTAGCCCTCGATACTAACCGCTTCCTCGAATCGCTAATAGCATAATATATTTCGTACGAATAAATAAAGCTTATAGCGATTAAGGCAGCCCCCTTATAATTATCTATTTATTATATAAACTAAACGTACGAACGCCTTAGTATAAATTACGATAACCTATACGACCCGCTACTTCCTTACTAATACTAAAGGCGGATAAAGGCTAATAGTAATTATACCTTAACCGACCTTACGATAGCTTCTTTTTCCTTCTAAACCTATTAATCGATATAAACTAAATATATAAATACTAATAACTTATTATACTAGAGGTATTTTAAGATACCTAGGCGTAGCGATTCGACGATATAATATACGATATAATATAAATATTTACATTAATAATATAAATAGGAATTAATAAACTAATAGCTACTAATAACCGATAGTTTTAAAGAGAATTAGGAATTAATATTAATAAGATTACGTAGATATAAAGGATTAAGGAAACGGAACTAAAGTCGAGCTAATAGGTATACTTATATATAAGCTAGCTTTATATTACTAACTAATAACTAATATGGCGAGAAGTATTAACATAGGCGTAAAACGGCGCCTAGCGGTAATACCGCTAATATTATTAAATAACCCCCGTTAAATCGAAACCGGCCTATGATTATAACCGGTATCGTATCTAGCGCGATCTTTTACTCGGGATCTATCCCTTATACGTATTACCTTAACGAAGGTTATACGTTAGAAGTTTTAGACCTTAATGGAAGGGATTATCGTCGACTTATTTATAATAATTAAACTATTAATCTAGGGAATACGTATCGTACTTTAATTAGGCGTTAGCCGACTAGAAAAACTCGTATAATACCTAGACCCTATCGATCGGGATAATATAATAAATAATAATATACTTATACTAAAGAAAAAGTATTAAGATATAAATAATAGCTATTATACCTTTACCCTTATATTAAATAATAAGACCCTTACTATTCCCCTTTCTACTTTATACCTCGTACCGTTAAATTAAACGGAATTTATAGCTAAGAAACGGAATAAATCGCTATCGGGACCTAAAGTAATAAAGACTAAACTATTAATAAAGACCTTAAGAGTCGATACTAGCTTTCCGCCCTTATATCCGCCCGAAGAAAAGGAGAACGACGATAAAACTCCTACTTAACTACCCCTTACCCGCGGCTCTATACTTATCCCGTTAATCCCTATGGTATTATCTTAAAATAATAATAACGGAGCCTCTAATAGCTAAAATATACCGGTAGCTACCCCGATTATCGTAATACTAATCATTAGGTTTCCTAACCCTACCGATTACCTTAGGCTTAAGTTTAATAAATATAATATAACTTAATAACTAGAAAAAGTAAATCGATTATTTAACCGCTACCGTATAAGCGACGACGATAAAATTAAAGAGATCGGCGAATAAATTACGACTAAGACTATTAAGGAGCGTATTAACGACGTTACGAAGGATTAAACGATCTAAAGAGTTATCGTTATAGTCCTGAAGTACCGTTTTAAGATTACCGATAAACTAAGCTAAGCTAACGTTAAACGTAAACTCGTATAGCTAGAACGAGGTAACGTAATTAACGATCCTAAGGCGATCTTTACGTATTTTATAAATTATAAACGTCTTTCTAAGCTTATAAACGATAACGAAAAGCTTCCTTAAAAAGTAAGATACCTAACCGATAAACTCCGGATATCTTTAATTATAAAGTTCTATAAGACAGGAGACTATAATTATAATAAGATCGGAAATATCGACTACCGGACTCTTTATACCTAGCTTTATAAGTAAGCGGAACGTCGTATAATGAT